TGTAAAATTCATAAGTATTTTGGTATTTATATATGATTATTTTTATTATATATTCCTCTTATCTCAAACTAAATGGGCAATTTAGAATTTTGTAGTAGATTAACATATTTTATTTATCAGTGTGCACGAGGTTTAGATATTTTTGTCATTTGACTTTATGTATAAAGTAATTACATGTGTAATAATATGTTTGTAATTTAAATAAAAATAAAGTTATTTTGTATTAGTATATGATTACTTTTACTGAAATAAAATATAGATATTGTGAAGTGAGACATATAAAAATGGTAAAAATAGTACTTTGAGTTGAAACAGATGAAGTAATTAAAAATAAATAGTTTTTTTTGAGGCAGAAAAAAATGGTAAAAATGATAATATTTTATTTGTTAGTAGAAATATCTAAAATATTTTTTGATATTTTTATCATTTCTACTTTATATATATAATGACATATTTGTGATTTATGTAAAAAAGTTAAATGATATTTTGGTATTAATGTTATTATTTTTGCTATAATATAAAATTGATATTTTTGACTGAGACATATGGTATTTTCAGTTTGGACAACAAAAAATATATTTTATTCTCTCATATAAAGTATATATTTGATTTTTAAGCAGAGTTTGAAAAATAATAATATTTTAATTGTAATGTGTAGTTAAAAGTAATGTATATATAATTTTTGATCTTTTTTTTGTGTAAAAATAATTAAGAGACAATAAAATAAAAGTATTTAAAAATATTTTTTTTAAAATTATTATTTTGTAATTGGACAATTCAAAATATAAATATATATATTTTGTGAGTGAATAGAGAAATTTTTTTTTATATTATCAACACAATCCTCAATATTATTTCACATAAAAATATTTCAAACTAAAATACTAAACAAATAAACAGTTAAATAAATAATGAAAAAGAGAATGAACTTTTAATCTATAATATTAGTTATCGAATTTTCTTGAATAAATTCTATATCAAATAATCATATAATTATTTGTTCTCATTTAAAATATTACTCACTATGTTTTACTTTTTTCGTTCACTATTTATATTTCGGTTCGTTCTATTTTATTTGTCTTTTATTTTTTTAAAAAATATAATTATATATTAAGTACATTTTAAATTTCATCATTTATAGTAACTTTTTTAGTTTTAATTATATTAATTATTTTAATCTTATTCTAATACTAATTTTATTATATATTCAAGAAAATGTATTTAAATTGTATTGTAGTTGAGTAAATTACTCGAAAGCCCAGCCCAAATAATACTTAATAATTAATTATTTTGATTTTAAGATATATATATATATTATGATTTAGGTTTCTATTATTTGGCCTTTGTTGGGTGTAGTATAGAGTTTCAAATTGGGCCTTATGGGCTGCCATTGTTGGCCCAATGGAAAAACCTAGAAGGGAGACTATATATACCGCCTCCATTTTCATTTTGCTTATTTTCAGATCTCGTCGTTCCGCTTCGCCAGGTTCTTCCGCTGCCGGTTACTGGCGATTAATCAGTGCTGCAACGAAGATTTTGATTTCTGTTTGTTGTTGTTAGGGATGACTTTATTGAATTATCTGTTTTATTTTGATTTATTTATTGAACAATTTTTGTTGTTGGCGCCGCCCTTAAGATCGCCTTCCAGAATGCTCCATGGAAGCGTTTTGAGTCATAGCAGCGCTATATTGATTCCAGCAGGCATTCGCATTCTATGTGTGTGTTTTATATGTATACGTATGCGGTTGTGTCTGTTACGGCGTTCTCTTTGGGGTTTTCCTTCTGACGACGCCGTTTCTGTCCCCTCACGGCTTTTGGTTGCTTGGAAGTGATGTGTTTTTGTTTGTTCGATGAATTTTCATTCGAATGACGAATTTTATCGATCGAATATGACCTTTGTTTGCTTCCAAGCCATATCGTTGGGGAACAATACAGTTGATTCAAACTTTTAGGTTTGATTTACTGATTTGTGTTGATTCTTATTTGGTTTTTTGGAAATTGAATTGATTCTGCAATGGCTGGAGTGATGAGATTTGTATTATATGGTGATAGGGGAAATCCTCTGGTGGAGTTACCAAATTAAAGCTTATTGATATTCTGACCTGCCATTCCTTCTCTTTTTCTTTTTTCTTTTCTCTGTATGTTATTGGATTTCTTGTCAGATTTTAGTGATTATCTAATGAAATGGTTGATTTTAGGGCTGAGGTAATTTTAAAATAGTTTATTTATATATTTTTTACGTTCCAATACAATAGTTTTGTTTATCATTTTTGTCTGTCCCAAAATAATTTTAAAATGGTTGTTTTATTTTTATTTTTCTATTTTCGTCCGTCTCAAAATAATTGTCTTGTTTTTTATTTAGTAATCGTGGTCGCCACGTTATAACAAAATTATTCGTATTTTTCAAGAGAGTACTTTTATTTTTATAAATAATTATGTCATTGTAAAATTTTTTAAAATATTTTTTATCCATATTTTTTATTTAACTGTTAATATAATATTAATATTTTTAAAATCATTTATGGGTCTTAGAGAGTAGTTTATATAATACAATTAGTTTTTAGATGATTAGACTAGTTTAAAAAGAAACACACGGTTAAATTTAATTTTTAAAAACTTATACATTATGTAATGAAGAAGTGTATTAGTAAAAATAATTATAGATTAAAATAAGTAAATAATTTAATTAAAATTAAGAAAATTATAAAATTTAAAATGCAATTAAAGTGTATAATTATATTTTCAAAAATAGAAAGGACAAATTATGTGGGGCAGACGAAAATAAAAAATAGGAACAAATTATATGGGACGGAGCGAGTACTAATATGTATATATACTGGGTGTGTTTGTTTTGGATTTTGAGACTTGTTTGAGTATTGAGTTCGATTCAAATATGTTGTTGGGATAGGCTTTATTGATTTGTTTAAAATTCGAGCTAAAACGATGGCTGAGGTTGAATTTGTTAAGCTTGACTTCAAGCTTAAGTTTTGTTTGCATCAAGGAAAATTATGCCTATTTCAATTGGACATATTGAGAAAAAAAAAAAAAAAAACAATTGTAGTAGAATGTTAAAAAATGGGTAAAATAGTAAAAAAAATTTATGTGGTTTTTTGAATTCGTGAAAATTTGCTCTGATTTTAATATTGATAAAATTTATTTGTGATTTTCAAAATTCTCTCTTCCTTCAAAATTTGATTAATGGTGTTAATTTTTTATTTAAAAAAAATGCTCAATTTAACAATTTTGAAAAAAATGTCTATTCATACATAAATAAGTGACTATTCATACAAAAAAATATATTTATTGTACAAGAAAAAAAAATTCATATTTGTTCTATTGTTTTTATCCATCGGTTATTACCAACACTATATTTTTTAATATTTCAAATATTTTCTTTTCTTTTCTGTCACTTTTCTCAAATGAAAATTTCATTTTGAGGGTTGCATTTTAGATTGATTTTTTTTGGGGCGTGTTTGTTTGGGGGTTTGGATTTTGAATTGGGATTTGAATAGTAAGAATTTGGAATTTAAATAGTTGTATGTGTTGATGTGATATTTTGAATATAAAATTGATTTTTAGTATAATATAAAAAAATAAAAAATAAGTGTTTGATTTGATATTTTTTGGGGGGAAAAATGAGATGAATAGTGGATTAAAAATACAATCTCTCAAACAAACACACCTTTAATATTTTTCCCCATTCGAGCTCACCCCAATCCACCGGTTATTGCGAAGATTTAAGAATTGTTGACTCCCATTATTGCAGTGGTGCTCCTCACTTCTATCGAAGAAAAAGAAAGCGACTGAGAGCGAAAAAAAAAAAAACAACCATGACAGCAAGGTTGGAGAAGATGAATCTTCCATCACGCTGAGCCCATGTTGGATGTCGCTCGTAGGAGATAATAGAGGGTAATTTTGTAATTTTCTAAGTGAATTTTTAAGAATACACGTATTAATGGCGTGCAGTACAATTTCCGTTAAATATTAACGGTGGAAGTATTTTTTGCAATATTTTTTAAGCTACAAGTAAGTAATATGGAATTTTAAAACCAGAGGGAATTTTTAGAGAATTCGGAAAACCATATGGAATTTTATGTTATTTTGTCTAAAAAAAAATATAAATTAAAGAATATTTTATAATTTTTTGCAATTAAACAAAAATATGCATTTTTTTTTCTGAAAAAAATCAATATAAATTTGATTGAGGGGTAAACTATATTTCAATATATAAAAATAATAAATAAATAAATTAATTTTAGAAAAAATAAATAAAGTAATAGTAATACTTTTATTATACAATATGTGACTTGTAATATTTTTTTAAAGGTACCATTACTAAAATCGTAAAATATATAAATTAATTCAAATATATCAAGATAAATAAATTAATTTTGAACAAAAATATAATGTTTTGTAGATAATAATACAATTGAAGGATAAAAAATAATTTTGTGCTCGCTATTTAATTATTTTAATTAAATTATGAGTATTTTTACTAATATGACAAAGTTGATAAATTAGTTGCGGGCTAAAAATATTTTATTAAAATAAAAAATACAATTACTAAAACAAACGAATAATATTTTCATTGGAGTAACTTAAATGACAAATAATTATATTAGTGACAAATAAAAAATTATAAAATATAAATTATAATTTAATTAAAATAAATTAAGTTATTTTAATTATATTTAACAAATTACGCCGAAAATATAAAATAATGCACATCTACAAACTAAAAGCTTTTTAAAATAATAATTCTTAAAACAATGAAATATAATACTTTCTCTCTGTAATCAAAATTATATCGATTTTTTTTAATATAAAATAATAAAAAAATTGTATTTTCTAATTTTCTTTTATAAAAAAAAGAAATAGTTCTAATTTTTACAATATATATATATATATATATATATATATATATTGTCTTTTAGCGCGCCTGGTAAATCGTTTAAGGCCAGCCCAGCGCAAAATGAAAACCAGATGGCGACACAAACACGAATAAAACGTGTGTCAAAGAGCGAGGGATAAAAAGAAACGAACTCCTCCAAATCAATGGCATCTCTGCTCCAAGCGCCAGTTGTTTCATAACGTATCTTCCCCACACTCTTCGCCGGAAACGGCCACTGATGCAATCCTACGGCCGGTGAACGCCGCCGGAGTTTACTATCCACCTCGATCGTTTCGGTAAACACCAATGATCACTACGGTAATTTTTCGAGCATGCTTCATAATTTATTTTGAAATCGATTTAATTGCTAGAGAAAATGCTGAAAATGCGCAGATGCAGGAGCAGGAGAAAAGTGGATCAGGTACGATGGGGCAAAGCCCTAGATCGCCATCTTCGCTGCCTTCGTTTCTGAAGGTATCGGTTACGGATCCTGCAAAATTAGGGAGTGGAGTTCAGTCTTACGTCTCCTACAAAGTTATCACTAAGGTAAATAGCAATTGATTTCAGAGAAATTAATCGTATCCGTAAAAATTCATCTTATACATCGTAGTTGTGTTTTTAGCTCCTTGCAGAGATAGTTTGAAAGAAGAATAATTCTCAAAATCGAAAACATAGAAATTAGCTCTGTGAATATGTTGTTATTTGTTCTCATTGGCTTCTTACAATGACCTAAATTGGTGAAGTAACGCAGTGATGCTTAATTTGCAGACAAATCTACCTGAATATGATGGCAATGAGAAAATTGTTATTCGGAGATACAGTGATTTTGTTTGGTTAAGAGACCGTCTTTATGAGAAGTATATGGGCATTTTTATTCCTCCTCTTCCGGAGAAGAGCACTGTAGGTAATCAGCTAAACTGACGAAGAATTTTCGTTAAGGAACGTTTGGTTGGATGGATATGAATTTCATAATGTGTTTTATTGAATGGAATTGTATTATGTTCAATTTCAACTTCAGAATTTAAATTCTTGATGTTGTCTTATAAAGATTTTAGAAAGTATTTGAAATAACAAATGTTAAGGTATGTGAACTTCTTGATTTTGTAGATTTAAAATCCGTTGTAGCCCTAAATGAAAACATTGTTAAAGGGAGGCTTTGTAGAATTGCTCATAAATTAACATGGGGTAGACGAAGTTGTCTTACTCCCTTGTTTGAAAGTATGTTATTATCTGAAATGAATAGCTTCAAAAATTTCAAACAAAATAGTAAGATAATTCAAATAAAAGAAAGTATGTTATTATCTGAGGTTGGTTTCTATCATGCCAGAGAAGTTTAGACTCAGTGCTGAATTTATCGAGACAAGGCGACAAGCATTGGATGTGTTCATAAACCGAATTGCCGCACATCCTGAGCTACGGCAGAGTGAGGATTTAAGAATCTTTCTACAGGCTAGTGAGCAGGTAATTTAAAATGATTGTGGCAACTATCTTGAAGTGGAAAATACTTATTATGTGGATTCATGATTGATATTTCTGCCTAAACTCGAGCCCATTTTGTTATCTAACATAGTTGACATTTTTGTCTGAACTTTAAGAACATTCTTGAATAAGAAACATGAAATTTGCATAGAAACTGTGGGCATAAGTCGGTTGCATTACTTCCACATCCTGTTCCCATTATTTGGAAATGAGTATGTGTTCCTTTCCTATTTTCTTCTCGAAGAATTTCTGCTTGTTTTGAGCTTCTGATAAATTACAATTTCATGTCGTTCCAATGTGCAGACCATGGAAAGCGCAAGGGCTGTGGACACTAATATCTTCACGAAGTCATCGGACTTGATGCAAATTTTTAAGGTATTTTATTTGACGATTAGATGGCATAGTAAAAGCAATTGGTGGCGAAAGGGTAGGTGTCCTAATTAAATTAGTAATGTCCATTAACAATATATTCTATCCTGTTCTAGAGAACTCTCATTTTTCTTAAATTATCTTATTGTTTCATTTTTTAGGAAAAAATTCATTATGGTGCCAACTGGATTAGTTGTTTTTCAGTATGATTGAGTCAACCATTGGGCTTTAGACGGAGTCCCTTGGGTTAATTATTTGGGGGTTTGTGGTTTGAATAGTAAATTGATCTATTTCTACAATGTATGTAAAATAATGACAAGAAAACTTGATTTACTATGGCTAATTTGACAGGATGTACAGTCTAAAGTGAGTCATGTTCTCGGAAAGGAAAAGCCGGTTGAAGAATCAACTGCCGAGTATCAGAACCTGAAGAACTACATTTTTCAGCTCGAAGATCGCCTAGCTGAAGCCCAGAAACATGCCTACAACCTTGTAAAGAGACACAGAGGTATGTCAAGGAAGAATACCCTGTTATTTCTAACACAAATCTCGGTTCTTGATCGGAGGCACTATTTGTTGCAGAGTTGGGACAATCTCTGTCTGATTTTGGCAAGGCAGTCAAAGTACTAGGAAATTGCGAAGGAGATGCGCTCGGGAAGGCATTTTCCGAACTTGGAGAGACAGCCGAGATTATTTCTTCTAGGCTTGAGAAAGAAGTATGGCTTTAATCAGAGTAGGCTTATTTATGTTCCTTAACAAAATTTTCAAACTCGTTGAATTCCTTTTTGACCTTCGTATTTCTGCTTTATCATCAGGCCCACAGCCTCTTGATGGATTTCGAAGAACCTTTGAAGGATTATGTCCGAGCAATTCAATCTGTTAAGGTAAACATTGTTTTTCTTACCGGAGAACAAGTGATGTTTTGAATGGATAATTAATTTTGATATTTTTAGCATGAATTTCGCCTGTATAGATTTAATTATACTGAAACTTCCCCGAGAAATATCCACTATATATCTTATTGTTGTCTAATTTACGGGACAGGACACAATCACAGAAAGAGCAAATGCTTTCAGGCGCCAATGCGAGCTGGAGGAGGCGATTAAGTTTAAGGAAATAGACTTGTATGTTCGATCCCTTTACGCGTTCTTACATTTAATATACCTTATCAGGTTCTTTATGCCTTTGGAAACTCGTCTGCAGACAGAAACTGAGGTTAACCCGACCTGACAAAGTGGCGGAAGCAGAGCGCGAATTTGATGAGGTTGTTAAATAATACTTCTCTGTCATCCAAATTTTTTTTTATTTTTTTTATTGTCATCTAAAATTATTATTGTTTTTTTAGTAAAAAAAGTGTATCACTTTTGTTTTTATTTTTACTTGTTTTTCTTAAAACTCGTGTCCGGTCAAATGATCACACAATAGATGACGGGGTAAGTATATTTTATAGAGAATCGTAAAGATTGTACAATAAAGAAACTGAAGAAACAAAAATGGTTTGGTGATGCAGCTGAAGGCTGATGCTGCTGAGGCGACGAAAAGATTCGAGACAATTGTGAGTCGAATTAACGACGAGATGGTTCGATTTCAAGAACAGAAAACCGCGGACATTGGCTTGGCCTTTCACGAATTTGCCAAGGGTCAAGCCCGTCTGGCGAATGACGTCGCCCGGGCTTGGAGCAGCCTTCTTCCTCGAGTCGAGGCTTGCTCGGCCTAGTCCAGGTACGCTGTTATGATCCTATGTTTGTTGGTCCAATGTTGCTATGCTTATTAGTAATAAATTTGCTTTCGATTATGTGCTGTTTTATGTGGTGGTTCGATATGTGCTTTTTGATCCTTAATAATCTAAGTCTATATTTTTACGTTGGGGTTCAATAAATTTTCTTGATGATTGATTCGATGGGTTTTTTTTTTTTTTTTATGCTATTCAATAAATTTTAAGATGCCCGCTAACATGGTTTGTTTGGTCTGAATTTTAGTCGAAATAATATTTTGATTTTAAACGTTATTAAAAAAAAAAAGAAGAATAGTGTTTTTATTTGGAATCAATTGTCCACCTTTGAAACACTAGACTTTTTTTTTTTTGGGAAACACTAGAGTCATGTTTACACATACTATTTATTTACAGTAATTTTAATAAAAACATGGCACTAAAAATAACTTTTCCTATTAAATGTTAATTTTTTACTATATAAATTTTTTTATTAAACATGACAGGTGACCTGATCCTCTTCTATTTATATATACGATTTTGATATTATTCATAAACAATATTTTGTTAAATAATGACATTTTGTGTAATATTATATTGTAAATTGAAATGATATTTTGTAATGTTAGGTATATAGATATTCTGTTATGAGACCGATAAAATGAAAAGATTGTTAAAAGATATTTTTTTTCTTATAAAATATAGTCATTGTGTTTTATTTGTGCGTGTTTTCAATTAAAATGGGTTAGATGTGATTAAATTAATACTGACGTAATATTGTAATTAAAAAACAAATTAGGTAGGTAACATCTTGAATTAAAAATAAATACGGAGAATAAAAACACAAAGTTCATATTGATTAAGACAGGTTAATTTAAAAGCGTCCATTAGAACATCCGAGAAAGGCAAACTTCTGGTAAAGACGTTGTCGTCTTCTTCCCGATTCTTATGTACGGCAATCTAAATCTTCCCTCATTAATGGCGGTGCTGTGGTCTATTCACACAAATCCTCTCCTCCTTTCCTCTGAAATCTCTCTCTCTCTCTCTCTCAGCTTCGGAATCTCCAAATTCCTTCACACACACACATAAATACACATTCCGACAATTAGTTATCTATCGATAAGAGGTATGAATTCTATGAATCTCTGTTCTCCGCTGTACTCCTGGAGCGTCCTCGCAATTTCCTACCGGCCGGCGACGAAGAATCCGGAGAGGATTTGGTCGTGGAGGAATAACAGTAAGACAGGCCGGAGGAGGACTGTGTGTTTGTCTTCGTCCGATGATGTCTCCCCCAATCCTTCCGGAGAAAACAACTACGGGTAATAAATTACTTCATTGATTCTGTTTCGTTTTTGCGTTGTTTGTCGGCGTTTGTTGAATCGTTCTGCGGCGAGTATTTGTCACCGGCGGTGGAATTTCTCGACGGTTGTGATTTCGAAATGGTTTTTTGTCAAATTGGAGGGATAATAGATAAGAAGAGTACGAAACGATAGGGTTTGGTAAATTTATTTATTTATTTATTTTTAATTGTGCTCCATAAAATATTTGTTTAAATAAAGAATTTCCGAAAGTTCGGGAGTATTCAAAATTCCAATATATTAAAAAATTAATAATTATTCTCTCCTTCGGTCAAATAATTAATTTGGTTTAACACATATATTTTAATAATATAAATTAATAATTTATTAATAATAAATTATAATATTATTTTAATATTTTTTATATGAATACTATTATTGATATTTAAAATATTTAAATATTATATTTTAATACAATATATTTTAATATAAATAATAAAATTTTATATAATATATTTATTTATAACTAATTTAAAAAATTAATTTTATAAAAATAAAGAATTTTAATATAAATAAAATACTTATTTATTAAAATAAAAATAAAAATAAAGGAGTTTTAACTGGTTCATGTATAAAAAATTAATTTATATTTATTAGAGTTAGAATAGACAAAAAGAAGAAAAAATCATCATTGTTTGAAGAGAGTATTTTATAAGGGGTTGATTTGGTAGTATTTTCAATACATTTTGATATTTTTTAATATTATATCAAAATACATAAATATATATATACTATTATTTTTTATCTAAAAATATCGTAAATGTCTACTTATATAATAATATATAATTTCCAATTAAAAATTTAAAATCACAAAAATACTATAAGAATATGCGAAACTATTTACAAAATAATGTTAAATCGACGTTAAAATTTTCATAATGTTCGAACAATCTACGATTTTTTCAGGGATTTTTGCATCATCGAAGGGCCGGAGACAGTCCACGATTTTGAGCCATTGCAATTGCAGGAAATCCAAGACAACATTAGACGCCGGCGTAATAATATCTTTCTCCTCATGGAAGAAGTACATTTCTTACTTCCTCGTTTTCTTTTAGTCCATTGTCATTGTGGGAATCTCTTCTAACATTGTATAACCGATTTTTTTTATTTTTTTTTGTGGTTCGATACAAAAAAGGTAAGACGGCTAAGAGTGCAAGAACGAATCAAGAGTGTGAAAGGTGGCCCCGAGCCTACTCTTGAAGACGAGAATGACGATATGCTCGATGTACCTTCTTCTATTCCCTTCCTTCCTCGTATGGTAATCGACTATGAACCTTTTCCTCAATCACATTGCTATTCTTTTATTTTATCTAAAATCGAAGTTATTTTTTATTACCAAAAGATAAGAGTGAAAATAAATTAGTAATTGAGAGAGAACCAAATAAATTATAAATAGAAATGTGTTATTCAGATGTGATACTCTAAATAATAAATTATTTAGGTGGGTTAAGTAGGAGGATGTAATGAAATTTTGAATTATAATAATATTTTAAATAAAAATTGGCTCCGTTCGGATAGAGACTTTTAGAGTTTGGAGGTTCGAAAAAATTTTATAATAGTAAAAAATTAGTATTTGATGTAATATTTTGTGCAACAATAGATATTTGATTGAATTTTTTGTAAAAGTTATTAATAAATAGTATCAAATTTTTTACAAGTAAACGTATAATAAAGTGATTTTGATATAGTATATTGAATAAAAATATTATTTATTTGATAAAAAAATTGATGAATAGTACGAGCATAAAATCAGACATTCGAAAAACTAATTCAACATTTTTAAGGTTTTGTATGTCCGTAATCGTAATCGTGTTATGTCCATTTTTGGCTAAGACAGACGGCAAAGACGTTGAGACAGCTCCATCTAACGAGCTTTGCAATGATACTTGGAATCATAGTTTTCGGGGGCCTTATCGCGCCAACCGTAAGCCTCAAAACTTTATTACAAGGTCGAAATTCGACATAACAACATATTGAATTTGGCAATTTGCGCATTTCGTGTAATAGCTCGAGTTGAAGTTAGGCTTAGGAGGAAAGTCCTATGCGGATTTCATACAACAACTTCATTTGCCTTCGCAATTAAGGTACTATGTCATATGCTCGAAGTTTATTTACTCCTCGGATGTGTAAGAACATACGCACACTCCCAAATAATTATTTTTTGTTTTTTTCTAGTCAGGTGGATCCGATCGTAGCCTCGTTCTCGGGAGGGGCAGTCGGCGTCATTTCAGCGTTCATGTTGCTCGAGTTGAGAAATGTCCGGCAACAAGAGGAGAAGAAATGCAAGTATTGTAGCGGGACGGGTATGTATTCTATGGCTTTATTCTTTCAACAAATTTTTCAATTGCGATTCCTCAAAAATAATAATAATAATAATAAGTAATACAATTTTTATTTTTTATTACAAAAGTAAAAAAGTCAAAATAAACTTTAAATATTCATTGCAAAAGTCAAAAACTCAAATATTCAATTTAAAATAATATACTTCTTCCGTCTGGCACTAAGAGTTTCATTTACCGTTTGGGTCGTTGTACTTCGCATTAAAATATTTTTATATTTGTATATTTTTTTTCACAAATATCATTGTAATAATATTATAAAAAGCTAATAGAAGTATTTTTATCATTTTTCTTTAATTTATTTTACGTTTTCATATAATAATTAATATTTAAAGATTAATATGCAAAAAGTAAATGAGGCCTTTAGAGCCGGAGCGGATGTGGTATTTTATATTTTTGACATAATTTTTCGTACTACACACCAAAAATGTAGTATTTTAAAATAAATTGATTTTTAGTTTGTGGTACGCGGAATTGTGTAAAAAGTATAAAATATACTTCCTCCGTTCCAATACAATAGTCTTGTTTACTATTTTTGTCCGTCCCAAAACAATAGTCTCACTTCCATAAATAATCATATCATCTTAAAACTATACATACTTTTTCATTATTATTACACAATTGCCACTACTTTTTACACTAATATACTTACAAGGGCAAAAAAGTCATTTATCCTTACTTTTTACCAACTACCAATATAATATAAATATTCCTTAAATCTCGTGTCCAACACAATAAGACTACACTTTTGGGACAGAGGGAATATTATTTTAAGTTGAATATTTGACTTTTTGTAACGAGTATTTGAAGTTTTTTTTTTTACTTTTAGACTTTTGTAAAAAAGTTTTTTTTGTTAAATTTCGTATTTCTAAATTCAAACATCCGTAGCGATTTAAATCCCTTTTAATAACACGAGATTTTTGTGAAATCTTGTAATAGGATACTTGGCGTGTGCTCGATGTTCGGGGAGTGGGTTGTGTTTGCCGGCGAAACCTATAGTGGCAAGCGCCTCTGATCGTCCGTTGTCTACGCCGACTATGGAAAGGTGTCCGAATTGCTCGGGGGCCGGCAAGGTAATATAAAAATTTATTTTTCATTTAAAACAAAATATTTCAGCGTCCATTTACATCACATCAAATTCTTAATTTTAACTATTCTTAAAACTCTAAAAAATTCAAATAGTTGATTCGTGTGATATAAATAAATATTAATGGTAAAATTAATTTTTAGTATTATATAAAAAGAATAAGTATTTAATTTGTTATTTTTTAGAGATTTTACTTTTATAAATTCAAATAGTTGATTCGTGTGATATAATTCTTGATTTTACTTTTTTTGTGAAAAAATACAATTTTTCAAAAAAAATATAATATATTACAGATATTTATAATTTTTATATTACTCACACAATTTTCTATATTTTATGTTAAAAAAAAATTAAAATTATTTCATTAAACAAACAAACCTCTTGTTTGAAGGTAATGTGCCCGACGTGCCTTTGCACGGGTATGGCAATGGCGAGCGAGCACGACCCAAGGATCGAACCTTTCAACTATTAGTAGCTTTGATAGCCATTTTGACCGTGTTTCTTATTACCTTCCTTTGTAAGTATTCTTGCAACAAGTTCCGCTGCATTACTGTAGATTTATTTACCAAATTTACCTTTACTGACATATTTTTTACTATATATTGCCTCTATTCACTTGTAAGATTTTTATTTAACTTTTGCATTATAATTAAGGTAAATTAGTATTTTATAATTATATAGTACAATATTTATTTTATCTTTTATATTAAAGTAAAAATAAGATAAAAAAATATGAATATTTTAATATTTAGTTGAAAATAGTAAAAAATAAATAAAAAGAATAATAAATTTTGATTTTAATATATTAAAATTGTAAAATGGACGTAGGAATTTCAGAAAAGTTAATATTTAATACAAAATATTACAGAGTAAATATTTTATTAAATATTTTATCTTTTTTTCCACAAATACTCCTATTTTAAATCACATCATTACTTTATATTAAAAAGTAAGGACAAAAATATCATTACACTACTTTTAACTGTTAATTAAAATATTATTATTTTTAGACACCGTGCCAAAAATAACTATTTACTTTATGTGTGGACGAATAGAGTATTTTTTTATTATTTACACTTATATTTCACATCAAAAAATATTTCAAACTAAAACATTTTTCGAATAAGTACCATTATTTCAAATAAAAAATACATTACTTCATTTGTCCACTAATATTATGTCATGTACTAAATTTATGTTTATTCTATTTTATCCACCCGGTGATGCGACGAGTGAATTTGTCACCGTGAAATCATATATTCAAACTTTCACGCATTTGAGTGATTTGTCTAATATGATTTGCCCTGTGGAACCTCGTTTGTAAGGGAGGCTTATAATTTATAAATAATTAAAAAATACATTAGTTAAAATAATTACAGTATAATAAAAATAATTATAAATTAAAATAATTTAATAATTTAATTGAAATTAAAAAATTATAAATTAAAAATTTTAAAATATAATTATTTTAAAAAATGACAAATTATAGACGAAAATATATGTACAATTTATATGGACATAATGACTAATAATCATTTGATGGGGTGGAGGATGAGCCAAATCAACCTTTTTTTTCTTTTTAGTCGAGTGAGCTTTTATGTTGCATAGGCATAGCAAACAGCGATGATTAACTGAAATTGTAAATCGACAGTACCCTACATTACCAAAATGCCTTTGCCTACGCTTAAATTAGTTATCTCCAATTCGTCGTCTTCTTCAAAGTACGACGCAACCCTCACTTTCAACCTCTGCAACCCCTCATTGATGTCACTCTCACCTATCTCTCCCTATCCTCACCCATTGTCGCCTTCCTCCCCCACTGCATGAACAAGGATCGTCTAATCCCACACTCCGTCGCTGTCGATATTATCCCCAGATTCCCTGAATCCGGTTGTAAAATCAAACCCTAATCCAATTCCGATCTAGTCGCCGGAATTCGTCGCGCAATGTCCGTCGCCGGAGAGCTGCGAACCCGGACGCTCGGCGCCACCGAACGAAGCTGGTGCAAGGCGGTGCCCGGCGGCACCGGAATAACCGTCATGGCTCTCCTTCTCGCCAGACCTCCCGACGCCGATTGCCTCCAGAGATCGCTCCGCCGCCTCCAGATTAACCACCCAATCCTCAATTCGAAGCTCCGGTTCGATTCCCCCGCGAATTCGTACTCCTACGTCACCTCCGCAGCGCCTTACGTCGAAGTCCGGCGGTTCGATCTCCAATTGACGTCTGAAATTCTCCGGAACAGTTTCCCGGGCGAGTACGGCTCCATTCCGCCCTTCCATCTCCTTCTAGAACACGAGCTGAACAGCAACACGTGGCAGAATCCTGACCATTCATCGGATATTGATCTCTTCTTGTCGAGCTTATACACTCTGGAGGATAACCGTTGGGTTGCTACGATTAGGGTTCATACGTCCGTGTGCGACAGAGCGTCGGCTCTGACGCTGCTTCAGGAACTTCTGGAGATGAACGGAGGAGGAAAAGGAGATTCAGAAATGGAATTGGGGAAGGAGATCGAGGTTAATTTACCGATTGAGGAATACATTCCTAGCGGACAGGGGAACAAGCCATTCTGGGCGCGTGGCGTGGACGTGTTAGGGTACTCGTTGAATTCATTCCGATTGGGGAATTTGAGTTTTCAGGACACCATCTCCGGCAGAATGTCGCGCGTTGTCAGGTTGCAGATCGACGGCGAAGGCACCGGCCGGATTCTATCTGTGAGTGGTTGCAATTTTTTGTATGAATTTGTTGCTTCACAGTGCTCCCTTGTTTGATTACAATGGCATGATTTGGTATTAGAAGAAGATTGAGATTTCTGTTTTGATCCATTGGATTGATCAGTGTTTATGCTTTCATTAGCTCTTCTGAAGATATATATATATATATGCCATTGATTGATGCTTTTGGATCTCTGATTTTGTGAGTGATTGCAGTTTTGATCGATATATAGGCCATTGGTGGCTCCTTTTTTTGAGTTTTTTCGTAAGATTGACTTAATATGAATTGAATCTGCAATCTATTGTTTGAGGAAGATTGTTCGAGGAAGAAAGTTACTCGAGATGATTCAAGTGAATGGGATTGTTTTTTTTCGAAGATGATTGGATTGGATTAGTTGCGTTCTATTTCTTGTTTTAGCCGGGGCGATGTAATGATACTTGATCGATGTTGATAATAGCCTGTCTTTGAGCTCGGATTTTGTAAGTTAGTGATTGCATTTTTAATTGACATATAGACCATTGATTACTCCTTTTCGATTGAGTTTATATGAATTCAATCTGCAATCTAGTGTTTGGTAAAGAAAGTTGCTTGGGATGATATAAGTCGATGGGATTGTTTTCTTAGTTCTTTCGAAGATGATTGGATCGGATTACCTGTGTTCTATTCCTAGTTTTTAACACGGGATGATGTAATGATATGAGCCGAATAATCTCTATGGGTGTGTTTGTTTGTGAGTTTGGATTTTGTAACGGTAAAATATTGAATTTGAATAGTTGTTTGATGTGACATAAACAAATATTTGATGTGATGTTTTGAATGTAAAATAAAATTGTAATATAATATAAAAGAATAAAAATAATTATTTGATTTGATATTTTTTTAAGAAAAAATGAATATGAATAGTAAAATTATGTGGTAAAACTCTCACAAGAACACAATCTATAATATTCATAGAAGGATTTCCGTGTGCCGTAGAAACTTAGGGGTGAGTGTTGTTGGTCGTTGTTACTTATTTACGATGCAAAATTCTGTGAATAATTGCGTTAAAATATTTCTTCGACTAATCATTGTCGAGTGCGGTGAATTTTGTGCTTACAAGATTCGAATTTTTCTGTATAGCTACTTGAGTTTGTTGTTGTTTTGGCAGAGTTGTCAACGTAACGAAATAAAATTGTTCGAGCTTCTTGCCGCGGCGGGATTACTCGCTACTCATTCATCGAAAGGGATTCCCGAAGGCCAATGGGAAAAATATGCCCTCGTAACTCTCATGGATTGCCGTTCCGTTCTCGATCCTCCGCTCTGCAGCAACCATATTGGTGAGTCGAATTAATCGATGCTATCTATGTCAAAATATCATTTTTGTAAGGATGTTTTTTCGTTCCTAAATCCACTTTTTTCGTTACTAATGATATTAGAGACGGAATTATGAATGGAATTGCGTTAGCTACATGAATTTTATGGACGAAATTCCATTACAAATATACTATTTGTGTATAACATTCAATTTGTAGCAGGTTTTTATCACTCTGCAATTCTGAATTCTCACGACATAAAAGGCGGCGAAGATTTGCTCGAGCTGACGAAGCGAGTCCATTCGTCGTTCGAGACTGCGAAGAGCAACAAGAAGCATTTTACCGACATGGGCGACGTAAACTTTCTGATGTGCAAGGCTATCGAGAATCCCGGCCTGACGTCGATGGGATCGCTCCGAACTTCGCTTATATCCGTCTTCGAGGACCTCGTGATCGACGCTTCGAATGAGCTTCATAAGGGCCTCGGCTTGGAAGACTTCATCGGATGCTCGTCGGTGCACGGTGTGGGGCCGTCGATTGCGATATTCGACGCGATTCGAGACGGGAAACTCGATTGCGCTTGCGTTTTCCCATTCCCGCTGCACTCGAGGGAGCAAATGCAGGAGCTCGTCGACAAAATGAAACGGATTCTTCTCGAAGGAACGACCAAATGACGTTATATCGATCGATCGCGGAGTTTATTCGTAAGTAAAACCCTGCGCTTCGTTAGCTCGTTGTTTTTATGTTTTCTTGAATCCATCGAATTCGAGTTATCCGTTTGTTAAAGCTTCGTTAAAACTTTCGCGTTTAATTTTAAGATTAGACCCTTCCGCTTAATGCAAATATTCGTCGAATCTATATAAAAAGAAAAAGCGACGTATTATTATAGCGTTTAAGTAATTACACGACAAGATCGCATCTCGATTCTACCCGAGGTGTTCGGACAAACTCCTCTGTTAATATAAATCATGTAAATTGAAAAATTGCATGATTTTGATCATCAAAATAAGTAGTTTATATATAGGCTCGATACATTTAAATATAAATAATAATTTTTTTGTCTGTCTCTAAGGGCCTCAAATTGATCTTTTCTATCATTGTACTTAAAAAATATTTCAATGTTTGTATAATTTTTTGTCCAAATGTATATTATAAGACACAAATAAAAATATTTTTGCAATATTTTCTTAATTTGTATTACGTTTTGATATAATAATTAATATTCAAATATCAATACGTAAAAAAGTAAATGAAACTCTTAGAGCCGGACGGAGGTAGTATAATCTATATATATATATATAAGACTAAATTTAAACCTAAATTTACTAAATCTAAAACTGAATATCTAAAATATCTTAAGATTCTCGACCAACTCTCCGAACTCGAACATCCCGTTGCAGCATTCGACGGCGGTGATCACTTCTTGAAATGCGGCGACACTACACGGGAAAACGAGCCCGTTTTGTTGGTCGAAGCCAAATTCGTCGTACGCCTTGTCGAGCAAAATTTTGAATAACGGATGCGATAGGTAGTTCATCGGGACGGTGAACCTCCGCCTATCTTCGCCCACGTACACGACGAAAGTCCCCGTCATCGAAATGGTGCGATGATCGCTGCTGTGCAAGCACTCGTAGCGCCGCCATCGCGGCTCGCCGGAGAAATCGACGACATTGGTCGTTGACTTAAGTTTCCTGGCTAGTTTTTTCATGGAGACGAGTCTTTTGGGAAGCATTTTTTTTATTCTTTTGAGGATGGAAATGGTGAAATTTGGACAAGTGTTTTTGTGGATTGAGATGGTGGTTTTGTAGTGAAGGGAGGTTGACTTTTTAAAGCAGGCTCTAGACGGCTATTGCACTAATTTTACCTTTTGGCTTTGTCAACGGCCAAGTTCGTTCCGGCATTTTGTCAAACACACTTTGATCAATTTATGCATATATTTTAGAATTTGGGATAGTAATTGTTTAATATCAAATTGGATAATCTTTGTTATAAAATAATATATTAAATATTAAATGTTTATAATATTAAAAAAAATTAAAATTTAAAAAAAAAAAAAAAAAAAGAAAAGTATAAATGAAGCCTTAGAAGAAGAGCCGGCCTGGCTTCAGCCGAGAGGGATATATAGTTTATATATAGAATTTATTTGACATATTCATAACTTTTAAAAAAAGTTGTAACTTAGTGGTGGTACGAAGCTATTTTATAACGGTGGTCAATGGTTTTAATCTCTAGTGTTAAAAGAATAATAATAATACTCTCTCCGTCTTATTGAAAGGATATTATTTTTTATTTTCGTTTGTCCCAAAACAATGTTACAATTTCCTAATTTAATAATTATACTACCTACCTAACATAATAAATACTCTTCCAACTTACACTATATTACACAAATGTCATTACTTTTATATTACACAATATTAATAGGGGTATTTTTGTCTTTTTCATTACAATTCACTATAATACTAATATTCAAAAATCTACGTGCAAAAAGCAAACGTCACCATTGTTCCGGGGCGGAGGAAGTATTACTTTTGCATTTAAAAATATTAAAAACAAATATTTTATTTATTTTATTATAAATAAAAATATATTATTCATACATTTAGGAGTCTGTTTTTGTTTTGTCCTGAACTTCTTAAAAGTCAGGATCGATCCTGTTTAAAATATATGTTCTTTTCAGTCATTTGATCATGAAGATTCAACCAAAAAAAAATGTCTACACAACGTATTTGAAGGTTTGGATAAAAACAAAATTATACTCTCCTCGTCCCGATACATTACTCTTGTCTATCATTTTTGTTCGTCCTAAAACAATAGTTTTATTTTCATAAATAATCATCTCACTATAAAACTACCTTTATTTTTTCATTGTTATTACACAATTGCCACTACTTTTTACACACAATGGATAAAAAAAAAAGCTTTTTATCCACTACCAATATAATATCAATATTCTTTTAATCTCGTGTCAAACCCAACCCATACTATAGTTTTGGAACGAAAAAAGTAGTATTTTTTATATTAAAATATAATTATTTCTTAATTTTTATATCCAAACATAATTGTATAATTCATCGTACTGAAAAAATAATATTCACAAAATATTTTAGATTTAAAATACTATTTATTGTAATTTTATAATAATCAAAAATAATTAATGATGTCACATTTTAAATATATCAAAAATTTCCAATCCAATATAAACAATAAAAAATAAACATCTAATTTAATTTTGTTTTAAAAATCAGTTCATTCTGCTGTGTTTAGATTTTTATTTTTGTTTAAATAATTTTTAACATGATAAATCATTAAAAAAATACTTTATTGAGTACAAATTAAATTTAAAATACCAATCAAACAAACTAATCGACATTATATAATAAAAAGATATCAAAAGCTAAAAGAAAATAATAAAAAATCCATGTATATATATTTGTGTTATTGTTCATAAAAGGGAGTACCTTTTCTTTCTTTCTTTTTTCTTTTTTTTTTCTTTTATAGGTTTTTTATATATATATATATAATTAAAAAAATGGAGTACACTTTTCAATACTCCCTCCCTCGGGGTAAGTTGACCACTTTTATTTACAATAGGTAATAATTTTAATTAATTAATTATAGTAATTTATATTTTATGATTGTATTTTATAATTTTTATGTGATATAGTGATAGTTTTAAAATAAATTTATTATATATAATTAAAAAAAATTAGAATACATATTTAAATAATTTTGAAATTATATTGTAATAAAAAATATATGTTATATGAATATCATTTAGTAAATAATGAAATTTTATATAATACCAATAAATAAAAAATATATGTTTATTTATTCATATTTAACATACACAAATATTATAAAAAAAATAAAAATAGAGTTTTAGATGTAAAAAAACATTGAAAAATATATAGAAATAAAATTTTTGAGCAAATCCTACCCGATGATATATATATATTACTCCCTCCGTCTCACATACAGTGTTTGCTACAGTAGATAATTGGTAGATAATTAATAATGTATCAGTAAAAATAATTATCTTATAATATAAATAATTATAAAGTAAGATTAAGATAGCTAATTAGTTTAATTAAAATTTAAAAAATAAATAAATTTAAAAATTTAAAATGAGATTAAAGTGTGTAATTATTTTTCACAAAAAAAAGTGATATAAATGACAACGTAGATATAGTATGTGGGACGAAGGGAGTATTATATTTATTTATAAATCATGTTATCCCACAAACAACCACAGCCTCAATAGTCAGAGGCAGAATGGGAATTTGTTGACACATATAGTAGTAGGATTGACAAAGTGTAACATTAATTTGTGTGTGTGTTTACTTTTTAGTAGAAAAAATATAATTATTATAATAATAATAATAATAATAATAATAATAATAATAATAATACGACTGATTCACATCGCAAAAAAAATTCCCTTCACAAATTGACAGGCGTTGTTGTTACACATGACTGCTATCCTATGCTCGTCAATTTCTGCTAAATAAAATTAAATTTTGTTAGCTTTGATCCTCCAAATTTCTTTTTACTTAATAAGACTCCAATATGCATACTATATATTCCCTCTTCTCATATCTATATATCCATTTGTTTTTTCACAGAATTTTAAAAATATTAACATTATATTGAAATAAAGTAGAAATAAAAGTAAAAAAAACTAAATTAACCCTATTAGTATTCTATGGTAATGACATTTGTGTAATATATTGTAAATTGGAAGAGTATTTGTAATATTAGATAGATAGTACAATTACTAAAAAAAGAAAATAGATACTTTATTATGAGACGGACCAAAATGAAAAAATGAATAAATTATTAAGGGCCCTAATTTTTTTTTATTTAAATTTAAACTATCATTTTTATCATTTTCTATATTTCATCAAGTATCATATTCTTAATTTTAAAAAAATAATAATTTATTAATGTGAAATTACTTTTTAACTTTTATTTAAATTACAAGTATACGATTATATATATTACTTTATATATAAAATTAAAGAGTAAAATATCAAAAAAATTTACACAATTATATTAATTAATAAAATAATAATATTTTTTAATTACTGAAAAACTACTAATGACCTATTTGAATTGGGACGGGGAGAGTATATTGGTCCACTCACAAAATATATATATTTTTATTTTAGATCATCTAATAAGTAATTATTTATTTTTTTAGTAACCATAAACCATTTTTTTTTTTTTGCAAATACTCATATTTTACTATTGTATCATTATTTTTACACTATAAAGTAAAAGATAAAAATATATTTATACTATTTTAAACCAATTATTACAATTAAAATATTATTATTAATTATACTATTACGCAACAAAATAAATATATTCTTTTATATAAGATTGGTTGCACGGACATACAAACCAACCCTAAACTAAATGTAAATAACTTCGTATATATATTAGGCCCAATAGTTTCATTTGGGCCCTAAGCTCTAACAGCCCCAAGCCTATTACAGTGTTCGTCTTGAAAAGGGGCATTCTTCAAATTAGGGTTTCTGAGAGCGATAACCCGTCGAAAACAGCTCCATCCTCAAATTCCCAGGGTATCAGCATCACCATGAGCAGGTCAGGACAGCCTCCGGATCTCAAGAAGTAAGAATAGTCATTGAATTCGTACTTTCATGACTAATTTTCTATTTAAGCTTGTCATCTGAAAGTTATGAATTAGCGCCTGACAACGGGTGTTTTGCTCGGCAGGTACATGGATAAGAAGCTTCAGAGTAAGTTTTTCAGTAGATCGTTTTCATTTTTGTGAAAATCGAGCGAATCTGTCTTGATAATCATGGTTACTTTATCAATTCGCAGAATTTGTCTTGTTTGTACACTGAAACGTGTTTTTTCAATCGGAGTTTGGGGAATTTGGTGGTTTTATAGCGAATGCTTGCTAGAAATGATTTGTGTGTATTTCCGTTACACCTTTGCTGTCTCAATCTTATGAGAATTGGTATTTATTTTACTATGTGAATGAATTGGAAGAGAATTGCTGAATGATTTCATGACACTGAAGTTAAAATTACTACGTTATGGTGAATGATTAGTGATATGCAACTGAGAATCTGAGGTTAGTGAAGTTCCAATAGTAGTTCTCGACAGTGTGCTGTTTATGTTTGTTTTTACATGCAAGGCTATGTATTTATATTATACATTTCATTGCTAATCAATAAAAATCATCTTATGTGAACATTTTTAAATTGTGTTATATAATATAATGTCTTCAAGAGAATGCTATCTGCATTAGGAATCAAGCAAATATCGAAGGGAAAGAAAACTATAGGTACTTCTAGCTCTAGAATGCAGATTAAGTCTCTGATTGGAAAATCAGAAGAACTCACTGTCTATAAATCTTTAATATAACTTCACTACTATGAGGCTTTTTGGAGAAGTATAAAAACAAATCCTTATAGACATAATCAAAAGCGGACAATATTATAATAGTGTTAAAGTTAGCTCAATCAATCCTAACAAATGTAAAGAAAATGAAGAATATCTGAGCAACAATGAAGAGATGGAAATAAGAAATAAAATTATTTATTGGATTTTGAATTTGATTAACTTTGAGTGGCTTTGTTTTGTTTTGGGTTTGATCTGTTTATATATATATATATATATATATATGTTAGAAATGAGGAAATGTGTCATAATATAAAAAAGTAAATAGTTTATATTAAATTGTTGATTTATTTTTTGAGTCGATAGTGTATATATATTACTCCTATATATTTTGTGTTGGATTTACTAATTCTATGTTTGATTGACGCTCCATCACTTCCTTTTCCACTAAGTGATTGTAAATATATGTATATATTGTATTTTTTATAATATTAATTTAGAAATCGTGTCAAAAGAGTTTGGTTAGATGAACAAACCCTTTAATTATTTATTTATTAAATTAATAGTAATCTAATTGTTTTTGCTTGTATAACTATGAGATCAATTTATAGCCTTTTCATTTTTTTTGTTTAGTTCATTGTAATTTGTAGATATAATCATTAGTATAAGTATATTTTTAAGATGTTACAATATTTTAGATATTGACTGCTATTTAATGTTGTCCGAAATTGACAACTATACGGAAAGGAAGGAACTCACATGCTGTCGCCGTAATGCAGTAAAACTAAATGCCAACCGCATGGTGGTGGGAACCCTCCGCGGCTTTGACCAGTTTATGAACCTTGTGGTGGACAACACTGTCGAAGTGAATGGAAATGAGAGAACTGATATTGGGATGGTGGTATGTCGATTGAGTTTTAGGTTTGGTGCATTTATTAATCTCGTTGTCTGACCTCCAGCTTTTACTAAAGTTTCTTTGTCGCCTTGTTTTTTAGGTCATTCGTGGGAACAGCGTCGTCACTGTTGAAGCTCTTGAGCCAGTTAGTAGAGCACAATGAATGTATGTATGTATATATCTTTTGCGATGCTATTATGTTTTTAATTTCTTGATGCCTAATATTTGTTGTGGACTTTTTTTTTGGGATATATGTTGCTCGGTTATGCATTACAGGTATGTTCTTTTATCAAATTTTTTCAAATTTCTATTATTTATCATCTTTTTTTTCTTAAAAAATATCAAATCAAACATTTATTTTTACCGTGGTGCTTATGAGTTATAATGAATCTGTGCTAAAATGTTTCTTATGAAAGGGACCGTGTTTCGTACACCTTTTATTGGAACAATTTTTTAAAGTATAATTTCGAAAGAAAGCTTTTGTTACACGTGGTGATACTTATTTCGTTTATCTTGTTCCTTGACGGGGATGCTCTTACAATGGCATCTCTTCGAGATGGCTGATTGTGACACATCCCGGATCTTTTGCACTTACTCCTATTAGAGGTGAGCAAAATGTCGAAACCGAATCGTCGAACTGCTGAATCGAATCAAATCAAATTTTCAGTTAACTGAGCAAATTCGGTTCGAATATAAATGCTGCATATTTAATGTTTGTTTTGTTCGATTTTGATTTTGAACATTTTTTGGTTCAGTTATCGAAGCAAAATATATATATATGTAATAAATTTTTGAAATCGTTTAATTTTTTATATTGGCTTGGCTTTACTTTACTTTACTTTTTATCCACCAATGTTAATATTAAAATAAATTTATATAATTTTACCCGATGGAAGAAGTATTAATTTTGATTTAAATATTATTTTAATATAATATTTAAAAAAAAAATTAGTTTTAATAATTGAAAAGTGATCATTTTAATTTGAGTCCAAAATCAAACAAACTCAAAACTATAGTATTTATCAAAATTCGTGTTTTATTTTAATGAGTAAATTTTATATGAATGGATTAAAATATTTAAATTAAGTTGGCGCCAGTTTGAGTTTAAATTTTGGGGGCATCGCAGTTCACGTACCAACTTACGGTACATATTTCATATTTGTCCTTTGCGTATTGGTCCATTTGCTCCTACAAACCATTTTAAAAAATATCATTATTATTATATCTTATTTTATGTTAACATATTTATATAAATATAATTTTTATTTAAAATATGAGACTTTTTTTATTTTGTATTTTTGGATGAATGTATTTTTTTATATAAGATATAAGGAATTGTATTGATAATATATTACTATTATTTTGTATTTAGTTGTTTTGTTTTAAAATAAATAAAAAAATATATTAATATATATTGTATTAGTGTGTATATATATTATATTATTTTAATATAGAGAATTATACTACCACTTAAAAATATTAAATGAACAAACCAATAATATTTAAAAAATTTAAATCAATTATTTTGTATTTTTATTTTTCGTCCTCGTAGTCATTACATTACATACTCACCTTCACTTTTTTTTAGCTTCTTTTTTGAGGGGAGTGTGATAAATGCTTTTTGGTTATTGCCCGTTACTGTCGATACTGCCCCACTTTTACTCGTTTTTCTTTTGTTCCCTTTAACATGCAATAATATTTTTTTAGGGTGGATTATTTTTTCTTTCTTTTTACTGTAGGGTGTGTTTGTTTGGGGGATTTTCCCCAAATACACAATTTATTCAATTTTTTTTTTTAAAAAAAAAACATCAAATCAAATACTTATTTTTCATTTTTTATATTATATTAAAAATTAATTTTACATTCAAAACATCAACATCAATTTATATCACATCAATATAACTATTCCAATTCAAAATTTTTACTATTCAAATCTCAACTCAAAATCCAAACCCCCAAACAAATACACCTAGGTAAACTATGGAAGTTCATTCTATATTTTTGGATAAATATATTTTTTTATTTTATGTATGAAGAATTATATTGTTAATATAAAAAATAATGTTTAGTGTGAATTATTAACTTTTTGTGAATAAATATAATGTATATTAAATATTGTGTTAATATATATTATATTTTTAAAATATTTATGAAAAATCGTACCACTAAAAATAGATTGAATGAATAAACTTAGGGTGTGTTTGTTTGGGGGTTTGGATTTTGGATTGGGATTTGAATAGTAAAAATTTTGAATTTGAATAGTTGTATGATGTGATATAAATAGGGTTTGATGTGATGTTTTGAATGTAAAATTGATTTTTAGTATAATATAAAAAATGAAAAATAGGTGTTTGATTTGATATTTTTGGGGGGAAAAAATTGGATGAACAGTGTAAATCCTCCAAAATCCTTCAAACAAACATACCCTTAGAGTGTGTTCCTTTGTAGGATTTTGTCAAAATTCTACTGTTCACCCAAAATTTTCTCCCTAAAAACATCAAATCATAACACTTATTTTTCATTTTTTTTATATTATACTAAAAAATCAATTTTACATTCAAAACATCACATCAACACCTATTTATATCACATCATACAACTATTCAAATTCAAAATTTTTACTATTCAAATATCAATCTAAAATCCAAACCCCAAACAAACATACCCTTAGTTTTCTTAAGTCTCCTACTTGGATCGTTTTATTATTTTAGAATTGTAATTAAATTTATAAACAACATCCTTACAATCCAATACATTTACCACAATGATATTCTTATAGTTCAACATTTTTAAAAATAAACGTAAGTCACAAAAGTATTTTTATTTTTTCACTTAATATAAATATTTTTATATAGTATTAAATATATGGTGTGTTTGTTTTGTTAAATAATTTAAGATATATATATATATATATTTTATGTGAGGGCTATAATAAAAAAAACATTCACTTATTTTGTGAAAGGCACCTAGTGTGTATATTAATTTTTTTGAAAAAATATATATATTTTTGTGTTTATTTATTATTTTTTTAAAAAAAACAATATTTCATGTAAAATATTATATTGAATTTTATTTTACCCAGTATAAAATTTTATTAATGTAAAAAAATCAATTTTTTTTCTTATGTTTTAATATAAATTTTGATTTAAATAATAATCTAATATATACTCTATTCATGCAATAATTTTGGATATTTTTTGTTACAATAGTTTTTTAAAAAAATATTGAATTAAATATATTTTTATTTACGAAATATACTAAGAAAGGACTAATCAGTTAAAAGTTTGAATATTTACAAAAAAAATACTCGTCCACTTGGGAAAATGTAATGAAATCAAATGAAGCTCCCTTCAAAATTATTATTGCATCAATTCAATCCAATCTTTTTTATTGGGAACCCAACCATCATTATATTATATATATACATATAAAGATCACTTTTAATCATATTGTTGTTCTTATAGTATAAATAGATTAATTAATTAATTTTTTCTTTTGTTATTTAATTAGATATTTTGTAAAAGGCAAAACTGTACTTTAAAATTTTAGGAATGCATAATTCAAATATTAATTTTTTTTAAAAAAAAAAAATTGACAAAAGAAACACACATATAGAATAAAAATTACGACGCATTTTGTATATTAAATTTTTATACTCCTTCCGTGTCAATACAATAGTCTTGTTTACCATTTTTGTCTGTCTCAAAACAATAGTATCATGTATATAAATAATCATATCACTATAAAACTACGTTTACTTTTTCATTATTATTACACAATTGTTACTACTTTTTACACTAATACACTCACAAGGACAAAAAAATATTTTACCCGTACTTTTTACCCAATACCAATATAATATCAATATTTCTTAAATCTCGTGCTAAATACAACCCAAACTATAATTTTGAGACGAATGAAATATGTTATTAATAATATTTTTATGTACTGACTGGAAGCCGGTAAATCCTTAATAAGAAGCATCATAAGGGAAGAGATGCGTGTAACTTTAATTTACATGCTGAAATATTTACTATTGGATCTGATTTGTATTGGGAATCTCAATAATAAGTTACAATTACACTATGACAAGTAATTAACTAATTAATTTGTTTTTTTCTTTTTAAAAAAACCTAATTAAATTAAATTAAATTAAATTAATGTCTGCTGGGATAAGCTCTTTAAGCAAAAAGAGCAATAAATTATTAGAGTCATTAATTATGGTGGCCTGCCCGCAAATACAGGCAATTATGTTTACCACTAACACTGTACTAACTAATTCTAATCAATTAATTAACCTTTATTTTATTATGTTTTGAAAATACTTTAGAATTTTAGATTGATTTAAAATTAATAAAGAATGTATTTTGTATGAGGTTTTAAAATTTGACTATGATATGTTAATATATAAAAGTTTTAATAAAAAAAAGGTTTTAAAACACAAATGAAAAATGGCCTTGCTTATTATTACTAATATTGTTTTACGATATACTCCCTCCGTTCACAAACTGATGTCCTATTTTTTTATTTGGGACATTTAACAACTATGATCCTCTTTTTTTTTAACACAAATTTTACGTTTTTACCCTTCATTCATTTATTACTTTTCATCTCTACCATACAATTAAAAAAAAATTTGTCCATTCATAACAAAAAGACAATCACCTAAAAAATCGTGTAAATAACCTCAGGACAATAGAAATTAGACGGAGGGAGCACTGTAAAAAGTGCTCCCTATTTTTTCAGTTTGATTATTATTATTTTTTATATGTAATATGAAAAATTGTGTTAAAAATATAAAAGAAAGTCATTTTCGCTTTGAACAATTGTCTCTCTTTCTAAGAAGCTTAATATATATATATATATACCTTTTAAATTAAATCATTGTATGTATTTTTTGTTTTTGGATTTAAGGAAAAAAAAAATTGAATAATTATTGACGATATTTGTAATTATTTCGTTGTACATGCTCTAACAATTTTATAATATATTTACTATACAAATTTTAAGGTACTCTTAACATTTTTCATTTACTTCATTGTTTATAATTAAAAAATTATCATATATTTTACTACAAATTAATACGTGGTTCTAACCCCTGATATCCTCAGGGTTCGCCTAGTGTGACTTGTCTGTCGAACCTATTTTGCAGGGTATTAGATCCGATTGGAGGTTTACCCAGTGTATACTTTTGGGTAGCGGCTGCGGATTCCAACATCATTAAAAAAAATAAAAAATTAATATGCTGTTATCATTCAATATAGTTACATTACAATCCAATAATAAAGTCTTATATTTAACAACTAATTCAATATAAAACACAAATGTACGTCACAAGTGCAAATAAAATACACCCTATAAGTTTTAATAGGTGCTATCAATTATACCCTTTGTTAATATATATATATATTTATATTTTTCATTTACATTCTAAACAGTGCTTCTTTCGTACCAAACAACTGCAATATTTTCTTTTTGATATGTCCCAAACACCACGTAATATTTTCAAAATAGAAAATAATTAATTATACATAATCTCTACCCCACACTTTATCCCCTGGCATTATCAAAATAAATAATAATATATATATTTCTCTCTCAATCACATTACCTAATTTCTAAATTATCTTATTTAATACTACCTACCTAAAAACTCGTACTAAAAGCAAATATTGCACCTTATTTTGGATGAAAGAAAGTATTATTTAATTGAAGTTATCCTGATTACAGGAGAGTTCATAAATTGGTACCCATATTTGTTGAGAAATACATTAATAATCATTAATTGACCTAGCTAGTTCACTATTATTATTATTATTATTATTATTATTAAAGAAATAGATTTTATTTTTTTTAATTTTTTTTCAGAGTTTCCAAAATTAGAGGGATTTTCGTGAATACAAAGAAAGGGAATTTCATGTTATTTTCGAAAAGTTTTTGAGTGACGTTGTTTCTTTGGTTGGTCGTGTGTTATTTTCTATGCGATGAATATGACAAATAAATATTTAGGGTGTTTGTAAACATTTTAAAAATATTCTGAATATTTTGATTTTATGTAAATATTAAAATATAAATATTTTATTATTGGACAAAAAAATAATAGTACGTGAAATAATTTAGATATTTTTATTTTTAGTATTTTATGTATAAATTAATTATATGTGTAATAATACATATGTAATTTATATAAAATCAAAACTATTTTGATATTAATGTAATATTATTGTTTCTATAATAAATAATAAATACTTTTAATTGAGACGAAAAAATATATTTATAATAAAAAACATAAATATAAAAATTGCAATATAATTTAAAATAAAAAAATGAACACAAATGATTTCTTTGTTGTTATTATTATACATACGTCCATAAAAAATATATATATATTGTTTTGTTTATACAAATTTATATTTTTTTATTTATAATTATTTTTAGAATTATTAAAATTATTTCATAAATAAAATTTAATTACTTATACTTACCGTATGAACGGAATTACTTATATTTATTAAAATTTGTAGAGAGTACTAATAATGTATGTTAGAAACTTAATCCGCTCACTTAAATAAATAAACTCTCCTTTATTCGGTAGTGGAAATAAATTACCGTTTTATTATTATTATTATTATTATTATTTATTTATTTATATATTTATTATTATTATTATTAAATTTACATTAATTAATATTGAAGCCAAACTACCAAATTAAAGCACCAAAAGGCAACCCCAATATTAAAGTCGCCATTAAAATCCCTAATTCCCAAATTCCACAAAACCCCTTTCTTCTTCGTCTTCTTCTTTTGCTTGTATCAAACTCCATTTTCACTCATCTCATTATCTCCATTTCCATCTCAAATCCCTAAATCCGCTTTCTGAATTCTCCACTAATCTACCTAACCTCATCATTCCCATCCCAAATTCGTCCAACAAATCCAAATCTTGCTTCGCAGACAAGCCCAATTCCATCCAATCATGACGACGGACATTCTGCATTCCCCACCTCGTCTGCATCCTTCGCCCCCAAGCCCCATTGATGATGCCCTGCGCCAACAAACTTTTATTAATGGCGCTCCTGTATCACTGTACAGGAGGAGGAGCGGACAATTAGGAGCGGAGGAAGAGGACGAAGGAGATCACCTCTCTGTTCTCGCCGCATTGGTAACCGTTTTCCGGAAATCTCTCGTCGGCTGTCGAGATTCCAGCGGAGGGAGGTGTGGCGTTGAGGACCAATTCATGGAAATTGGATGGCCTACGGATGTTAGACACGTCGCTCATGTTACTTTCGACAGATTCGATGGCTTTCTTGGATTGCCTGTTGAATTTGAACCTGAGGTTCCTCGAAGACCTCCCAGTGCTAGGTAAAAGTTCCACTGTTCATCTTTTTGAAAATCTGTTCATCTTCAAATATAGAGGAGCTGTAAAAATTTTTCACCACTGTGGATAGTGAGTAATTCATTATCTCATAGACCTGATTGTGGAGATTTTCTTTTGATTTGGTGTGTTCTGAAGATTTAGGGTTCTTTTAATTTTCCTAATTTTGTTCATCGGATGACGGAAGAGAAACACATATTAGGTAAGGGTTAGTTTCAAACTTCGAATCTGTAATTTAGATCCTCTGAATTGTGGGATGAAATTTCTATTTGGTAATTTCTTGTCACAAAAAAACAAAACAAGAATGTTCTTTCTTGAACTTACGCAATCACTGATCATCGTTTCGGAACCATTGTGGATCTTGGTTTGTTCGTCAGAAATGTTAGAGAGATGTTTTGGAGTTTTGAAAATTTTTGGAAAGTATGAGTTTGTTTGTTTTTCATTTGAAATTGGAGTTTTAATTTGAATTTTGTTTTAAATAATACTTTGATGTTATATTTTTATAGTAACCGAACAAGCTGGATAGTGGTGAATTTGTGTAAGAAAAAAATACGTTTAATGTGATATTTTTTGAAAAAGTTACTGTCTGTGAATAGCGTTAAAAGTTCCAAAAGAGTCTATGTAAATAGAGTCGTAGTTCCACACACACGCACACAAAACGATCGAGGTTATTGGTGGCTTTCAATTGAATTCTCTTCCTACTTAGTGAAATCGGTTGGTTTGGTTGTTTGGATGAACTTTTCTTGCCAGTAACTTCATTGGATTGAGTGGTTGAAAGTTCGAAAAGTTCATTTCGCTAACCGGTTAGTAATTTTTCGGTTAGTTGTCAAAAAGGGTAAAGTGAAAGCGAAGCAACCAACTCTGCAGAGTCGAGTAGACCAATTTCTGATGCTAAGTTGCTAACAAAGATTTAAATTTTCGAAACACTGTACATTGTTATAAACATTCCCGACCTTTTATGTATTAAAGAGAGTTTTAACATATGCGTTCGATACAAATGTTCTACGTTATGTATATCCTTTTTATTGATACATCTTCCGTTTGGTCCTATCGACTCTGATTTTTCCTTTTTACAGCACAACGGTTTTCGGAGTCTCAACCGAGTCAATGCAACTTTCTTTCGATTCGAGAGGTAATTGTGTTCCGACTATACTCCTGATGATGCAGAGACGATTGTATTCTCAGGGCGGCCTTCAGGTACGTAAAGATCTCTCTTTTTATTCGTTATTTTTGTTCCAAGAAAATGTTTCGAGCGCGAGCATTGGTTTCTACTTCAGATGGAAGGGATTTTCAGAATCAATCCAGGGAATGGCCAAGAAGAGTATGTCCGGGAGCAACTGAATAACGGACTCATTCCGGAGAATATCGACGTGCATTGCTTAGCCGGCCTGATTAAGGTACATCATTTACCATTAGATCAAGCTGAACGAGATTTGAAAATATTATCGGTATAAGCTCGACTTAGCTCGTTTAGAATTCGAGCTAAAATGGTGGCTCAAGCTCGATTTGACTTTGAGGTTAACTCGAATTTTATACCAACTTTATAATGTCTTTGTCATTCAAATTTATTCTCACTTTCATATTTTGATTGTCATATAAATTTATTTTCGTTTTATTTTTTAGTAAAAAAATAAAACTTTTTCTATTTTTTTTTTTTTTTACTTTAAAAAGTAAAAGTTTCTATTTTTATCTATTTTTCTTAAAATTTGTGCCCTATCAAATGAGCACACAATTAGACAACAATGAGAAGACGGAGGGAGTATTTTTTAATGTATAAATTAAATATATTTACTTTTATTCATAAGTTATTCCAATAAAATACTTAAATTTCATCTATATAAGTGCAAATTTTGATATAAAAGTTTATATACACTATATTACATTATAAATTTTGATGTGCACGCTAGCCAAGCTTGAACTCAGATTCTTTTACATCAATAATATTTCTCAAGTTTGAGCTCGGTTCGTTTATTTCTATAAACGAGTTGAGTCGAGCTTGGCTTACGAGCTACCTTATTCGACTAACAACTGTATTTACGGGAGACTCGGATTTGGGCACTCGGGACCTTCTGCCCGAACTCTTTATCGTGAAATTATATCTATCGAATGTAGGCTTGGTTTCGAGAACTACCCAGAGGTGTATTGGATTCGCTGCCCCGAGACCAAGTCATGGAGGCACAATCCGAAGAGGAATGCATTCGGCTCGTTCGACTTCTTCCTCCCACAGAAGCTGCATTGCTCGATTGGGCGATTAATTTGATGGTCGACGTCGTACAATTCGAACCTTTGAACAAAATGAACGCCCGCAACATTGCAATGGTTTTTGCTCCCAACATGACTCAGGTGAGCCCGATTACGATAAAATTTTTAATAGATCGAATCTGCCGATGCATTGAAAAACCTCAATATTGTTCTTCTCTAGATGTCGGATCCTCTGACGGCGCTGATGTTCGCCGTTCAAGTAATGAACTTTCTGAAAGCTCTTATCGTCAAGACCTTGCGGGAACGAGAGGATCGGGTTGTCGAAGCCGGGCCAGCGATTCAGTCCGAGCCATCGGACGAAGACAGCGGCCACAGTGTTTCGAAGGCGGCGGCGAGTCCCGAGCTGAGCGAAACAAGCGAAGAAGACGTGCGCGGCAAGAACCGGACTGCCGCTGCGACGAATTTGCACATCCGATCGAGCGATGGGACCGACGGGCTATCGAACTCGACGGAAAATGCTCTCCCCGACGACAATGGCGGGAACTCGACGCGTAGAGTGCAAAGAAGCACGGCGAGAAGCCGGAGGACGATGAAACCCCGGCAGCCGGCGAGCTGTCTGAACGATGTGAAGAAAGGGCTGCGGAAACACGGTGGCGCCGCCGATGCGGCGGCGGACAAGAAGAAGGAGCTCAACATTGTTAGCCGCGTGAACACACGCGCCGAGAGGGTCGAGACTTGGAGGTGAAACTTCATGCATTCGGAATTCTTAATCTTACTTGTCTGGTTCTTGTTTGTTTGTATTCTCTTTTTGGTATTTTTTTTTAGATAATTAATGTGCAATTAATTGTAGTTTGTGTTCTATTTTAGTGGTGTGTATTGAGTCTATAGTGCTACGATGGCTGTTATTGGATCCGAATTTGTTGTTCTTATTGGGCTTATTTTTAATTTGGGCTTTGTGTAATTTGATTTTGGCTTGGCCCATTTTTATATGGGCCGCTGGTGTACGATAATACGGTGCACCGGCGGTGTATGTTCACCGGAGCGTCACTATATAAAGATATGATAGACCGAACAGATTACTCTGAGGATAAAAATCTGCCTGAGGATTTTGCTTGCAGGCGTTCATGGAGGTTTCTGCTCAATTTTCGGCCGTTGCTTCCCGCCCTTCTTTGTCTCTGCTGGTACCTAAATTCCCTCGCCGTGGCTACGGATTCTCGACGAGCTTCGCGTGCTCGGCTCAGTTCTCGTCGTTTTGCTGCGGGAATTCTTTCACTGTATGGTTGGGGAGTTCGTTTGGTTTTGCTTTCTGGAATTATGGACTAGTTTGATTTGGTTTTGGTTCAATGCAGAGAGAGGTATGGCGATCGGTGAATTACAAGAGTGGTGTTGTTCAAGTAAGGGAAATGCGAGGCGTGGTGAGAGCTGAAATGTTTGGGCAATTGACTAGTGGACTGGAAGCTGCTTGGAGCAAGCTCAAGGGAGAAGGTTTCTGTGTTTTTCGAGCTTTCTTCTTATATTTCTTCTCTGGTTTAGATTGGGTGATTTCTCTTGGTGGTGATTGTTAAAGTATTTGGGAAATGTATAGAGTAATTTTTTATTTTTATTTTTTTTTTTGTGGATTTTACAATGTAGAGGTCTTGACTAAGGAAAACATCGTGGAGCCTATGAGAGACATCAGAAGAGCTCTCTTAGAAGCTGATGTAAGAGTAACAGTTTCTAAATATCTTAATAGTTTGTCATTGAGTATCTTACCTTTGTTTTACATTGGCAGGTTAGTCTTCCTGTCGTCAGGAGATTCGTTCAGGCAGTAAGCGATCAAGCAGTTGGCACTGGAGTGATCCGAGGGGTTAGGCCAGACCAGCAATTAGTTAAGGTATGATTAGCATTTGGCTCTACCCACCAGAAGCTCCAACATTGTTAAATTTTTTGTATACGATTTTTGTTTCAGCCCATACTTGTTCATGTTAAAACATTAAAACCTATTGTATTTCAAGTTTCCACATTTGATAAGATAATTGAGAAGTTTTTATTCACACCCAATTACTTTATCACAAATTTCAATCAAATTAGGCCTTTACCACTATTGAACTACTTTTGGAATATAATGTTTTGTTGCCCGAAAATGAACTTTTTAGTTCAACGGAGCTACCCCAGCTTCATATTGTCTGTGTTGCCTGCCAAAAATGTGCCTACTCGGTTTTATAACGGGCGGTGGTGTTGGTAAAATTTCCATGATTCTAATTTCTAAAACAAGTTGATTAACTTTGGTGCCTGCTGCATCCAAAGTGTTTACTTTTTACTAAATAATATCCCTTAATACACCATTTAGTATATTCAATCTGTTATGATAAACTTCATCCTGATGGTATGTTTTATCAAACATTCTTATAGGTTATTGATATTAGTTGGCTATGCTTGAACTTATCTGTAATGTTGTTGCTCTACCTTTGATCAATGCAGATTGTGCATGACGAGCTTGTGAAACTAATGGGAGGAGAAGTTTCTGAATTGGTGTATGCAAAATCTAAACCAACTGTGATTTTGTTGGCTGGATTGCAAGGTGTTGGAAAAACAACTGTCAGCGCAAAGCTGGCTTTATATTTAAAAAAACTGGTGCTATTCTTGTATCTGTTGTTTTGTGCTTAAACCCTCTTCCTTTTTATGTTCAAACTGATGTCGCTCAAGTTTGAATGACATGATGAACAGGGAAAGAATTGTATGCTAATTGCTGGCGATGTTTACAGACCAGCTGCCATTGATCAGTTGGTTATTTTAGGTGAACAGGTAGTCCTCTTGACCTCTCTTTTGGTTCAGTCGAACAGTTTAAGATCTCAATGTTATGATAGAGTAGTATCTTATAGATGCTTATCATCTAATTTTTGTCATCTTCTTTCATGGAAACGGTGGTAAGGATTTTGAAGTTCTGATCTATTGTTTTAACGCAGTGTCCTCCGTTGCGTCAAGCCAGTACTTTTTTTGTTTATTGTATGACTTGTGTGTTCATAAACCTGACTGTGGATATCTCCCTCAACTCATGATGTGATTGAGTCTCTTTCTTGATATTTTATTTCTTAATGTTGAATCCTATGATTTGATATCCTGTTATATCTATGGTCATGATTAACAGGTCGGAGTACCTGTTTATGCAGCAGGAACTGATATTAAACCCGCTGAAATAGCAAAGCAAGGTTTAGCAGAGGCCAGGAAAAATAATGTAGATGTGGTAATAATGGATACTGCAGGAAGGCTCCAGGTGAGATCATTTGACCATCAGATCTCAACTATATGGTCAAGAAAAGTTCCTTTTATGTGACAAAGTCGTTAATCACCCGTTATCCTCTCAGATAGATAAAACAATGATGGATGAGCTGAAGGATGTCAAAAGAGTACTAAATCCCACAGAAGTTTTGCTAGTTGTGGATGCCATGACTGGCCAGGAAGCTGCTGGTATGTACTTACCATATTGCTTTAATGGAGGGAAATATACAAACTTGTTAGAAAACATTCATTTGCATCAATTGCCTTCCTCGCACTTAGTAAATGGAATGCAATTATTTTTTCAAAGTTTTATTTTAATGCCCCGTGTAGAAATGTTCAACAATATGAAGTTATTTTTGTCTTTAGTTTTGGTTCTACTACTTATATCATATTGCAAAGGATTATTTCTGTGTGTGCTCTTTGCTGTTATGCTTTTCCATTGTAATGCTTTACTAGATCTATATTCAGTTAAATTTCATATTCCGGTGTTGAAAAACAGTTTTCATCTTTACTTACAACAATGTTCTATGACATTTTAGCCTTGGTCACAACATTCAATGTTGAAATTGGAATTACGGGTGCCATTTTAACAAAGCTAGACGGGGATTCTAGAGGTGGTGCTGCCTTGAGTGTGAAAGAGGTCAGTCAACTTTATCTCTTTTAACATCTTTATATTGTTTTATATTAATTCCTTTATGGTGAGAAAGAGAACAAGGTCAAATAAAACTTTCCAAGAGACTCTTTTTGGTTGTCGTTGAGTTTGTGGTTAGAAATTCAGTATTAGATATTGTTTTGTTAATAGTCGGATTATAATATAATATATATTTGATTAAAAATAAATGTAAAGTATGAGTTGAATGTTTTAAAAAATTATAAATAAAACAACTATGTATATTATACATGATAAATCATCAATGTAAATTAGTTTATAAATAAAAATAAGGAATTTTAGATTTATATAAATAGGCTGCAGTCAGGATGCTGATCGGATCAAATTAGTTTATAAAAAATTAGTTCTATATATCACCACACATGTGCTATATAAAAGCCTGAACAGTTTATATATTGTATATTGCTTAATACATATTTATTGTGTTGAAAATCAATAATATGTTGAACTGACTATTGTATTATCATGCTGTGAGATTATGTACTTCATATTATTATTATCACAATTGAAATAGTAGTTTAATGTAATATAAATAGGTACCGATGTAATCTAAAATTAATATTTAGTATAATATAAAAAATAAAAAAATAGAAGTTTAATTTGAAGTTTTTAAAAAGAATTCTCCTTTTCTTTTTAAGTAAAGACCTACAAACCAACACAACAATAGAATTAAGAGATTATCAGTGGGTCCACTTTGAAAATTTTGGGAAATATTTGTGATGAAAAAGATTGGGAGAAAAGTGTGAACCAATTTCCAACCAACAACCACACACCAAAACCTTTTTTGTATCGAGCATGTGAAATACTGGTTCAGTATCTTGTGTGTCAAAAAGAATAGGAAATCAATGGTAATGAAGTAAACTATCTAAGTGTATGTATCGATTCATTTTGGGTAATGGAATTAATGTTCGGTATGGCAGGTGTCAGGGAAGCCAATAAAGCTTGTAGGAAGAGGGGAGCGTATGGAGGACCTTGAACCTTTCTATCCAGATCGAATGGCGGGTCGTATTTTAGGAATGGGCGATGTTCTATCTTTCGTGGAGAAAGCCCAAGAAGTTGTACGTGCAAAATTACACCTTTCGAATATGCATTTTGCTAATTTATTTTGTATTCTTAGTTATTGAGATTATCATTTTATGTACATGGACAGATGCGCCAAGAGGACGCAGAAGAACTGCAGAAGAAAATCATGAGCGCAAAATTTGATTTCAATGACTTCTTGAAGCAAACACGAGCCGTTGCACGGATGGGTTCGATGTCCCGTGTTATTGGAATGATGCCTGGCATGGGGAAGGTATAAAAAACCATACCTTCAATGCATTTAATGAACTCGATTATTGATTGTTTATTCAATAGATATTCTTACATGTAAAATTTGAGTCGAGAATATCTAGAAATGATCCAGATTTATAACTATTTTCCATTTGGTGCTATTCAAACAGATTACCCCTGCGCAAATTCGAGAAGCAGAAAAGAACGTTGCAGTAATGGAATCTATGATCGAAGCAATGACCCCAGGTTATCTCTGCAGTTTGTTTTAACAGTATCTTACAACTTTATTTGCTGAATGGATTTTGTATTTCGATTGCATTCTGATATCCTCTGATTTTTAGAGGAACGGGAAAAGCCCGAACTGTTAGCAGAATCGCCTGAAAGGAGGAAAAGAGTTGCTCAAGATTCTGGGAAAACCGAGCAACAGGTAGCAGCTGATTTGCGCTTTGGTAATTACTAATTAACTAAATATACGGCTTACATAAAAATGGCCGATATCTTTTCAGGTGAGTCAAATTGTTGCTCAACTTTTCCAAATGCGCGTGCGTATGAAAAACTTAATGGGCGTAATGGAAGGCGGATCACTTCCCTCAATGAGCAATCTCCAGGAGGCCCTAAAGGAAGAACTAAAGGTCATTATTTCTTTAAATTATTGCGCCAGGATAACTCTTTAACTGAAATTCATTTTCCTTACTTCATGCATTCGAACATTGGCGTGTAGAGTTGTTAAACGAGCAGAACGAGCTTTAAGTATTTATTGTTTGAGCTCGACTTGAACCATGCTATCAATAAAAGATTGATTCTGCTCGTTTAAGACTCGAGCTAAAATGACGGCTCGAGTTCGGCTTATTAAGCTCAACTTCAAGCTCAAGCTCAGCTTGAGTTCAACTTGGATTTATATAATATTATAATATATAAATTAAATAAATATAATTTTATTCATATTTTATTACTCTATCCGTCCCACTTTTTTTTGTCTACTATTTTTATTTGTCTATTCCACCTTGTTTATTCTTTTCTTAGAAAATATAATTATATATTTTAATTATATTTTAAGTTTTATAATTTATAATTTTAATTATACTATTTAGTTATCTTAACTTTAATCAATAATTAGTTTTATTATATAATAATTATTTTTACTAATATATTTCGTAATTACTATAATTACCTAAATTCTTTAATTAGTTACTAGTTATATTTTACCTAAATTTATGTATTTACTGTAAACCGGACACAAAAGATGGAACGGAGGGAGTATAATAAAATATTCAAATTTCATTAATATACTTCCTCCGTCGTTTCAATTTGATCGGGCATGAATTTTAAGAAAAATAGATAAAAATAGAAAAAAATTTCTTTTTATGGTAAAGAAGTAGAAAATGTGATTTTTTTTACTAAAATGGAAAATGAAAATAAGTTTGGATGACAAAAAAAAAAAAAAAAAAAAAAAAATTGAGGATAAATTTGGATGACATAAGGAATATATGTTTTGACATAATTTTTTTTATATATTCTATCAATATAGAAAATAAGACAAATATATTATTACTAACAAGTTGAATTGAGCTACTTGTGAGCCGAGCTCAAGCTCGATTTTTTTATCTTTATAAGCAAGTCGAGACGAACTTGGCTTGTGAGCTATTTGATTCGTTTAACAATTATATTGACATTTTAACTTATGATCCGAACGAGCAGCAAATCATGTGTTTTCTATCGATATCCAGGCTCCCCCGGGCACTGCAAGAAGAAAGAGAAAATCCGAGTCGAGGAAGCAGTTTGTAGATTTGTCTCCAAGAACAAGCCCCCGAGGATTTGGGGCAAAGAATTGACCAGCTTCGACTATCGGTTTGAATACATACAATCTATCATATTTCGATATCCATCGTGTCTTTACTTTTCGTCTGTCGATAACTTCATGCGACAATGATGTTGCAGTTTTAGTTGATTGAGTTCCTACTGTTAATGGTGGCGCGGCGGCCGGTTTTCGATCGTCAGTCAGAGGGGCCGGATAGTGATTCAATAAAGGTATTTTGCATTTATGAATTACGCCTGAGATGTGTGAATACTGAATATAGATCTCAGTAATATTGAGTAGGGTCTGAGTTAAACACACACATATATACATATAGAACCGATGGTTACGGTTTGTCAAAATATCAAACTGACGGTTTGTCAAAATATTAAATTGAAACTGAACTTTCCGAATGACGGTTTCGGTTACGATTTGACGGTTTTGATTACGGTTTATAAACCGCCGGTTACGGTTTGAACGGCCTATTTATATATACTCATTTTTAATAATTTTCTTTTTTATTTTCTATTTTTTTTAAAATTTGAATTTTATTTAAAAATAATTAAGTTACATTTTAATTTTATATAGATATATTTATTATTTATTTATTATATAAAAATCATATATATAAATAATTAATTAAATTGTTACATTATAAAAATAATTAAAATAATAAATATAGTAAATTACTAAATTATAAAAATATTGTAATAGATAATAAAATAATTTAAAATTATATGTGATTATATAATAAAAAATTATAAAATATAAAATATAAAAAAATATTAATAGTATTATTATTTTTCAATATTATTAATACGTATTTATATTTATTAATATTATTATTGTTATATTTTAAAATTTAATTATAAATATAATAACATTATTATAAAATATACACAATTTAACCCTAATATCTACTCAATACAATTAGCCATCCACGCTCCGCGAACGCCGCAGCCGTCCTCGCACACAGGTTCTTAGACGCCCCGCACACACAGGTTCTCCCTCTTCCTTCCTTCTTCCTCTCATTTCTTTCCTTTTCTCTTCCAACTTCGGTCTTTCTCCTCCTTTTTTCTTCTTCTTCTGCTCTGCTGCTGCACGCCTGCCTGCCCTGGAGATTAAAAAAAAAAAAAAAAAAAACCGCCGGTTCGATTTGTGCCCGATTTCGGTTTGAATCATAACCGGCTGTTGAAATCGACGGTTCGAAACCGAATGAGCAAGTCAACGTGTGTGTATATATATTATATATATATGCCTGTAATATGTAATGGATCTGAGTTTCTTTGTAGGTTATAGTGCAAGTATTATTCGCTTCGATATAGTAAATCAAACACTGTCTACGTATTTTTTTAAACTTAGATAGAGTAATTTATTTTAAATATTTAGATTTTTTTTTTTAATTATGATTTGAAATTAATTTGAAATTTGAGTATTGATTTAAAATTTTATTTATATAAATTTGAATGTGATATTTTTATAAAAATAAATAGTATATATTTTTATGATAAGCTGCATCGTACGAATTGTAGTTTGAAATCCCATAAGAACAAACCCATATTAATTAACACCAATTAATACATAATTATTACCCTCCAAATATATCTCGTTTGAACAAAAAAAACCGAAACCTAAAACCAAAATCAAACCCATCCCAAGCTTCACCTCTTCCAATAATGACCTCAACTAAAGATGCACACATGGGGCTAAATCCGTCATTTCAGAGGTGGAGAATATTATACCTGATTCTCTCGTCATCCAACCGGCTAGGGTTTCTAGAGGAGGGGGATCCGATTACCTTGAGAGCACTACAGAGGCGGGGACTGTCGAGAACATTTTTGTCTTTTGCTGGTGTGTATCTTCTTGTTTCCACCATTGCGATTATTTGAATGTTCTAATTTTTTTGTAATGATTTTGGCCTGTGCGGTTGCTACTTCATCGTTTTTTATTTTTTTCCACTGAAATTTGATACGGTTGCCCTGTGCGGATTTTTGTAATCGCGGCAGAAATGGTGATTTTTTTTTTTAAAAAAAAACTTCCCTCAACTTTGTGGATGTCAAATCGAATGCCGTATGAGCTGTGTAAACGTGTTTCGTAAAAATCGTCGACGTCCTCGGCTGCTTTTTGTGTCTGTGAGGAGGAATTGTAAAAATCTCTAATCGTCTTCTTTGACAGGTTTCGTAAGATCCTTCTTCTTCACTCTTCAAGCCTACACCAGTTCATTTACAAATACTTATGAGTTTGATTCGGTATCATCATTTGTTGTTTAGGTTTCTACTCATCCAAATACAGATCATAACATCATCTCACGGCGACAATTTTGAAAAAGACATTGAATGTGTGTGCGCGTTTAATGATAGCGATGCATTAGAAATGAAAATTAATCTGTGATCAAGATATGATATTTGTATAATAACCTCTGAATTGATGGTAGAACAAATTGAATTAAATAGTTTTAGGTGGGGAATAAAGACTGTCAGGAGAACCCACTGATTGCATATGGCTGAAAAGGAAGAAGTGAAGCACCTTGAGGATTGCTCGGTTTCAAAGTATGTTGTTTTTCATATACTGTATAATATGCTCTACCGATTCTCAAATCTGAATTTATGTCGAAATCTTCATTTCCATTTTCCTCTTTAATAGTTGATGTTGTGCTATGTTCTTGCTTAATGTACAAGAAGACATTCAAATGCTTCATGCTATGCTAGATTAGAAATATCGAGTGCTGCTTGTACATGTTTAAGCCTATTTATTTATTTACCTCTCAATTGATCATTTGAGAGACTGTTGTGTGAAAATTATAGGTAAGATTGCAGTTTTAGCCAATTAGAAAAGCTGAATATGAGGTTTATGTGTTCTAACTCTATTGTGTTTGCTTGGGGGTTTGGGTTTTGAGTTTGGATTTTGTATATAGTATTTTGAATTTAAATAGTTGTTTGATGAGATGTTAGAATGTAAAATTAATTTTCAGTGTAATAAATTAAATAAAATGTGTTCGATTTGATGTTGTTCGGGGTAAAAGTTTATGAATAGTGAAAAGTCTACAAAAACCCTCGAATAAACACTTGAAAATCTTAAACGATCCTCAGGTAGGATCCTTATTGTAGATGTTTGATTATTTTAAAGGTTTTGTTTGCTCCAAGATAGGTACATAAGGAAAGATATTTGAATTTTGGAGTTGTAATTCCAGTAACGATTAAGATTTTAATTAGGAACTAATGTGAATTATGTGGCGTCGGGGGTTTGAACCCATTACTCTATTGTCACGAGTTCACTTCACACCAGACCACACGGGGCCACCGTGTTTTTTGTTTTTTTATCAGACAAATAGTTGGTTCTATCAACTCAAAGCATTAATTAGTTGGTTTGGCATATGGTTTATTCTCTATACAATGTGATGTATCTTGCATATTATTTTTTTTGGCTTCATCACTTGATGGTTGTGTAAACACGTTTCAGTGCTTTGGGCACGTGGGTTTTCTCGGTGGTGGGAGCTTTGGTCGCAATCCCTGTTGGGATTAAACGTAAATCCTTAGCACCCCTTGTCTTCTTCGGAACCACTGGCACCATGATTGATATAATGCTGGGAATCAGTGCTTGTGAAAGAGAGCACGCAGAGCGACAGATGCAGCTTTTGGAAGAACAAAATGCTGCTGCAGCCAATTCTCAACCTGAATCTTCATGATCATCTGTGTGTACTAATTTCACTCACTTATTTCTTTATTTAATTTTTTTTTTGTGTTGTGCTACCCCTGAGTTTCTGATAAAACTTTAGGGTTTGCTTCTTTGGGTTTGGTCTGAGAAGATTTGATTTAAGTTTCGTTTAAAATAATGTTTGATGATATATTTTGTAAGAAAAAAATATATATTATTTTTTTAAAAAAATATAGTGAGTCAAATAGTAAAATTTGACAGATTTGTGTTAAAGAAACACATCCTTATATTCCTATATTTTTTAGTGGCATGGATATGTATAAAATGTTGTTCTTTTTTTTTTTTTTTTTTTTTTTTTTCTTTTCGGCTAGGTTGGATGATATTGTTTTATTTAGTCCAATCATTTATTTAGATAAATTTTGGAAGTACTTGAAAGGTTTTCTGTTTTTGTATCTATGTTGGATAAAAGAATGTGTTGTCGGTTCGTATTTGTATGTGTGCTGTGCTATATGCATATATTTTCTATATTAAAATCAGTGGTAGCATATGTCGTAGGAAATTATGTCATGTGTTATTAGTTTATATAGTATATTTATATTACAATGATTTTTAGAGTTATTAAACGAGTTGAACAAAAACGAGTATCTGTTGTTCGAGGTTGAATCGAATATACTACTTGTACAGGCTCGGCTTGGCTCATGGCTCATTTAGGATTCAAGTTAAAATGGTGGAAGTTTGGTTCATTAGGCTCGACTTCAAGTTAAAGTTCGGCCCGCAAAGGTTGAACTTGAGCTTTGAACTCAATTTGAGTTGAAGTGACTCCAGTTTCATACATATTTTAGTATTTTTTTAATATATGAATTAAATAAATATTTAAATTTTATTAATGAATTCAAATTTTGACAAAATGCAATAACATAAAATATATATGTGCATTATGAAAATTGTGCTAAACTTTCTATTGTTTTTAAAACTATATTAGACTTTTTTTCTTTTGTAGTTTTAGAAGCTTTGTGTTTATTTTTTCTTCAGTTATTAATTAATGGTGATTATTATGCATGCACTGTTACTGTAGATGTAATTTAAAATTCTCATAACTATGAAATTACAGTTAATTAAATGAAAAGGGAAAGAATAAACAGCATGGATCCAGTGCTGAAATAATAAATTCAGCACATATATTGACAATTAAAATTTAATTATTTCTAATTATATTAATTATATAATTTAATAATATTATTTAACATACTTTATTTTTACACATTCTGCATATGTGCTGAAATTATTATTTCAGCATTTGATCTCCTACCAAGAAAAAAAAAAAATCCGAAGGAGACCTTCTAATAATAACAAAAAATAATAATAATAATAAACATGAAATCCATCCTAAGTTATGGTCCAATTATTGATATATTAAATATATTTATAAAATTTTTAAAATATTAATTAACATCAATTAATACATAATTATTAGTGTCATCCAAATATATCTCGTTTTATTATTATTTTTTAAAAAAAAAAAAATCCAAAGTCAAACAAACTCTAAGGACGTGTTTGTTTTGTAAATTTGAAGAGATATTTTTTTTATACTATAAAATATAGAGAAATATTTAATTAATATAAATAATATATTAATTTTTTAAAAGAATAATGTATATTTATTTTTCAAAAACAACACACAAAGCAATGGTCCAATTATTGATATCGATTCATTTGCATCACGTGGGATACATAAACGACCTTCCGATAATGACCTCAAATAGGGATCAAGGCTGTGCGAGGACCCGAGGGTTAAATCCGTCATTTCACAGGAGGACAAAAGTATCCCCGATTTTTATTAGTATCTCTCGTTCATCCAATCGGCTAGGGTTTCTACGGACGACAAAGAGGAGGGAACTGCGATTCGCTCCAGATAACCTACTTCGCCTGTACCTTGAGAGCACTACACAGGCGGGGACTGTCGGGAACAGATTTGTCTTTTGCTGGTATGTATCTTATTGGTTTCATAATTGCGTTTATTCGAATGTTTTAATATTTTGTATTGATTTTGGCCCTGTGCGTTTGCTACTTTATAGTTTTTTTAATTTTTTCCCTGATGTTTGATACGGTTCCTGTGTGCGGATTCTTTGTTACCGCGGCATAAATGGGGATTTCATTTTATTTTATTTTTTTTGTAGTTCCCTCAACGTTTGTGTATTTTTAATCGAATGCGGTATGAGCTGTATGAACGAGTTTAACTAAGGGTTAATGGTGCATGCTTAATTTCTGACTTGAAGTTTAATCTAACAAAAGCTGCAATTGGCATTTTATTTGATTTTTTTTGCTGCTAATGGGATGAATTACGGGGGTTGTTGCGGAAGGAATGGATGAGACCCAATTGATTGTAAATTAGGATTCAGAGTTGGTAATAGTAAACTATTTGCAAATGTTTCTTTTCACTTTTTTACTGGTTATTTGTTCATTGATTTGAGGAGGTAGTTACTGGGGAATTATCATCCTCAACTGTGTAAGATATTGAAATTTGTAGAACTGCATATATAGCAACAAACTGGGAGAATTAGTCCGGGACGTTTATTATTTATCCTAGGAATAGTTGTTGTAGGAGTTATCCAAACCAAAGGCATCAAATATTGAGTAGCTAGGTATTGACGGAATGTTATTCTATCCACTTACATTTCTCCATGATCGAAGAAATTGATAAAAGAGGATATGAATATAAGTTAAAGAAATGAAAAAACGAGGATGTGAAGTTATTAATCACCATGACTTTTACCTTTCTGCATTTCTTGATAGCTGATCTTTTGAAATCTTCCCATTTTATAGGTTTTTATGTATTACATTAAAAGTAATAATAAATAAGGTAAAGATAGAATAATGGGTAGAAGATATGCTAACAGTAAGAACAAAAAAGGGCTTGTGGTTTTTGGGGTGCACTAAGAATGTTGTTGCAGTTCCCATATTATGATACTTGTGACTTTTTGAAGAAAGCTATTTAGCTAAAGGAGGATTAGGACAACAATGGCTGAGTGCTTAAGGGTTACAAAAAGTTGTAATTGGCTACCTTCGATTGTTTTGGTATTATAAGTTGAAGTACTTTATTTTGTTTTATGTTTTATGTTGTCAATTGCCATTTAGTTAGCCAATACATTGAATCCTATGTATTTGAAGTTTTAATGAGCTAGTTGTGCTAACTGCTATGCATAACTACCCAAAGTTTAACATGAGTGTGGAATGCTGTCATTGTTCTGATATGAGCAATGGTTATGATAATTGCATTTGATGTTGCTCATCAGTCAGTTCGTTTACAGAATCTGCATTAACTGTGCAGGAAAGATACAGAATGGATGAAGTTAAATTTATCTATATAGGCAATAAATGAACCATTCTAATTATGGCCTGCTAATTTTCATTTCCCTGTGCTTCTCTTTTGTTTTTTTTCTCGTAATATTTGCTCCTTCATCTCTGTATGATCGAGTGCTTTGCTCCTATAATTAAATGCAGACTGACTATTTGGCAATTAGCATTTTTTCCGGCACAAATGCCATTGTCTGTATTTCGAGATATTCATTGCTTGATTATATTGCACCTGTTGAGCATCATGCTCCTCCTCATTGCATTTCAACATCCTCTCTTGACTGTTTCTACTTGTACAGCATTTTATCCTCCCTTGTCTTAATTTGTTCATTTTGAAACTCCTTGGAGCCATACCTTATGGAACCAATCCCTTCAAGATTCTTACTCTTGAGCTCATGGCCTTCCTCTTTCTTACTGCCTATCCACATTTACTCTTCTTTCTTTTGCAAATGCTTCTGGCTTCCGCTCTTTGTCAAAGGTGCAATAGATCATTCTCTTGATAGAGGTATAAGATGCCAAGGACAAAGCCTGGTACTGCAGCCACTAAACCAACTGAACCCGAGAAGCTGGCTGAGACAGAGGAAAAGATTGAACTTGGTGCTGAAAATGACATGGAGGAGTTGTCAGAGGAAGAGGTCGAATATGAAGAAGTAGAGGAGGAGGTGGAAGAGGAAGAAGTGGAAGAAGAAGAAGAAATTGAAGAGGAAGTGGAAGAGGAGGATCCCGAACCTGATGAAGATGATGAAGATAACATGGAGAATGATGAAGTGGATGACATAAAGCACTCTGAGCTTCTTGCACTTCCTCCACATGGTTCGGAGGTTTACATAGGGGGAATTCCTCACGATACATCTGAGGATAGCCTAAAACGCTTTTGTGAAACGATTGGGGAAGTTACAGAGGTAATTAATATTTTCTGCTGTCGAATGGCAGGTATTAAATTTATTTTATATTTTATGCAAGCTCGCATGGTATTAACAGGTCAGGATAATGAGGGGAAAGGATTCTCATGAAAACAAGGGATATGCTTTTGTGACCTTTAGGACAAAGGAATTGGCTTCTACTGCTATAAGGGAACTCAATAATGCTGAATATAAGGTAGAGTTAAGTGGATCGAGGAACTCAATAAGACAGTATTATTGTGTTTATTTATTATCTTGTTTAATTTTCTCAGGGAAAAAGGCTCAAGTGTTCAACATCTCAGGCAAAAAATAAGCTGTTCATAGGTAATGTACCCAGAAACTGGGGAGAACAGGATATAAAGAAGGTTGTGAAGAAAGTAGGTCCCGGGGTTGTTGCAGTGGAGCTTTTAAAGGTCAGGATGCTATGTTTGTTTGAATGAAGATTCACCGATATAATAGCTTTCTTGTATTCCGTTGCTATTGGCTGGTTTTGTCTTGTCTTGACAAGATGTTTCTCGAATGAAAATTGTATTCTAGGACCCGCAAAACTCAAGTCGAAATCGCGGATTTGTATTCATTGAGTATTATAACCATGCTTGCGCCGATTACTCCAGACAGAAGATGTCCAACCCGAAATTTAAGTTAGATGATAATGCTCCTACTGTGAGTTGGGCTGATCCAAAAAGTGCAGAATCTACTTCTTCACAGGTCCTTATCGATGACACTTATTCATAATTGTTGCAGAGTTTTGGTTGATCTACTGTAACTAATCAAGTAATCATCAATGAGAATCTGATTAGATTGATTCGTTAATCCTGACATTTGTCTAATGACCTGAGTGTTATATTTTGGCTCCAGTTACCATTCAATAATATATTAAGCATCTTGTATGAAAGTGGCTTTTAGTGTGCTCTTTTTAAATGAAAAGTGAATATTTCAACTAAAGAAGTATTACGGCGTGGAATCGCTTCCACTTCAGTTTCTCTGTATTAAATGTTGCTTTAGTAACTTGTGGCAAGTCTTGCTAATGTAATATTACTTCCTGAATTACAGGTTAAGGCTGTTTATGTGAAGAACTTGCCAAAAGATATAACCCAGAATCAGCTTAAAGAGTTGTTTGAACACCACGGCAAGATTTCAAAAGTTGTTCTCCCTCCAGCAAAACCGGGACAAGAAAATAGCAGATATGGCTTTGTTCACTTTGTAGAAAGATCAAGTGCCATGAAAGCTCTAAAGAACACTGAAAAATATGAGATCGATGGTAACACCATTGCTTTTGGTCCTTGCATCTAACATCCCACAATTCTGTTTGTCTCTTTCTGATTCGTGTTTGTTGTGCAGGCCAAGTTGTAGAATGCTCACTTGCAAAGCCTCAGGCTGACCAGAAATCGTCTGGGGGATCAAATTCGCAGAAAACACCTCTACTTCCATCCTATCCACCTCGTATGGGATATGGCCTGGTGGGATCTCCATATGGTGCTCTTGGTGCTGCATATGCCAGTTCAAATCTTGCTGGAGTAAGTACCCTAATTCGTCAAGTTTCCTTTCTGTATGCTATTGACGGATAGGCTTCTTAATTTCCTCGTTTGTTTGAAATTTACATTCCAACAAATGATTTCCATGTTCTTTATTATCCACAAAACGGTATGCTTGCTTGGGGTTCATGCCTTAAGTATTTGTTCGATGGAATTGGTTAATTTGCATTTAACTTCTTGCTAAACTACTGTGTTGAGGAATCTGTCCGCTGACTTGAATATCCCATTATAGCTGTTATATTTAACGAATTAGTCATGATTGATTTCATTATGTCATTTGATGAAATATTCGACTTTCCCCAACTGTATACCTGCAAACTGCTACGCAAGTACATTGATGCTCCTCCTGTGCATTACGGTATTATAATTTAAACATGACGTTGCATTTTCAGCCGCTGATGTATGGAAGGGGTGTTCCTCCGGGCATGGCTATGATGCCAATGCTGTTGCCTGATGGGAGGGTCGGCTACGTCCTGTAAGTATGCTTCCTCTTACACTTATCAATGAGACTAACAAATGCCAGAGATTTGATCGGCCTTCTTTTATGTCTGTGTCTAGACAACAACCTACTCCGTCTCCACCGCAGAGAGGCGGACGCAGCAGCAGCAGCAGTGGTGGTGGTGGTGGTGGAGGTTCAAGCGGAGGAAGACGAAGCGGCAACAGCGACAGCGGGCGCAACCGCAATCGGTACAATCCTTACTAAATCCCCGCTTCAATTTATAGCAAGAAATCTCAGTATCCCCACCCACCCCTTAAAAATCTACTACTGCTCAAGTGATTTGAAGCTGAAGCCTTCATATGATGCTCCACCTAACAGACACAACAGTTGTAGACTGGTGTATTATTTTTTCAAGAATGTAGTATTTTTATATGATTATTTTGTGTGGATTGTTTAAAAATTAATTTCAAGTCTAAGACCCTAAAATCCATTATCGTTGTGTAGTGTTTCAGCCTATATACTACTTATTGAAATTACATAAAAAGCTAGAAAATCATTGATCTTTTGGAGTAGATGAATTTTACTTGTTAGTTGTCAAAGTATTGCCATTATATATATATATATATATAGAATTTTGGAAGTTTTAGAACAGTAGAAAGTATTTGATATGATCGAAATAGGTGTTGGATATGATGCTTTCGTAAGAAAAAAAATAAAAAAATAAAAATTAATGTGATATTTTAAATAAAATGAAAATTAGTATTTGATAGTGATGCCTTAAGTTAGGGTTGATAAATAGTGTTAAATTTTTTTAAGTTGTGTATGTAAATTTTGAGTCTTTATTATGATAGTTTCTCCTGTTAGGGTGTTGTTACATATTACAATGTAGGTTCAAATTTTTGCCAGGTTCGGTGAATATTTTATCTATTCAAACGTGACTTAACACAGTTATCAGTTTCCAGGAAATCTGCTAAATGGAAATGCTTTTATTTATCTATTTATTTTATTGATTATAATATGTTATTGGGATGGTTGTTTATGTGCGTATTTTTTGGAAAAGTATGGGTGGGTTACTTGTCTTTTTGGATTTGAGTGTTTTTTTTTCTTTTTTTTAAATAATAAAAAAACTTTATTGATGTGATCATTGTTATGAAAATTTTGTGTTAGCCGTAATAGCTTTGGTTGGAAAGAATATTTATCTATGCTGTGAAAATTGTGACGTAAAAGTGAAGTATTGGTTTCTAATTTCATACACTTAAATGCTTCTAGAGTGTTTTTTTTATGGTCAAAACATATTTGCATAAATGTGAAAAAAGAGGAATTTTATTTTGTATTTGTATATGTAGTTGAATGTATGCTTATTTAAGTGGTTTTTGAAAACCTGAAATGTGAGAGTGGTGCGGTGCCCACTGAATTGATGTGCTATATTTAGGTTTTGGCTTTAGCTAGCCATCTTTTGATGTACCTTTCTGCCTTCTGCTTTTCTAGAAAAAAACAGGTTTGTTTTCATTAGGTATCTTCTAGGTAGAGAGAGAGAGGGAGTGAGAGAGAGAGCCATTGAATTCCAAAAAAATGATATCAGAAATCAGAGCAGTCAGCACTTTTGAATGTGGGATGTTGATCCAAGACCAACTATATTTATATTTATATATATATATATTTGTATGTATATATATTAAAAAAAAAAATAGAATTGCTAGGTATGTTTCTTTACTATCCAAATTTCATATTTTTATTATTTGGATTTTGCTTTTTTTCTAAAATAACGATACTTTTAACATTTCATTATATATTGCTTTCTCTGTCCAGCTTTAAGTAACATATTTATTTTTTTGCATAATTGTATTTAATTTGTATAAATATTTTTTTTATTAGTATTATATCTATTAATACAAATATTTTTGTATATTTTTTTTTTAATTTGTAATATATTTTGATATAATAATTAATATTAAAAAAATAAATGAAATTCTTTGAATTGGAGAGAGGTAGCATTTTAATGTCAAATCTAAATTAAAAATTTTGAAACTAAATCAAAAGCAGCACACTCTAAATAGCAGTGAGTTGGGTTTGAAGTTTGAACCCAAACCAAGCACACCTTGGAATTAGTATTAACTAAATATAGGTTAATTGGAATTGAAAATTTAATGACTAATGCTAAGGTTGGATGGCCGTTAGGGCGCTAATTAAATCAAATTATGAAATTAATATTATGCTGATTTGATTTAGTTAGTATTTTAATTGCAAGATAGATAGTTTGTACATGGATCTTTCTATCTATCTATCATGTATAAGTTTATTGTGTTGAAAATAAAAAATATATTATGTTTTATATTGTATTATTATTATGTTAATTGGGTTAACATTGTGAAATTAGCATTATTATGTTGATTTGAAATTAAGGGTGTTTTAGTAGTTTTGAAATAAATTTATATGAATAAAAAGTAATTAGTTAGGTTGGATGCTTGTATGAGATTTAAGAATTGAAAGGAATATATTTTATTCATCTTTTTTAGCTTTGTAAGTCAAATAATGTTGAAAATAAAGGTGGAGGATTAATCTTTTACTGTTGAGGATTTATATCAACCAGCTTCAAAATAATAATGTCAACTAAATATTCCAAAAATAAGATGCAACTGTCTTGTGAAACATTTTGAATTATTTCGTATATATGCATCACATATAGACCATTTTCGATGAATGCATTTATTACTATAAATGTGAAGGAAAAAATCAGTTGGGAGTTATATTTAGTTTTGAAAAATATTACTTTCTTCTTCTATCAAATATATACCATCCTTTTTTTTTTTTACAAAAAAAATTCTTATACAACCTTTTATAATATTAACATTATACTATGGATAATAATTTATTTAATTTAATATTTTGAATATAAAATTAAATGAAAGAATGATAAACCAACTTACAATCATATTATTTATTAATTTTAAGATGTTTACTTATTGAAGTATAATTTTCTTTTTTAAAATAAGAATCCGTACATAATTTTAATTACTTGAAAAGAAATTAAAAATAGAGTAAAACATAAAGAAAAAGAAAAAGAAAATTCAAAAAATGAATTCACATAGTAGTAGTATTTATTGGTCCAATTTTTGTTTGCACCGCCGCAGTCTTCCATGCACTGTATCCAACCAATTCACACCTTCCTCCCCTCTCCTCTACATTTCCAATCCCCAATTCTCTGTCTGCTTCCCAATTTTCTCCGCTCGATCCTATCGATCGTCTTCAAATGAATCAACCAGATCATACGAAGCTCGTTTCAGCTTCATCAGATGGCGCCGGAGACGAAGAATCGCCGGTGAATTCCGATCTCGCGGCGGCAACGGCCGCGGTGGAGGATTTGGAGGCTGATTTTCCGCCGGAATCGTTTTGGCTATCGAAGGATGCGGAATTCGATTGGTTCGATCGCAACGCCTTTATATACGAGCGGAAGGATTCTACCAAAGGAGGTAATAATAATAATTCGAGCTTAAACCCTAGCTCTAACTCTAATTCTCAGCGATTCTCCGTTAGCTTGAAATCGAAGGCGTCCATTATCGGATTGCCTAAATCTCAGAAAGCTACGTTGATGGATTCCAAGCGGAGGACGTGTAAACCGGCGAGTATTCGGTTGTTTCCGAACCGGTCCGATTCGGTCGGGAAGTCCTCCGTACCTGTGGCCGAGCCTGGATCTCCTAAGGTTTCCTGTATAGGTAGGGTGAGGTCGAAGCGCTGCCGCCGCCGGTCTGCTTCGTTGAAAAGGAAGGAGAAGCTGATAGAGAAATCTAGAAGCAACGGCGGCGGCGGCGGTGGTGGTGGAGAGAAGCAGAAGGCTGGTTTCTACTCGAAGGTGATGAGTATCTTTAGGAAGAAGAAAGGTCACCGGAAGGCGTCGAGGTCGGCGAGTCGGAAAGTGGTGGAGGAAGAGCAGGTGGTGGTGGACCTACGGCGGCGGAGCGTGAGCGTTAAGGTACGGGAAATTCAGATGAGCGGTGAACCGGCCGGTTTAGGAGAGGTTAAGAGGTTCAAGTCGGGGCGGCGGTCGGATTCCTGGACCGCCGATGATTTCGGTCAGGCCGTCTCAGGGCTGCGCGTGGCTTAGGTGAATGGCGCGTGGCACGTGAGCGAGTGGCGTGTGGAGTTGTTGACGGGCAGAGGGCAGTGAGTGACGTGGCTGTTAAAATTAACCGTAATGTACGATTTTCCAATTTTACCCTTCTGTTTGATTGTGCTTTACTCACTTTTTGTAAATATGCAGTAGTATTATAACGGTAGGTTTTTCTTTGGAGTGGATAAATTTTGAAGTATTTATTTATGTGCTCTGTGTAGATAAGAACGTATTAGCTAACGTAATAAATGGTTAGTTAAATATTTTAATTAGAATCATGTCGATTTAATTATTTTGAGAAACTAATTAAATAATCTATGGTATATCGTAATAAATGGTTACATTAATATTTATATAGAATCATGTCGATTTATTTATTTTTGAGAAACTAATTATATATATATATATATGTGTATTGGGCTGTTTTGTGTATTTTTTCATAAAAATAATTTGCTATGTGATAATATTTTTCTGTCTAAAGAAAGTATACTTGTTTTTTACCTTTTGGTTTTTTTCATAAGTGTGTTCAGGATTTTGTAAAAGTGTTAGTTTCTTAAATTTAATAAATTATTTTCTTTTTATTTACATTATTGCTGTGAATGGTGTCAACATATTTTTTATACTCAATTTATGTAATTCAGATTTTATATTATTAATTCTATGAAATTTTTAATTTTATTTTTATAAAAAAAATATAAATAAATCTTAATTTTCATATTCAAGGTTTTTTTGTAAAAATATTTGTAATTTTTTTTTTATCACTATTTATTTACAATAATTTTGTGAAAATATCACATTATAAACATTCTTATAAAATACAGTATTAAATTTAATACTGGTGTTTTTAGTACTCTTTATCCAACTAAAAATATTTTTTATTATTTTTGTTATTTATATTAAAAAATATTTACTTTTTATTACCGTGCGAAAAATATGTTGTTTATATTTTTGTTATTTCTATTTAAAAGTATTTATGTTTTATTATTGTACAAATAATCACACCCTAACATAAAACGTATTGAAATATATTAAAATCATCTTGTAATTTTACTAATGAATAAAATATTAATATTTTTGAATATATTACAAAAATCATGACCGTTTTGAAAGGGGATTTTCAACAAAGGATTTTTTTTTTTTTTTTATATTTAAAATAGTTGTATAAATATGATTTGTGAGTACGTCATTTGCATAATTTATTAGGGGATTGCGTGAAGGATGATTGATTGATGAAACTAATTTGGTGTGGAGTCTGGTGGTGCACACAACGAAGAAGGCAGACAGACAGACAGATCACTGCACACACATTGCTTGCACGTCTACCAAATAGGTAAGGTTACCACAAACGAAATCAAATCTTCAGTGAATTATGGCTATTATTATTATCGTGAATTAAGAAGATACAGAAAATTAAAATTAAAATAATAATAACAATAATAATTATTCTGGAAGTATTTGACTGCCATCAAAATTTAAATGGTCATTTAAGGAAATTAGGAACAAATTGTTGACTATAAGGTGGTTGGGGGCAAGTGGGGTCATTAAATGGTGTAAATATTATTGTGTAGCATTTTAATTAATTAAACAATTAATGAGTGGTTTTTGACTTGAATGAGTATTATTGAATTTGGTGGGGTTGGAATATTAGCAACGATACCAATTACCACCGCAGCTTGGACTTGGAGTGATTCTACTTCTGCACCTACAATACAAATAACATTTATAATACTATTTTCTTCTACATAGAAATTTGTTTTGGTCATATAGACATTTTTTGAAAAAATGCCTTGCCTCTTTGTCTTTATCTTTTTTTCTTTTCACTTTGTGTTCTATTTTGTCTCTTTTTTTCTTTTTTTTTTTTTTATACAATAAAATGTTATTATAATAATTATTAATTGACTTCATCCATATTTTGTTGAATTAAAATCATGATTCCGTCTTTGTGTAATAATAATAATAATAGTAATAAATTTTATCCATGTTTTTTTGTTGAAAATAAATTTATGATTGCATCTTTGTGTATGTCATTAATTATTATGTGAATATTTGCTTCACAACTATTAGTTTGTTCACTGTGTGTTTTTTTTTTTGGATAAATTTATTCTGAATTTTAAATATGAAAAATTATATAGATAATATATAAAATAAATTAGATTTTGTGTGAAAAGTTAACTATTTATTAGTAGATAATATATATTATATTAATATGTATATACATTATATATAATTTTTAATAATATTATAATGAATTGTGTCATTAGAAACACAATGTAAACAAACCCTAAATATAAACACTGTTTTATAAAATTACTTGGCTTGGTACAACATATGTTTATAATGGGTTGTGCTCATTTGTATTTTTTGTTATTATTATTATTCTATAGATATATTTATTTTGATATTTGCCACATCAGAATAGTTATTCAATATAATATTTTAAATAAGAATACTCAATATAAAAATATACTCCAATGGGATTGAACAGTAAATAAAATAAAATACTACCAATAAACACAGCAACAGTTGTAACATATTTTGTATCAATGTTTAATATGGGTGTCAACAATTTTGTACTACTATTCAACATACAAGTATTTAACATAATTCAATAAATTAATTCTAAAACTACATTATCTAATTATAATTAAATTTTTAAAATAATTAATCAACAACTGAAAATGCTCTGTATCCTCGATCTACACTTGCTTATAGGTGTATTTATTGGTGAATAAGTGGGTGCTGGGCAGTATGAAATGTTTTAGGTGTAGTAGTTTTGTATTTTCCCTTTGAGGTAGAGTAGCAATTGGTGTAACTGTAACCTCATATTTGAATAATAAATAATTGCAGATATTATATTGATTATAGTTTAATTTTGGAATTATTTTTAATTAAAATTAAAAGATACTTTATCCATTCCACTTATATTGTCCTACAAAATTTATGTAATAAATTAAGGAAAATAATATATGAGTGAATAAATCTGTTAAGAAAAAAAAAAAAAAAACCTAAAGAACCTCAGGTTTAGTGAGTTGAAGGTGTATCATGTGATGTGAATGATATTTTTGGTAAATAGGTATAAAAAGAATGTGTTGGTGAGATAATTATTGGTATTAGTTATATTATTATTATTTTTTATTTTTGAAAAGGCAACGATAAGAATAGTGCTAATTTAGTAAGTACATAGTCCATATATAATAACAAGAGAAAGGGGAGAGTATACGTACCGGGCTTCGCGTGGAAGTCCCTCAATTAATTAATTGGAATCTTATTATTATGGATGGCCACGTGGTGATTGAAAGCAATTAATGCCCGTGCGGAATGGGCTCATCCTCATCGTACATCTCTACGTGTCGCCCATTCATTGGCTGACATGGCCTCGCGTTGTTCTTGCATCTCATGTCCAGTGGAGCCCTCAGTGCCTCTACTTGCTTTCTTGATATCGATCTCACCTGCACACATGCACATACTTTATTTTGTTGCTATTTTAAATTTAAATTTAATTATTACTTATTTTTATATAATATAGTATTAAATTAAAATATTTTTACATAAAAATACAAATTATTATTCTGTTTTTCAAATCAATTTCAAACAACTTCAACATATATATATATATTCTTCTTATTATGAATGAATTTATGCAACTATTTCTTCTAATTTTACTGTTAATTGAAAAAAAATTTCAATCTCATTTCCTATTTACCAGAACTATAATAAGGGTAATTAAATTAATGTAGTGCTGTTACACTAGCTTATAAATCTAATTATTTATTTACAATGAACATTTAAAATGTTAGATTAAGAGCAATAATAGTAACAATAATCTTATCTAATATTTCTTTACTAAAACAAGTAGTGTGCATTATTTTATCTCATGATTATTGGTCATTTAAAATACATCTAATTATTATGATTCTATACTTCACAGAAAAAAAAAAAAAAAAAAAAAGAAAGTAAATTTAACAAGTGTGTTCTTTTGAAAATTGTTATAAATATTTTGCTTTGAATATAATATTTCGTATTATATATAAAAAGATTGACACTGAAATGAAAGAAAAGAGAGGCAATTGAGTTACCCTGGCAAGAATGTTCCAGATGACATTTTGTGTGCAAGGTGGCGTGGTGAAAGAGCCAACATATCTGTAATACTTGTGGCATCTTTTCCTCACTTCTGAGGGGTGAAATGGCCCAAATGTTATTGGGCTGTCCTTGTGGATTCTCATCTCATATGCAAGTTCATTCAGCTTGTTTTGAATCTGTTCATTAGCATAGCAACATCCCACAGAGATAGTAGCATTTGTTATTTTTTTCAAAAAATATATATATATATATAATTATACACTTGAATCACATTTCATAAATTTTTAATATTAATTAAATTATTTAATTATTTTAATTTTAATCTATAATTATTTTTACTGTATAATAATTATTTTTATTAATACACTGTAGTAATTATTTTTTACCATGTGATATCTGTTTGATAATTATTAAGAGGAATTAATGAGAACTCACTTTGGCAAGAAGTGGATCGGAGTGGCCGTAGCGGAAAAGAATTGCTATCACAGAAACACTTCCATCACCAGCAACGTGCACCAGATGAAGCTCTGCAGCAAACCTGCACCATTGGGTGTCATAGTCGTAGTCATAGATGACTACTTATTTAATTTTATTATTATTATTAATTCCAAATTTATTGGAGAGTGATATAAGAACATGTTAAGAAAATTAGCATTTAGTATTTGTTATTATATATAAATAATCCTTTTGGATATAGAATTAGAATGATCTTTAGTAGTATATGATTGAATAAGGTACTTTTGTATGTCTCTGTGTTCAGAAGGATCGGAGCAAACCTTCGTCCATTGATTCTGTGCTCAGAAGGAGCATGCCAATGCATCTGTATCAATTTGTACATCTTCCCCTCCACCATTAGCCCTCCCGAATGATCAGGGTAGCGCACCTGTATCCACATTCTGCTGGTTAGACTAATACCAATATAATTTGGAATATGTAATTGATTAGGAATTCAGCAATTAGAGGGAGATCATCCAATTGAAGGAACAAATTTACCCCAACGTTGAATTTGTTGTTGACCAAAGTGACATTTGTAATTTCGTACGATCTGATCAAAGGCTTCAAGTTTTTGTTCACCACAACCTGTGATGTCAAGATGTTGATTGGTGACTGCAATTTTCCTTTGTTGCACATTGAGAAATTTGGGCTGAGAATTCCCCAGTGGTCTGGTCCTGTAGCTCCTAAGTATGTGAATTGAACAGATTCGTCTTCTGCAAGTCCAACAGTCAATTTTTCAGTCACCGGATTGAGCAAAATCAGAATTCGTACGAACAGCTCGGTTAGCTTCGGGATGAGCAGAATTGAGTTATGGCAATTGATCATTTAATGTAGTTCTTATCCTAACGGTTGGTTTTTTCGAGAATATGGCTACAGTTGAAATTTAGTTAACTTGTCATTTATTTTTTCTGAAAAGAACATAACTAAATACCAATCCGATGTGTGTTGAGCTGATTCTTATATTTGCAATGATAATTCGTCGTTTTTACTAGTTCCGGATACTACCAAAGAATTTACTTACTTAGATCCAAACTGGTGGACGACATACTAAAATCAAGAGAACAGCACTAGGTCCCAAACGACAGCTAGCCTCACATGTAAAAAAGCAGAGATTGAATACTGACGAAGGAAATGAAACAACATTCAGTGATTCTAATCTGTGTATATATATACATATATATAAATATTTGAGAAAAAATGACAGTTAAATTCTTATGCGCTATCTTTCACAGTATTCACGAACACGTAATAACCAGTAAAACAGCTACAAATCAGTACTCAAAAATAAAATCACAAAAACTCCAAATGAGAAAACTCAGAGCACAATCGAACCAATCTAACTTCCAACGCAGATAAAGCCACACATCGATTAAGCATGCACGCTAATCTCCATAACTAATTTCTACTTAACGTAAGAGATCAGAATGTTCAGACGTACGCTGCGAGTTAACAAACAACAGCGCAATCGCGGTGACGAAGAACGCTACTCTCGGAGCAGCCATGGCGGAATGCAACCAACGTGTGCTATCACAGAAACTCAAATTCCTCGCAGCTTCGGTTCGTTTCAGAGGATCGATTGCTGTGCTTCGGATCGCCTCTGGAGAAGGAACTGTGATTGCAATTGCACCTGCAACCAATAATGTTGACGTTTAACGCTATGCGTGTGGCTTTATATACACACACCTCATTATTCCTCCCGCTGCCTTTTTGCCTTCTCAATCTTTTCCAGAATTTTTTTTTTTTTTTAATAATATTATCTTGGCGCTGACAAATTGGAGACACCCGTGAGCTTAATCATTTTGAATTTAATGAGAACAAAAATCCAACTCTAAAAAAGTTCCCACTATTTGAAATTATTTAGACTATTACTATTTATTAAAATTACTATATTAAATAAGAGGTTTGTTAAGTCCTTATGCTACTACATTATTCAATAAGCACTGACTAAACTGATATTTATTCGATAAAAGTTTATATATATATAATTATTATAGTTATCAAGGGTATTAATTTTTTCTTGATAATATTATTGAAGACATATACAAAAATGATTGGATATGATGTAATATATTTACATCACAAAAATACCTTCAATTTTATGATATCTTTCAATATTTTTCTTTAAAAAAAAATAAAAAAATAATGGCTTTTTCTAACCCGAATGGTTAGGTTCTACATATTTCCATTTCACCCCACCACTAAGTCCGATAAGAAAGCGACACGCCCGTGTTATATAGTGGCATTGCTTACGCTTGACAAGAACATCTTCCACAAAAGATGGTTGTGCTTAAAAGACCTCAAAGAAGTGGCGGAGACCATACAAAGTTGGACTATATATATACACACACATAATAAAATTAACAAAATTTCCATGAAGGCCACATAAGTAAACAAAATCCGACTAAAAAATGAACGTCAAATTGGGAATTTTGGATGTAGAGGTGGGACGACTGTCAAGGTAATAAATGTATAGTCCTTTGAGGTGGTAACTCTAGTAACACAAACCGAGGCTTGGCAATTGTCCCTTGAGGGGGAATTTACAAGTGCATTCAATATGGGTTTAGGTATGAATTCTTGTTATCTCAGGGTGTGTTTGTTTGAGGGTTTGTACTTTGGGTTGGGATTTGAACAGGAAAAATTTTGAATTTGAATAGTTGTATGATGTGATATAAATAAGAATTGATATGATGCTTTGAATGTAAAATTGATTTTTAGTATAATATAAAAAATAAAAAATAAATATTTAATTTAACGTTTTTGGAGAAAATTTTTTATGAAAATAGTAGAAATCCCACAAAATCCCTCAAACAAACACACCTTATCATTACAATTTTGAGAGAGAGCGTACGGAGTAAACATTTCTCTTTATTTTTACTGTTTATGAGTTATGTTTTGATAATTCGATGTAATGAATTACACTTGTATTGTATTAAAAAAAAAATTTAAATATTTTGTGTGCTTATTAGAGATTGTTTGACAACATGAATATTTTAAATAAATTTTTAATATATATTATTAAATTAATCTAAATAATATAATACAAAAAAGGCACTAGCACTAGCACTAGCACTGCAAAGTGTTGTGGAAACCCAATCTAAATGCACATGCATATCACAATAATTTGCATTTACATTTTAGGCCACCATCACTCTGCATTTGTGGTTCTCATTCAGTGGGAGAAGATCGATCGATCAATGTGCAGTCACTCGTACCATTCAAACAAGTGAAAAAGAATGTTGGGTATTGCGTTACAGTGTTTACTCGAAAAATAATTGCTTCAGATATTCATATATAAAGAAAAGAAAATGAAAAAAAAAAAAAAGTGATATAATTGTAAGTTGACTTTATTTTCCATATTAATACAAATTCTTTCATTCGCAATTATTTTAATTCCTGCATGCCATGATTTATTGTGGCCACAAATTAATGTGATTCCTTTCCAAGGAGTTTGTTACCTGGTTTTAGTTTTCTATTTTGATTTTGACTTTTAGATTGAGTAGTTATTTAAATACAATATTTTATAAAAGTAAATAATATATATATATATATTTTTAAACTTTTCAAGTCATTAAAAAATTTAAAATACTGTATTGACATGAACAGTCAAAAGCTTATGATACACCATATGAATATCTCTAGATGTATCTATCTATACAATGCCTTCACAAGGGAGAAAACCATAACAACTCTCGCATTTATGCTTGCTTCCTTTCTACTTCGAGAGCGATCTCGTTGCGACGGTTGAATGGAAGCGTGAAAGGTGGATTGTACTGCAGTATAATCGAACCCGAATATAGAATACTATGCTTAATATATAAAATAATAAACTTTATTTATTATTTTTAAAATTATCAAATCAAATAATAATTTTTTTATTTATACGAGCCCAAAATTACCTGCGCTACTTCTACAGAGGCTCCTTCTTTGATGCAAAATTCTGGATCATTTTTCAGTGAATTTCTTAGCACGGTTTCGCGCCGTTCGACTTCTTGATCGGTAACGAATCCTGATTCATACATTCAAAGAGAATCATCGATCAAGAATTAAGGATGAACAGATGATCAAGTGCATTGGCTAAAAGAAGAAACCTGCAAATGCAACTACTGCAACGACGCGTTTGGGAACCTCTTTGATGGTCACGGATGATTCCTTAGGTAACGGCAAGTTGGCGCCGTATTTTGAAGGCATGACAAACGACATTTTCCAATTTCCGAGATCTTCATCCTATATGAGAATCGAATACATTGAAAGATTATATAGTATGTAAATAATTATGTATTTTCCTATCAGCTTACCTTATTTAGTAATAAGTTGATTTAACATAGTATCCAGTGCTATTTGTAAAAAAATTTCCATGTGTAATAGAATTTGTAATTTATTACCTTAAATTTTAAATTTTTAGGTGAGATAGTTATTTTATATTTATTTAGTATAATATAATCCATCTATTATTGAAACACATACCTTTGTAGTTATTACAGGAGTCGTCATATCCATCTTCTCCCCATCCGGCTGTGTTCTTCGAGTGAAGACGGGCGTCGTCATCTCCATTTGCTTTTGTTTGGTGTTCTGAGAGAAGAGCAGTAAATGCCAACAATGGCAGCCATGGATAATTAACCAGTAAAGATACTGAATTTGCTTACAATGTTAAGAATTCTACCATGTTTGTTTTTCAGCTACCTTACCGAACAAGTACTCGGCCAAAACGTTGAAAGATTGAGATGCACCAGTAAAATCGAATCCATACTTTCCAGGCATTGTCGTCTCCGCAATATAGTAAGACTGTTTTTGTGATTGCAGAAGCTTAGAACCAAGAGCTATGGCGATGATCTGTTGCAGTAAATAAGGCTAGAATTTGAATCAGGTTTATTAATTACCTCAACTTCTCTTATCTCGTAGTCGTCGTTCCTGCGAAGAACCTTGAACTCCACAGTCTCCAGATCAGGAACTTCAATCGATCGAAGAATCATCAATTCTTAAACAGCATAAATTCAACAGAAGAATCTCAGTTCAAGGCTTAATTACCAGACATCAATGCTTCCTCGAGATTCCTGCTCTCGAACTTCCTATTCGGAAACGCGTATTTCGCCGTCTCGCTCGCCAATTCCATCAGCACTGAATTAAATCAAGGAATCAACAAACAATTTGAGAAAGGAGCAATAAATCGGATTGCAATCAAATCTTACAGCGCTGGGCGCGGGACGATGTCTGAGTAGCTATGGCGAAGACAAGAGAGATCCTTGCTTCAAGAGCCGACATGGCTGCCACCGTTCTCCGGCTTCTTTTATCAGCCGTCGCCGGCCGTCTTGTGGATGAATACGGCGTCGTTTTGGTAGTGAGGATTGAAGGTCTGTTGAGTATCATTGGAACTGCTCTGAAAGGTTAAGAGGACGCAAAAAAATCTTGACCATGTATATATATACATATTTTCCATATAAAAAATATCTAGATTCTATGTTCCAGATACTTCCAAAATATCGATGAATTATATATAACCAGATTCAGATTCTAACAGAACTGAAACTTCTACAATCGGGAGCGTCCATGGCAGATCGTTTCTTCACCATAACTCCAAAGTTCTGCTGTATAACGCTTTCGCCAAAATCCTCTCGGTTCAGCTCCCTCTCGCAACAGCCATACCTAAATTTTTCCCCAAATTTCACCGATGGGCGGAGCCAAATTTGGTTAACTAGGGTTGAGATCAGTAATGCGGGTGGTATTTGCAGTCGTATGGCCGGCGGCGGTGTGGGGAGCGATAAGCTGTAGTCCGATGAACGGAAGCGTGCCGATTAATACGACTTTCAACTCCTGGAACTCCATTGGTGTTCCAAACGAGGCATCGGAGAAGAGAGGGGTGAAATTTGGTAATAATCGCGCATTGATGCAGTGCTTTTTTTACTTTGTATTTCATCTTCGTGTTCAGTAGCAGTTAATTTCTTGTAATTCGACATCCTTTAGTTCCTAAGAAATCTGTATTCATGCCGACGAACATGTTTGATGCAATAATCGATACATGCATATGTATGAGTTCTCGAGATCTGAATTACAGCGAACTCTGAACCAATCTGCTGTTTTATACTTTATTAGGCTGTTTTGTTTTGTTGCGTTACCTCTGCAGATAGAACACTGCGTAGTTTCAATGGTAGTTTTAATCCTGCAGAAGACAATTTTAAAAACATAGTATCACTATATTTATTATGATGCTTTCAGTGATGCAATAATCTGATCTCTATCATTCAATTTCTGTAGTTTCCTGCATTGAAGCAAAATCTAGCAAATTTGCATTATCCTTTTTCCTCAGTTAATATGCTTGATCTAGAGTTACATGTAAGTTTTAGTAGCTACAAGTTTTCCTAATTGAGGTTCAACCATTGCATGGTTTATATAATTGGTTAACATTCAACATTCTCTTTCTTACTCTTGATTAAATTACAGATTATGTATACACACAATCTTCAAATGATCTGAAATTGCAAATTTTATTGAATCAAAGCATTTGTCTATTTTACAGGCAGAATTTGATCCTATAAAATGGTTGGATAAATCATGATACATATATGCTCACAGTTTGGAGAATATCAGAAGGACCTCCCTTCTTTCAGTTTCTATATTTCCTCAGGCATTCACAACTTGTCCAGGTAAATTCCCTTCTCTTACAAATGTTAGGGTGTATCGAATATTGGTATATTGTTAATGGGAATTGTGATGTTGCATAATAGAAAATTTGGAAAAAAAAACCCTCGAAATAGAATAGAACCTTAATTCTCCATGGTGAAAAAGAATAAGATGTTTTATTCATTAGAAAATGCCAGTGGCGTATGTGCTTTGATATGATACATGTAATTTACCTTCACTTTCTTCGTTTCTCAGTTACTTCTTGAAACTCCTTGCATTAATTCCCTTCCTCCAAATACCCGTGACATGGCCATTAATTCAGCGATTGGTATTAGAGATTTCCAGCAAAGAAGGGTCCAATTTAGTTATACCTTTCATGTAATATATCAAAAGTTATCATGACAGGAGGATAGGAATTTCTTTGTTATGAAGGTCCTGTCTTGTGATCTTGGGGCTCTGGAGGCAGAAACTATCTACAATAGACTGACTACACAGCTTACTATTTGTATCTCACTGTAAAGCTCCATCGTAAATACGAGACCTGAATATAAAATTGATAGAATGGTTTGAAAACATCGAAGAAACGGATTAAATGCTCTTTATCTTTATTTTTGCAATCTTGTGAGTCTTTGGCTTAACTGTTTGCTTGTTTGTAATGTAATGTTTCTTGAGGAGAATGTTGCTAATTCAGTTGTTGTCATGATTCAACCTTCCTTGATCTGATCTCCTACTCTTTGCTCTTCTTGATAGGGTAGCTGATAGAATTCTTCTTTTGGATTCATATTTCACTGATGGTGTCTTTCATGGTGCAAATTATCAGGTACGAACAACCACATGCATACAATGCAGATTTATTTATTATTTTATCTCATTTGTTCACTCTCGTTGAAATTGATTTGTGGAACTTTTAAGTTTGTTTAGGTGTAAGAAACAGCAGCCAGCAATTAAGCAGGAGGGAGGGGTATGCATTCTGTACGTCCAAATCAGCAGGCAATGAAATGCAATATCTGGTAAAGTAACTACTCTCGTCTCGTGTCTCATTTTATTCATCAGAGCTTTGTTCTGAAAAGTGCATAGAATGTCTTGCCATGGTTGAGAGTTAGATAGATTTTTATTTTTATTTTTATTTTTTAATTAATATTTAATTTATAATGTAATATACGTCCTTCTTATCATGAATTTTTAAATATGATCAAAATATATAATCATATTTTTTTTAAAAAAAAAAGACAAAAAACGAACCTAAATAAAAAAAGGGATAATTATATGGAGGGAGTTAGTATAATATATAAAGAGGTTTAAAAGAAATTTAATAATATGACTAATAGTTTTCTTAAAATAAATATGGACATTTTTTAGAAACAAAGTTTTATATGATATATTATTATTTTTTATTAAACGTGGAATTGTGAATGTATGTGAAGAGAACGTGTAAATATAATACTCCTTCCGTAAACGTATAGTCTTATTGTGTTGGACACCATAGGAATATTGATACTCCCTCCGTCCACAAAAATACAATTATTTTTGGCGTGGTGTTTAAGAAATGATAGTATTTTAATTATAGTGGGTAGTTAAAAGTAATGTAATGACATTTTTGCCCTTGCTTTTTGGTGTAAAAGTAATGATGTGATGTAAAGTAAGAATATTTGTGGAAAAAAGTAAGGTATTTAATGAAATGTTTACTTTGTAATTGGACGTCCCAAAATAGAAACATCTATACTTTCTAGCTGGACGGGGGAGTATTATATTGGTAGTCCTTAAGAAATAAAGATAAATGATTTTTTTTTGTCTTGTGTAAAAAGTAGTGGTAATTGTGTAAAAATAATGAAAAAATAAGAATTGTTTTACAGTAATATGATTATTTATAGAAATAAACCTATTTGGTACAAATAAAAATGGTAAACATTTTGGGACGGAGGGAGTAGTTTTTTAGAAATTTTATACTAACATGGTTAATCGGAGTAGTTCCTACTACGTTAACTTTAATTGACTTTGTTATATTATAAAGAAAATCAAGGCCCAAAAAACCAGAGGGACAAAAAAGGCCCAAGAGGAGCACAATATTAGAAGGAAACAATAAATAGCATACATTCATCGAGTCAACCTACCATTCACGCTGACAACGGAAAAGGTCCACAAGCTGTCGGCCCAGGCCAACTGTGACGGGCCCAATTTGAGAATTTATGTGCTTTTAGCTCATAACAGGCCTATATCGAATTATGTTTATTGTCGGCCCATTACCGACAGGCCCAATTCCAGAAATTATGTTATGTCGGGTAATATCGGACAGGCCCATATTAAAATTCACTCTTGTCGGCCCGTTACAGACAGGCCCAATTTGAGAATTTATGTTCTATAGGCTTATATGGAATTATGTTTACTGTCGGCCCATTACCGACAGACCCATACCAACATTCACCTCTTGTCGGCCCGTTACCGACAGGCCCAATTTGGAGAATTTATGTGCTGTCGGGTAATATCCGACAGGTCCATTTTAAAATTCACTTCCTGTCGGCCCGTTACAGACAGGCCCAATTTGAGAATTTATGTGCTTTCAGCTCACAGCAGGCCTATATGGAATTATGTTTATTGTCGGCCCGTACCGACAGGCCCAATTATAGAATTTATATCATGTCGGGTAATATCCGACAGGCCCATACTAAAAAATTCACATATTGTCGGCCCGTTACAGACAGGCCCAATTTGAGAATTTATGTGCTATTGGCTATATGGAATTATGTTTACTTTCGGCCCATTACCGACAGACCCATATCAACATTCACCTCTTGTCGGCCCGTTACCGACAGGCCCAATTTCAGAATTTGTATGCTGTCGGCTCATATCCAACTGGTCCATATTAAAATTCACTTCCTGTGGGCCCGTTACAGACAGGCCCAATTTGAGAATTTATGTGCCTGCAGCTCATAACAGGCCTATATGGAATTACGTTTATTATCGGCCCATTAGCGACAGACCCATATCAACATTCACCTCTTGTCGGCCCGTTACCGACAGGCCCAATTCGGAGAATCTATGTGTTGTCGGGTAATATCCGACAGGTCCATATTAAAATTCACTTCCTGTCGGCCCGTTACAGACAGGCCCAATTTGAGAATTTATGTTCTACAGGCTATATGGAATTATGTTTACTGTCGGCCCATTACCGACAGACCCATATCAACATTCACCTCTTGTCGGTCTGTTACCGACAGGCCCAATTTGGAGAATTTATGTGTTGTCGGGTAATATCCGACAGGTCCGTTTTAAAATTCACTTCCTGTCGGCCCGTTACAGACAGGCCCAATTTGAGAATTTATGTGCTTGCAGCTCATAGCAGGCCTATATGGAATTACGTTTATTGTCGGCCCATTAGCGACAGACCCATATCAACATTCACCTCTTGTCGGCCCGTTACTGACAGGCCCAATTTGGAGAATCTATGTGTTGTCTGGTAATATCCGACAGGTCCATATTAAAATTCACTTCCTGGCGGCCCGTTACAGACAGGCCCAATTTGAGAATTTATGTTCTATAGGCTATATGGAATTATGTTTACTGTCGGCCCATTACCGACAGACCCATATCAACATTCACCTTTTGTCGGCCTGTTACCGACAGGCCCAATTTGGAGAATTTATGTGTTGTCGGGTAATATCCGACAGGTCCGTTTTAAAATTCACTTCCTGTCGGCCCGTTACAGACAGGCCCAATTTGAGAATTTATGTGCTTTCAGCTCAGAACAGGCCTATATGGAATTATGTTTACTGTCGGGCCATTACGGACAGACCCATATCAACATTCACCTCTTGTCGGCACGTTACCTACAGGCCCAATTCCAGAATTTATGTGCTGTCGGCTCATATCCGACAGGCCCATATTAAAATTCACATCTTGTCGGCCCATTATCCAACAGGCTCAAATGGAATCATTATTACTGTCGACCCATTACAGACAGGCCCGTTAATCCCATAATAATATTTACCTCTTTGAAGCCTATTACTACAGGCCCAATTCGAGACTTGGTGCCGTGGGCTCATATCCTCATATCCTCACGCCCATATGTAATCATGCTTATTGTCGGCTCATTACCGACAAGGCCTGTATTAAAAGTTACTTCTTCTCGGCCCATTACTGACAGGCCCATATTACACAATTCACCTTGTCGGCCTATTACCGACAGGCCCAACTCGAAAATTGATGTGCTGTCGGCTCATATCCGACAGGCCCGGCTTTTCAGGCCCAATGTTACCTTTGCGTACGGCCCCATCTTAAATTCAATTTGTCGGCCCACTTGTTTCAGGCCCAAAGGAAAACTCAAGTGTCATAAGCTGTTTGTGGACCAATTTCCGGCAGGCCCGTATAATTATTGCAGGCCTTTTAAGGCCCACATGGCTTCAGAATACCCGTGGCCAATTTGCAACAGATATACGTGTATCACACAAACCTGTTCGCACATCACTAATAGGCACACGCTGCATTGGCCGGCTATGAAGGCCCAATTTACAATCATACGTGGCTTATTAAAAATATCCACATAGAGTCCAAATAGCACTAAAGAGAAAATGATCATAGGACCCCCAATATTCCATCTAACCCAACATATAAGTGCAAATACTTAACGAAGAACACTACAAAACTTTTTAGTCACACAAAAAATTCAAGAAATCAAAACCAACTCAAAGACAGACACAAGATGATATAATACACACACACACCCGCATATATATATATATATATATAAATAAATAGGCATTCAACAGTTAGTTACGACCTAGGCTTTTCCTTCTTCTCTTTGAAGAGTGCCAAAAGAGAAACACCAGACACTTTCACTACCTTAAATCTTACCCCAGGAATATCTCCCACAGCATGCCCCTTTCTCCCGAATCCAGCAATCAACACTTCATCCTGTATATATAATTATATTTTATAACAAAAAGAAAAGGGAAGATGAATCAATGAATAGTTTCAAGAACAAGAAAATTACAACATCCAGAACTCACATTTTCTTCGATGAAATTAAGACAACCATCATTAGGAACAAAGGCGGCAATCTTCTTGCCATTCTTAATGAGCTGCACTCTAGCACATTTACGAATAGCAGAGTTTGGCTGTTTCGCTTCAATGCCTCTGCAATGATTAATAATCAAATCACATATTAAAGGTATAAATCATGAATTCAATGTGAGATGGTATAGAGGATCAAGAAAGTTACATTTTCTCGAGAACAATGCCCTTAGCATGAGATGATCCAGCAAATGGTTTCTTCCATTCATTCCCAAGGTGAGATTTCTTGTAGGCTTTGTCCGCCCATCTTTGCCTTCTCCGGTGAGACTTGAGCTTGCGCCCGGCACCCATACCATGTGTTTTCCTATAAGATGATAAAGAATGGAACCAAGTAATGAAATGTACAATTAAACTAACTATGGTTTTCAAACTCTCATTCCCAAATATAAGCACCCAACACATTATTTTGTCTAAGATAATAAAAAAAATTACATAAAACTGGAAATGCAACTACACACAATGTCTCGAATATTTCTGCTTCAGAAATAGCATGGAGCCTAAAGAATTCGCTTAATATTTAGGAAGCAGATATTCCAATAAAATAAATGATTGTCAGACCCAATTAGGTCCTTAGTAAGGGCCCACGAGCCACGAATGATGAACCCTCTACCACTGTAAACATAACTATTATAAGGATGCCACTAAATAACGCCAATCCCAGACCCAACTGTAACCAGAAACCATAACTCAAACTAAGATAACCAGCTACCTATGCATAGATCTCTGTTTAATAGGGAATCACCTATGCTAAAGTGGTAATTTCTTTAAGTTCATTGTCTTGCATAATCATTTCCATCGCTCAAAAGACACCTAACAACTATGGGGCAGACATCTTACATGTAAATGGCGGTAATATACATAACAATACTATAAAACCACCCAATCATGGAACTAGTCACTTCTCAGAAGAATCACTTCAATTTGCATTATTTTGAAACGTGAAAAGTGGCTTGTTGATATAAGGAATAGAGTTTTTTTTTAAAAATAAAAAATAAAAATGTTGTGGATTTTTGAACTATTTTGGTGTTTTAGATTATTTTGTGAATAATAAAAAACTTGAATACAAAAGAGTTTTAGGTGTTGGATCCAAGCAAACCAAAAAAGTGGAATCACACAAAATACAAGGTCATCAAATCTACAAGACATTAATAAAACCTATGCTGCAATATCAAATCTCGAAGCTATGTGATTTCTCACAACACTAGCTAACTCATAATCAACAAATGACCGCAACCAAAACGTGAATCCATCGTAGGGTCACGAGATAAAGAGATCAACGTCGCACAATTTTGCGCGAAGAATTTCTCCAATAGCACAAAAACAATCAAATTCTACCAAAAAAACTATTGAAGCATCCAATCGACTCGAACAACTCAATTAATTCCTTCGTACCATCCAACATTTAGAAGACACGGAAATGGAACTAAAAAATAAACGCTAGAAGGCAAATCAGCAACGCAAATTTACACCTCACAAAGTAAAAAACACAGAAAAAACTACAGATCAGTGCACATACCCCATTGTCGCAGAATCGAGTAGAACGATCGAACACCGCCAGCAGTCGCTCGAGCGAAGAACGGTACGCTGCGAGAAGAAAACCCTAATCGAGATAAAGAAGCAGAATAAATAAACCTATATATATATTTATATTTGACCTGTTTCAACTAGTATAAAACAACCCAAGTCCATGGCCCATGAATAGGCCCACAAATTCGAGGCCCAACAAAATTGATATTAATAAAAAAATTACATTTTCAAAATTGTTTTCTTTTTCTATAAAACTTTAATGAATATTGGATTTTTTTGGATTGTAGTTACTATATTAAATTAGTATAAAATTTAATTCAATTTAGTGTTGACAAGACTAACACACAATACAATGATAAAATATCATGCGATTCATATTAACATATTAGAATGCTCACAAAATGACAATTCACACAACATATGATATCTCATTACAATTTACACAACATTTAATTAAAACTAATTAATATAGTGTAGTCGCGTAATGGAATGGATTCTTGATCATGTAAGTTGCTCTGGTCCCAGTGATAATGGCAGTGACGGCGGATTTCTACGCTATTAAAAAAAAATAAAAAAACTACATGTTGGATGCCCATTTCTTACGTATTGAGTGACCCAATCCTTACTACCACTTCTCTCAGTTATTGCACAATTTTGTACTCAAGTCTTTAACCAAGAGCACAAACTCCCTCCAAAAGATCGAAAACCGACGAAAAACCCGACTCCCGATTTGACGTATGTTGTAAAAAACATTGCCCGAGTAGTTATCTTTCGCAGTTCATACATCTTCGTCGTCGATAATCAACACTCACTGATGCTAACACAACATTCTTATCAAGCTCAACAAAGCCATCCATGGCTATTACACATTCTTGATTCCTAATCTATTAGGATTACTTTTGTTCCTCCCTTGTTCTGCCAGCGACGCCCTCGCTGCTGTCGCGGCGCTGCTGCTCATCACGGCAGCGTCGAACGGCGAGCAGTCGATCCAGTCCTTGAGGAAATCCTCCTGGCCCCACAGCTCCGGGACCCACACTCGATCTGCGACCTCTAGTCGGTGTCTTTTCAGCCTCTCCCGTCCGGTTTTCTCATCATCCTCCTCTGCTCTCTTGATCATCGTCGTCGCAGATTGCATTTGTTTGTTGGATTCTCGACTCGATTCCCCCCGTTTCAACACCGTCGAATTTGTCGTCAGGTTCTTCGATTCGGGATGGTGAAGAAGGGTGGAGTTTGAAGAACTCTTGTCACGCATGGTTCTTGTTTATTTTCCCTCTACACAATATGAAAAAGGTTCTTCTCTTTGGGTTGTTTGTGTGCATGATTATACTTATATATATATATATATGTGTGTATATATGTGTGTATATGCATATGGGAAGTGAATAGATCATATAGGATATGATGGAATGGAATGGAATGGAAAGAAGGGAAATGGAATGAATGGTTATCAGAAAGTGTTGTTTCACAAAAAAGAGTGAGTGAGAATGACTTTGTGTCCATTTGGGGTTGCGGGGTGGGTGGGTGGGGGTGGGTATCCTTGGATTCCTATATGTGTGGTTTCTTTTTGTGTAGACCCTAGGCCCTATCTAGTGGACATTTGACAAATAATTGTGTGTTTGTGTTTTAGGAGGATTTGAACGAAGTGGAGCAAAGTATCATCTTATCATTGTTGGAAGAACTAGGAGGATTGATTTTGATTTTTTATTTTTTTATGACGCAGAAATTCACAGTAGATAATATTTGATTGCATACTGAATAAATTTTTTGTCGAATGTAATAGCCTATAAACTATGACAACAAAATAAGTCATAATAGGCAAATATTACGCGACAAACAACGACATAATGTGGGGTTGGCTTTGAATTTTGTGTGATTTTAAGTGTTTTTGGGCCTATGTTGATGGGGTGTTTATTTATTTATGTATTTATTAAAGGAATAGAATATTTATGTCTTTTGGTGATGGGAGATGTAAATTTGTCTTGAAGCTTTGTGGGATTGAGATATTTTCATTGCTAATAACACCCTTCATTTACTCAAAACCACAATTTTCTCATTTCTTTTGTGTGAATATTTTTCCTTTCTTTTTTTTTTCATGCTTATTGGCGACTCCCGGGAGCCCAGCTCCCGGTTGATCATCGCCGAATGTTAGAATATGTTTTGGCCGATGATTCTACAAGTATTGCACCTAAGCAATAATGCTAAATGACTAACTATACAAAAGGTTTGCACCTTGAGAAGGATTGTGACGTTTTCCTAAGTGTGTGATGGAGATTAGATCTCGTGATTTTTGTTGTAACATATTGTACCATATTCAATAGTGAATCACCTTTTCTCTTGGAGAAATATGGCTTTGGCAGTGTATTGGTGCGTAGGCGAACATTTTTAGCGTGAAAAATATGATCTTACGAGAATATTTTTTAGGGAAAAAAGATGGACAATCCTAGAGGTGTTTGTTAATGCTCAAGATATTGAAGGAAGGATTTCCATTCAAGATTAATGAGACCATATTAAGTGAAGGTGCTTGACTATGGATAGACAGTGATCAAGTAACATAGAAAAAATATACACAATACATATCATAATTGATCTCAGTCATAAAATTAATTGCAAGTTCATTCACTATTGATCTCTATCACATATCACATATTAACATAATATTAACCGACAACATATGATAATAATACACACATCACTTGCTATTTTAATCTCAATCATAGGAAGGTTTTTGATAGTATATCTAGTAAATAAAATTGGCTTCAAATTTTTTACATCGAATCGAATCAAACTGAATTAACAATTTCCGTGTACTCACGTTATGTTTTTTATGTTCTTACACACTACGGGATTTTCGACTATTTTCATTTGTCCATTTGCTAACTTCTTATTCCGCGCGCACACAAAACTCGATTTTCTTAACAGTGTGGATGGATACTAAGGAGTGTTTGTCCAAACTGATCTAAGTCTCAACGCCAAGAGAGGATTCACAAGCCATACTTATATAGCAAACTAAGAAGAAATATGTAAAAGACTATATATATGCTTTCGGACGTACCGAAGAAGAGGATTAAGCTCTCGGGTATCGGGACCGTCCTTTCTTCTTCAAGAATTCCGGGATCTCGACTGCCCCGCCTTCTAGAAAGAACGAAGATCGTCTACTCAAACTGATATATGAATCGCCCTGATTCGCCTGCATTGTTTTCCGATAAGTGGTGAATAAGAATTCGAAGAAAGTGTCATCTGGAGGATCCAGCAAATAATTTTTACCTGGAAATGTCTTTTTTCGCTATCCACTTGTCGTTTGAATCCCGTGGCGATCAGTGTAATGCTGACCTGAATGCATCAATATGTTGATCAGGTGAGTCGGGATTGGATTAGATGAGAAGACGAACTTACTTGACCGCTCAGAGAAGGATCGACCACAGCGCCAAAGATTAAGTTGGCGCTTGGATCGACCAGATCGTATATAACCTCAGCTGCAGCATTCACCTGCCGTTTCAGAATTTAGCGACGCAGTTTTGAAGAATGTTGGATTTTTATTAAGACGGGGAACTAAATAAGTATAATCGATTCAAATGAGCTAAAGTTGCGAAAGAAAAACTGACCTCAAACAATGTAAGATCACTTCCGCCTGTGATGTTCCAAACGATCCCGGTGGCGCGATCTATGCCGATATCAAGTAGAGGGGATTGAATCGCATTCAAGGCAGCATCTTTCGCACGGGTTTTTCCTGCGAGTCGACACAGCATTGTCGTTGTCGAGTAAGGAAGCGAAAATGGAGCTGAAGAACCAAGCTTGAGTCGACAGTACCTGTGGCAGTTCCGATTCCCATCAGCGAAGATCCGGCGTTAGCCATAATAGCCCTCACATCGGCAAAATCAACGTTTACCAGCCCCGGGATCTGAAGGAAAAGCAGATCAATCAAGAACTCGACTTCAGGACTCGATCCCTCCACGGACGAGATATAAATCAATTGATCGGCCATACCATACCATACCGTGATTATATCAGAGATACCGCGAACACCTTGTCGAAGAATATCATCGGCAAGATTGAACGCTTCTGTCACCGGCGTCGATGGCGAAACTGCCGTCAACAGCTTGTCGTTGGGAATCACTATAAGAGTGTCGACATTTTCTCTTAAAGATGCAATCCCTTCTTGAGCTTGAATCGCTCTTCTCCGACCCTCGAAAGAGAATGGTGTCGTGACTATCCCGACGGTCAGAATACCCATTGCTTTCGCTATCCCGGCTATTATCGGAGCTGCGCCAGTCCCCGTCCCCCCGCCCATTCCAGCCTGCAAAATTGTATGTAAGTTACCAGAAAGGGTCGAATGATCATAGAATTGAGGCTCGAGTTCGATCCTAAAGCTCTTTTTATCGAACTTGAGCTTAACTCGATTAAAATTTGAGTCAGATTTGATGAAATGCAGGAGTTAGAGAGCTTACAGTGACGAAAACCATGTCGGCTCCATAAACTGCATCCTTAATAGCTTCTTTGCTCTCATTAGCAGCATTCATCCCGATGTCGGGATTCCCACCGGCACCGAGCCCTCTGGTCAGTTCTTGCCCGATCTGCAAGCGATAATCAGGGAAGACAGGCGACATCTTCATGGCTTGGACATCAGTGTTAACTATCCAGAACTCAACTCCTTTCATTTCACTTTCAATCATTCGGTTAACTGCGTTCGAGCCGCCGCCTCCGACCCCGACGACCTTGATCTTCGCTTCATTACTGCCGTCTGAGCTCAACGAATCTCTCGAGCTCACTGGAGTCGAACTTGAATTGGCTTCGCTTCTAAGCGTCGGGATTTCGGGTTGTAGGTGTAGAAAAGGATCCCTGCTATGAGACTGATTGACGGCGTGGGAGCTTGACGAACATCTCGAATGTGAGAAACTCGAAATACATTTATCACCAGGACACCACCCGATCCTTTCGTCGACCACTTTTGCATTCGACGATCTCAGAATATCCGGTGGCCGGAAATAGGAGGATGTCCAAGTAGCCATGAATGAAGACCAGAAGATATTCAAAAAGCCAATCTCAAGTTTAACAATGTGATCGCAGACAACAGCAGCAGCAAAGAGGACAAAATATCCCTATCAACAATGCCTGTCGATGTTGAGAAGAACTTAATCAAAATATCAAATTATCGAAATCGAATGCAGACCACCCATAGAAAAGTGAGATTTCAAATTTAAGCTACTTAACCTGGAAGACGACGACGTTTTGATAGTCCGTTAGGTTAAAACTGTAAGTGTATTAAAGCTGTCGAAATCCTGCCGGAAATGGCGGCAACAGGGAAGAGCTTCAGCTTCATAATTTGTTGCTGTGTTCAGCACATTCATTAGAAAAGGATAGCAAAGAAAATGGATATAATATCTCCAGGGTTCACAAAATCACACAAGTCATCATCTTCAACAGAATTACCAAAGAACAAAACTAAAAATAATAAATAATTAAAATAAATAATAAATCATTACCATTTGGTGGGCTTGATGGTGACTCTTATCATCCAGAGCTTGTATTGATTGGCTAGTTCAGATTCCCCTTTTCTTGCTCTACCTGTACATCACTACAACATATATATATATATATATATATACACACACATATGCATCTAAATAATAATAATAATAATAATACTAATAAGATGGCTTTATTTTATAGCAGAAGTTCTTGTCTTCTTCTAAGCTAACAACCTTAAAAAAAACAACAACAATCTGCAGATTCTTTCAAGAACTATTCCTAGCTCTTGCAAGATGTCTGTCTATTTAATATAAAGCTGAAGAATGAAATGAAGCAGTGGGAGGTATGATCATTAATGGCTTTTAGGTGTGATAAGAGATTGAATGATGTTTTCGGGCATTTTTCCGAAGCAAGGGAAGCTGTGGCCGCGGCCAGTTAATTCGTGGTACTGAATCCATGGCAGCTGACTGACAATGTGGCGCTGAAGTATGACAGGGACGAGGAGATCCTCGTCTCCCTGCCATAGGTGCGCTTTGGGGCCTTCGTTTTCTGGGAATGGATTCTTCAGCTCCATGGGGTCGAATTCCCATGTGCCGAAGTGAACTGCTAGATCGCGGTGGATGGAGTTGTACTCTCCTTGTTGTCTTATATGCCCCTGTTCATACCCAATCGAATGTATGGATTAATGAGATTGAGTAACATAATGTACAGAAGTATGTATGATCCTACATATAGCTTGAATACAAAGAAGTGTTCGAAAAAATTTGAAATCAAAGATTTGTATTGTCTTAACTTTCACAATTCTTTGTAAATATGTATTACTCAACTTAACAAAACATACATTTAAAAACTATCTCTTACTCAATACATCATTCTCATTTTATCAAACGTACAACAATACATTTTCTCCTACAGTGACGTTTCTCTATTGTATTTCTCAATTGGATTCTTTAATTATCATTTTACTATAGGTTTATTCTTTTTACCAATCGTGCCCTTAATTCTGAGGCAAAATGATAATTTAAATCGAATTTTTCGAAGCAACTATAATGCATGTTCAAGAATTTAAGAAGATCCAAAGTACCTGGAATAGATGTCTGTGAGAAGCACGGCTCGCCATAACCTCTAGGTCGTGGGGAGAAAAAACTTTAGGAAGTAACTCCGGTCTTAAAGCAACAAGGCTCAAAGGAGGAAACAGTTTTTGAGTGTTCCACCAGTAGACAAGCCATGGCATATGGTGAGCAACACTTAGAGCCCACTGATCCTGTGGAAGCAACTTCTTGTATACTTCTCCCGTCAAGTTTGAAGGAAGGCTCGGCCACCAATAATTCACGACAGGCGCAAGTAGAGCTATTCCGGCCAATCTGTTTCGACGTAATTATAAACATTAATCGCCAGAAAATAGCTTAAAAATGGAATGAACACATAATGCAGCTGGATTTCGACAATGGATGTACCTGTGAGGGATGTACTTGAGGCATGTCCAGGCGACCTGCCCGCCCATGGAAAACCCAATGATGTAGAATTTAGATCCTAATCCCAACTGATCAGCGAGCTCCTCAATATCAAGAGCAGTGCTTTTGATTGATAGTTTCGGGTTGGGATCACTCTCGCCATAGCCAGGCCTGTCGAAGGAGAGAATGTAGAGTCCATGGCTTTGGATAAATTCCTACAAAAACAAACATTGTTAGAACATATAAACTCTGCATTTGCCTATGGAGAAAGTCTGTTGGAAGTTCGACTACCTCGGGAAGATTTCCTGTTAGACATAAAGCATCATGCCTACATGAATCGAATCCATGAATAAACACAATTTTGTGCTTTGCATTTTCCCTTGGAACACCGAACTCTCTGTAAGCCAGGTGCCGCCCGTCCTTGAGCTGTATTCTCGGCCCTGTAATTGGAGGGCCGTCTTTGGAGCCACATGTCTTGTGTGGAGGAGGAAGTGCTGTCTGATAACCCCAAGCCAGCAAACCAACAACGAAAACGAGCAGAACTTTTTTGACGATCCCTGAAAATATTTCGATTCAATTGTTCGTAAGCAAGTGAAGCTTTACTCGCGTGAAGTCCTTCAATAATGACATGTTGCGGACACTGGAAAATCAAGAAAATTAAAAGAACACACAAGAAAGCAAGGATTTGTCGACCCAGTTCGATCACAATAATATATGGGCGGCCAAGTCAAGTATTTTCATGTGTTTTCAAGTGTGAATTATAGAGTACATCAAATATCGATAAATGTTAAATAGAGCTGTTAAACGAACCAAATCGTTTGTAAACTTGGCTTGGTTTAAGCTCATTCGCAAATATAAATGAGCCGAGCTGAATAACATAAATAAGCTTGTTTTATATGTACGAACGAGCCCAAGTTGTGGTCAGAAACGTTCGTTAAAAAATAAAATATCATTGCTATCCAAACGAGACTCGAACGAGCTTATTCAACTCTAATACGAACATGAGCTCGAACATTAAAATTGCTTACGAAACAATCTCGAACAATATAAACGAGCTCGGACACTCAATAACTAACCTGAACCTTGTTCGCCAATATTATTAACGAAGTAATACAAACACTTCTTGCTTTCTGTTCATTTTTATTGCTTTTTTTGTTAGATTAATACTTACTTTTCTATCTTCCTATTCCAGTCTGTTGGCATCACTTTTATCACTTTCCTTCTTAATAAGTTATCCAAAATCTTTCAACGAAATTATTACTGCTTTGAGTATTTTTCATTGTTATTTTTTCTTCTTCAGAGTCTTTAAGCAAATATTTTTCTATATTTGCCCGTCATTTCGATTAAATCAAACATGGATCCAAGAAGCCGGAAAGACAACACTCAATAAACTAGCTATATTACAGTTATGCAATTGAAGAATTTGTTGATGATCCAAATATCAAACACTGAGTTTCACTCAATGATCCTCTGTACAAACATCCTTTCACTCAATAAACAAGTCCAGCTTTACTCACATGAATTCCTTCAATGAAAGATCAATTTAACAACAAAAGTCAACTAGTTATTCTGCAATCACCGCTGCAATTGAGGTTTAACTTTTAAGTAAGACTCTATCAAAACTACAGATACCAGACACAAAATCACTCAATATGCCTACGTAGGAAGATCCTATTTGTCAATTACCAGTGATTACGGCAGAAACATACGTCCGCATATGTCAAATACATGAAATTCAGCAAGGAAACAAATCCTAGCCGTCGACAACACAATCGAGAGATTCAAAATCGAAGTCGAAACCACAAACTTCGGCCATATTTCACTCAACGAGAATTCTCAACATCACCAGCAGCAATCAGCATTCATATAAACACCACATTCACCAGCAGCAATCAGCATTCATATAAACACCACATTTCAAACAGCCGTAAGGCGAGAAAGGAGTGAAAGAGATTCAAATCGCACCTGATATTCTCGACGGAGTAGCTGGATTTGATCGTCGCGTATGAGCTCTAGCAGACGCTGCCGAAATCCTCTTGGTAGTTCCAGTCGCCATTTTGAGATCCACAAAAGAGTGTGAATCAAACCCGAAACAAATGGTTGGATCTGATTCGAATGCCCTGCAGAGATTAAGAAATTATATTAAAAACAAAAAAAACAAAAAAAACACGTGGGCTGGTCAAACATCAATTTAAGAAATGATTATTATAACTAATTACAGATTAGTACTCCCTCAGGTTGTGGCCGTATTTCTAATTTTTCCATTTTAAAGTAGTACTTTTCAAATTTTGAGAAGTGAGATCTGCTTATAATCTTTTAATTCTATCTTTTTATATTAGGTTTTGAAAAATTGTATAATATATAAAATAATATTTATGCTGAATTATATAATATATTTATTTTATTTTGTTATGGAAAATCAAATGTATATATTTTTTTTTATGAAAGAACATCTAATAAAAAATTCAATTACTTTTAATAAAATTTATTCAATTTGACTATTTTTTAATGAATGTTTTCTTATATTAGGAATATAAAATTATATAGTCAAGGAAGGGAATAGATGTAACTCACAACTCACAAGTGTCTTATACATACACACGGCGGCTATTAGCTAGTGAATTACTGTTGGTCCAATTCATTATTTCTATTTCTATAAATATAATTATACATTTTTATTATATTTTAAAAATTTATAATTTATAATTTATAATTTTAATTAAATTATTTAATTATTTTTATTATATTATAATTATTTTTTAGTTCAGCAACAAGAACATTATTTGTTTTTTTGCATGTAAATGTTTTAATATTAGTATTATATTGATTTATAATAATTAAAAAAAAATAGTATGATATGATATAAAAGTAATAATATTTTTGTTATATATTGTAAGTTGTAAGAGTATTTATTAGGTTAGATAAATAATATAATTACTAATTTAAGAAATTGTATCCTTATTCTGGAACAAAAAAATAGAAAATGATATTTTTTCTATGGGACTGATGGAGTATATTTTTTAATTACTTACTAATTACACAATATATAAAACTAGTGGACAAATTAAGTGGACAGCTGGAGTATAAAACTAAAACAAATTATGCTATAATGATAGATAACTCATCATTTATACTTAATTCATCCACACATAAAAGTATACAATTATTTTTGATGCGGTATTTAAAAAATAATACTCTCTCCGCCCATGGATAAAGTAAACATTTACTTTTGGCGCGGTGTTTAAGAAATAATAGTATTTTAATTATAACGGGTGGTTAAAAGTAGTGTAATGATATTTTTGCCCTTGCCCTTGCTTTTTTTGTATAAAAGTGTATAATCATTTTTCAAAAACAGGAAAGTGACATGTATGTGGGACGAACAGAAACGGCAACGTGGACATAGTACGTGGGACAGAGGGAGTATTTACTTTGGAATTCAACGTTCCATAATAAAAATATATATACTTTCTAACCGGATAAAGAGAGTATTAACATAATATAAATACATCACATACCAATTGTCCACACGACGCATAAATGATCGTTTTCAAGCTACTAGGGATTGAATGATTTTCTCGGGCATTCCGTCGGCGCATGGAAACATGTGGCCAACGCTAGGTACCTCATGATACCGAATCCACGGCAGCCGACGGGCAATTTCGCGCTGCAGTGTGACGGGGACAAGGAGATCCTCGTCTCCCTGCCATAGGTGCACTCTGCTGGTTTCATTTTCCGGGAAAGGATTTGTGAGCTCCGTGGGGTCGAATTCCCATCTGCCGAACCCGAATGCCATATCACGGTGGACAGAGACGTACTCGCCTTGTTGCCTTACCTGCGGCTGAATCTGTTCGTGCCAAATGTTAGAGTTTACACAGGACAAGAAATGTCGATTAAAGATGTACAGAGAAATTAAAATCTCCAAGAAATAAAAATTTAATGTTCGCGACTCACAGTTTTTCACTCGATTATTTCAATTCTCATACCAGAATTTAGTCATTTGTAGAGCGGTTAAATAAGTCGAGCGAGCTCAAATATTTGTTGTTTGAGCAAATCAATACATGCTCGACTTGGCTCATTTAAGATTCGAACTAAAACGATGGTTCGAGCTCAGCTTGTTAGGCTTGATTTCAAACTCAAATTCGGCTTGCAAAACTCGAACTCCAGTTCGAGTTCGACTCAAATTTTATACTTCTTATATATATTTTTCAATATATAAATTAACTAAATATAAATTTTGTTATAAAAAATTATATATATTATATTAGTATATAAAATAGTACAAATATATATATTATTAACGATCTCAATTGAACTATTCGCAAGCCAAGGTCGAGCTCAACTCGTTGACAAAAATAATAATTTTCAAGTTCAAGTTCAAACTCAGCTCGTTCGTTTTTATAAACAAGTTGAGTCAGAATTGTTAATGAGCCGAGTCGAGTTTGGATCGCAACCTATTCAGTTCGTTTAATAGCTCTAGTAATCCGTTACCGAAGCCTACGTACAATTCTAAATAGAATGATCAATGATGCTATACGAAGAACGCAATAAATGGCGTGCTGAAAATTCCTAAAACTACTAATAATCTCGACCCATATGTTCAATTTTGCGGCAAAAAGCATTCTTGAATCTCATTATGTCCAAATTATAAAAATAACGAACGATTCGATTACCTGGAGGCGCTCTCTCCTCGCAACGAGTTTGGGGATAAGCTCCAAGTCATGGCGAGAAAAAACTTTAGGAGTGAAATCGAGAAGACTAAAACAAGGAAAAAGCTTTTGAGTATTCCACCAGTAGACAAGCCAAGGCATGTAGTGAGCTACACGAAGCGCCCACTGGTCCTGCAGAAGCATCCCCTTGTATGCTTCTCCTGACAGGTTCGAAGGAACTCCCGGCCACCAATAATTCACCACCGGCGCTAGTAGAGCTGCTCCAGCCAATCTGTATGACGCAACAACAAACATCAATTTCTACAAGAATGGCTTTTTAAGCAAATTAATAGAGCTGTTGAACGATCCAAACCGTTCATGAACTCGACTCAATTTAAACTCATTCACGAATATAAACAAGCTGAACAACTGAACCTTAGAATATTTGTTAAAATGACATATTTGTAATATATATGTATATATATGAAATAATGAATTAAAATAAATAAATAAAATATCATATATATATATATGGATTAAAAAATAAAATAATAGGCCAAACAAACAAGCTTGAACGAGTTTAATCGGATTGAACACAAACACAAGTTCAAACAATGAAATTGTTTAACAAACCGACCATGAACCCTACAAACAAGCTCAAATGTTTAACGAACAGATATGGGCCTTGTTCTTTAAGGTTAACAAACGAACACAAATATTTAAAATTTTGTTCGATCCCGCTTTAAGCAAATATAACTAAACCAAATTGGATTCCACCATGAATGTACCTGTGAGGGATATACTTAAGACATGTCCAGACGATCCCTCCACCCATGGAAAATCCGACGACGTAGAATTTAGATCCTAATCCTAGCTGATCAGCAAGCTCCTCAATATCAAATGCCGTGGTTTTAATCGATGATTTTGGATTAGGATCACTCTCTCCATGACCATGCCTATCAAATGAGACGAAGTAGAGTCCATGGCTTTCGGCGATTTCCTGTAAACAAATGAAACAGAGTTAGTCAATACTACGCATTTGTGATGAAGAAATTGTTCATAGAAAGCTTGAAATTCGACTACCGGACAGAGTTCTTCGGTTAGGCATAAAGCATCATGCCTACACGAATCGAAACCATGAACAAAAACGATTTTATGCTTTGCAATTTCCTTCGGAACGCCAAATTCTCTGTAGGCCAAATACCGGCCGTCCTTAAGCTGTATTCTCGTCGAGGTGACCGGAGGACCGCCGTCGGAGCCACAAATTTTCGGTGGAGGAGGCCGTGCTGTTTGATATGCCCAAGCAAGCAAAGCAACAATGGAAAATAAAAGAACCTTCGTCACGATACCTGAAATAATTTTATTGGATTCATTACGAGCAAATGAGCTTTCACTGCGGGGAATTCGATCAATAGGAAATGCCTTGAGCAGCCATAGCCAAATCGATTGTATGTGCAGTTAGTGTAATTGAAGTTAAGTAAGAAAAAATCCAAACATGAAAGCACCATTTCGATCAATTAGGAAATAGCAAGCGATGATAATCAGACTAGGGTATCTTTCCGCCGCGACCGTACAATTACATCACCGCGAAATTCAAAATCGAAATTGAAGAAGAGCAAACTTAGGTCAATACGAACGAAAAAAATTTAGAATCGTTAATCACCACATAATTGCGCCAATCAGACACTAAATTGTATCTTCAAAGCTTACCAGACATTCTCGACGGAGGAGCTGATATCTTCCTGGCCGCTCCGGCTGCCAATTTGAGCTCGAAATAGCGAATGAACAGACGATGATTTAGAGGAAACAAATGGTCGACTTTTCGCTTCGAAAACTTACAGATAGCATCCAAGTCAGGAGCGACAAGGAAGAAAAACAAGCGGCCATCGCCATCGCTACCAGCTTCCCATAAATGCTCAGATACTTTGAATTAGGAGACTTTCGCAATAGGTCAAAGATAGAGACTGTAGAAAAAATAAACAAATAAAAATAAATAATCATATTAAATCATATATATATATAAGATTAAATATTTAATAATTTTTTAATTATTTGTAAAATTTTATAAGTCCCGGTCTCGGAAGAGAAGGCATTACGAGCTATTCGTGGAAGTAAAACTTAATTAATATATATAGGGTAAATTATACAATACCTATTGTGTTTTACTAAAAATCTGTCTTTTATTTCTTGTGTAAAATTTTTTGTGTTAATATAAATGACAAGTAAAGACTTAAATTACAAAGTTTAATATAAATAAAAAATACAAAATATTTTAAATAATTTTTTTGAATAGAATAATTAATTAATTAATTAATCTTTCATTTTATAATTTTTGAAACAAATTGTTATATAATTTTTATGAAAACTATAATAATAAATGATTAATCAATTATTTACTTATTTTTTTATTAAAAAAATTATTTAAAATATTTTTTATTTTTTATTTGTATAAAACTTGCTTAATTTAGTTCTTTTATTATAATCAAATATCAGTTTTGACAAGAGAGTGTTTCGTGCAAATTTTACATTAACATAAAGGATTTCACCCAATAAATAAAACATAAGGTGTTTTGTGCATTTTTACTAAAAACACGTAAGGATATTATATAATTTACCCTATATATATATATAACAATAAAAGTGAATTTTTTATTTATGATATCGAAAGATAAAAGAAAATTTATACTTAAAAGAAGTAAAATACTTTATTTAGCTCCAATTCAAAGTCAAAGTAATTTAAGCTATATTAACATTTTTATCTTTGTATGTTCAAAAGAAAAAATATATATATATTTAAAAAATTTAAGAATATTTTATTGTTTATACATTGATTGTTTTTATTATAACAAGAAATAAATATTTTTGTGTTGAATATACAAAAATAATAAAATAGGAACATTAAATGGAAACAAATAAAGTACATTTTTAGTTTCTATATAAATTAGTTGATGTAAAATTGGTCTTATTAGATTTCTTTCATATAAAATTAGTTTCATTTCAACACATTCACCTAAATTGATTTTTTTAATACTCAGGTTTGTTTATACTAGTATATTTTTAGAATTGTGCTATTACTTATTTCTTTTAAATATTATATAAAATATATTTTTTATTGTAAAATATCACATGAAATTATAATTTTTTATTATTTCAAATTTTTTTGAATTTTTTTTAAAAAAAATTGTCTAAGCAGAGCCAAAATTCGTGGATGTAATCGTTGCGTTGCATAAATTCACGCGGCATCAAACGTATTTGTCCGTATACATCAAGAACACGGTTAGATTTCTCATCATATATGATCGCATATTTTATAAATGCAACCAAAAATACATAGTCATATTAATTAACACACAATCATAGTTGTATATTAGAAAATACCGTTTTGTTATTTAATATAAGGTCATATGTCGCAAAATACACGTATATACTTGTATATCTAAAAAAAGCGACTATATTTTTTAATATACAGTCATCTATGTTAAAAACAAAACAAAAATATAGAAAAAATTACAACTATACATGATTTCATATTTCATATAACATGATTATTATTTAATACATGGTCATGGTCGTATATCTAAAAAATAAAATCATATTTCAAACACACATAGTCATGGACATTGACATATTTGATGTCACATATGCCCTAATAAAGGTTATGTCAATAAAGTCGGTTGAAATTATAACAAAATGAATAAATATAACACTAATTTTGCATTATATATATAACATAATTTTTATTCTTTTATTTATAACATAAAAATTTGTTGTTACTATTTTCCGAACGCGATCTGGATAAATTCTAAATCGAATCTACTCTTCACTACCGAATCATTCTTTACGGAATTATAATATAACTAATTTTAGATATTTTATTGTAAAATGTGAGAAATTATGAAAACAATACTTTGAGTGGTATTTTATACTCCCTCCGTCCACAAACTAATGTCCTACTTTTCTATTTGGGATGTCCAACAACTATTGTCCTATTTCATTTTTTAAACACGAATTTTACATTTTTACCGTTCATTCATTTATTATTTTTAATCTCTACCATACAATTAATGACAAATTTGTCAATTCACAACAAGACAATCACATAAAACTGTGCAAATATTGTCTAGAAATTGGAATGAGGGAGTATTTTTTAAAAAAATTTGATATGTTGTTTTAAGTTGGTTTGTTTATTATTTGAAATATTAAAAAAAATCTATTACTTAATTTCAAAACAAAAATTGAAGTAGTATTTGTTCTTATAAAATGTTTTATTAAAATATTATTTAAACTAGATTTTAAATTCAAATAAAAACTAAACAAATTCTTTACTTTGTATTTTTATTGTTAGATGTATTATATATTTTACATAAACTTTTTGGGGAAATTCATATGGAAACAGAAGTATTGAATTTTAAAAGTAGACTCTATTTAGATATAAAAATAAAAAGTTTTTAATGTGATATTTTAAAATAAATAACAACAAAATTTTCAATTTTTGTCTATAACAATAAAATCAGTACAATATATTGTGTGTTCTTTTTCGATTTTTTTTTATATTTTTATTTTGAGTTTGTTTGTTAATTGTTTTAAGTTAAAATATATTTTTTTATACATATAAAATTCGTATTCGATCTGAAATATTACAATCAAGTATGTAATATTTTTAATAAAATATAAAAATAAAAATAAAAATAATTGTTTAATTCACTACTAATAATAACAATAATAGTGAGTAGGCACAATATTCTTAGTGTGGAAATTAAGTTGGGAATTTTGACAAGGCTTCCTTGGAATTATTTTTACTTTTCAGTGCCATGCCGGTCAATTTTATGCGCTCTCTACCCAAATTTTTTATTATTTTTTATTTAAAATAATATTATATTTGATCTTTCTAAATATATTTTATAAAAGTATTCCAAAACTAAAAAAATGAAGACAATATTTTTAAGTACGGAGTAATATATAATATTTTTTTATTATTAATATTTTGACAGTAATCATAGTTTAATTTATTCAAATGAGAGATACTGCAATATTATTATAACCTCACTAGATTTTAGTTCATGGCAAAAGTGAGAGAATGATCTTTTCCGACATACCATCGGCGCAGGGGAACAGATGGCCGGCGCCGGCGACTTCATGATACTCTATCCACGGCAGCCGACCGGCGATGTAGCGCTGCAGCTCGACGGGGCAAAGAAGGTCCTCGTCTCCCTGCCATAGGTGCACTCGACTATCCGCAAATGGATTCTCCAGCTCCGTCGGATCGAACTCCCACTTGCTGCTGAACCCAATCGCCAGATCGCGATGGAGGGACTCGAACTCGCCTTGTTGACTCACTTGCGACTGAAAAATTCAAAATCCAAAAAAGAAGTTATAGGAAATCGTAAATATTACTTAGTAAAAAAAGATAAATTCAAAGAGAACGAAACGTTAAAAATGTTCAGTTTGGGAGCCGAGTTAGAAATGTTTGCCCTGTCATTTGTATGGCTGCAGTTACTATGCCGAATTTAAAAATTCAGGAAAATGTTGACCAATTAAATCAGTATGGTGTAGATTTGATCGAGTCTATAAAAATATATGTTGATTATTCAAATTGCTGATTTAATTGAATCAAACCTTATATGCATAACTGTCAGCATTATTTCAATCAACACACTATGTGTAATATTAATTGAAACAACATGATGTTTGTCTTATTTATGATGTCTTCACCCAATTAGCACAGTAACTATTCTCCATTTGTATCGAACAACACAATTACCTGATAAGTTGCTCGTAATGAATGGCCTTCTTGAATAATATCCATGTCTTGGCGAGAGAAAATTTTCGGGCTATGATCAATTAAATATAGACGAGGGAAGAGCTTTTGAGTGTTCCACCAATAGATAAGCCATGGGGCGTAGTGAGCGATGCAAAGCGCCCACTTGTCAGGTAGAGTCAGCCGATTGAATACTTGTCCCGACAAGTTTGAAGGCAAGCCGCGCCACCAATAGTTCACCACTGGCGCGAGTATTGCTGCTCCGGCTAATCTGTTTAGTCGAATCTACAAGAGTTAATTTCAGTGAACCTAGCAAGCTCAAAGAAAGAAATAAAAAGGGTTGCTTGTTCGAAGATACACTTTCACATTGTTCACATTTGTTCAATCTAAAAAGGGTCCGATGTAAAATTTATTTTTGCATTTAAAACTCACAGTTAAAAGAGTTATTTTGCTAGCTAAGCTACTTAGAAGCTTGTTGTAAGACTTGAACTGAACATTTTAATTATAATAACGAGTCGAGCTTGAAATTGAAAAAAGAAATGATCGGATCTAACAGATCCAATAAATTCGATAAGATAGTAAATATATATATATATAATATGATCCACAAAGATCAAGCTCGACAATAGACAATAGCAATAAGTAAGCTTCGACTCGACAAAAGGTCTAGACGAGTTAAAAAAAAGAAAATACTCAGACTTGCACGAATAACAACTCTAAATTCACATACACTTTGGTTTTGTTTAGTTTGCACTCCAAAACCAACTTTTTTTCCATTCAAATCGCACAATTTTCAACAAAAATAAACTATTTATTATAACAAAATATAACATCAAACTATTATTTAAACGAAAACTTAAATCAGACCCAAACAAAACAAATCTTTACGGTGTGTTTGATTTGTGTTTTGTTAGTTTTGTTTCTGTTGAAAACATACAGCAAGACAAACAAAAGCTTGATTTTTTTGTTTAAAATCCCAAAACACCAAAATCCACAGCCAAAACAAAAATACAAGATCCACAAGAAATGCACCTGTGAGGGATGTAATTGAGGCAAGCCCAGGCAATCTCTCCACCCATGGAGAATCCAATCAAGTAGAACTTCGATCCTAATCCCAGCTGATCGGCAAGCTCCTCAATGTCGAATGCAATACTCTTAAATGTTTGTTTAGGGTGCGGATCACTCTCTCCATAGCCAGGTCTGTCGAATGAAACGATGTAGAGTCCGCGGCTCTCAATGATTTCCTGCAATCAATCAAATTCAAGTTAAGTGCGACATAACCAAACCAGGCAAATGCTCTGTTTTACCAATGAAAAATGGTGGAAAGCATAGAATAAGGGAAGGTTCTTACAGGGGACAGGTATTGAGTAATGCACGAAACATCATGCCTACAAGAACCAAAGCCATGAACAAATACGATTTTGTGCTTTGCATTTTCCTTGGGAACACCTGATTCTTTGTAGGCCAGATGTCGCCCATCCTTGAGCCGAATTCTCGAAGCTGTAACTGGAGGACCGTTTTTGGAGCCGCATATTTTTGGTGGAGGCGGCACCGCTGCCTGAAAGGCCCAAGCCAGCAGCCCCACAAAGCAAACTAATAGAAGCTTCGTAACAATCCCTGCACCATTTTAATTGCATAGTAGATCGAATATAGATCTATGACACTAAGCTAAGCTAAAGGTCACTGCAATTAAATAATGTAATGTTTGCATTAGATTGAAAGCAAAAGGCTATAAATTAGAATGTAATCCTTATTGGTTAACTGCATTAAGGTGTTAGAATCACTCACCTGCTAAACAGAAGACTTCTATCAATGTACAGTCACTGATAATCAAATTAGGGGTCAAATGATTCACAAGCTATCAGCGCCAATTACATGAAGAAAAAAAAAACACGAAAATCGCCCAAAATTTCAAAATCCTCAATTCTCAAAACCAATTTCACAACTCTTAGCCGTTATTTAGCAGAAGAATTATTAAAAATAAAAACACTATCATTGATCCGAAATTAAACAGTATTCAATCGGAAAACTAAAATTACGGGGAAACTGAGAGGAAGGGAGAAGTAACCAAAGCTCACCAGAGAGTTGCGAAGGATCCATCAGCTCGATAAGCTCCGCGTATGCGGATATCTTCGAACCAACTCCTCCAGCATTTCATTTTATGCTCCGAGAAGCAGAACAACGAGTTCCCCAGGACGAACAGGTTTACCCGAAACATTTGGTTGAGCCTTTGCATGGAACAGCAAGAGATCGAAAGGCAAAAGTTTCCAGAACGAGCAAAGCATCAAAACATCTGCTCTGCACTCGCTCGCCATGTCTGTATACTACAAAGAAGAATGAATGAACGTGCCTGTAAAAAGCATCGCATAATTTGTACGCCTACATCACATGCATCTATGACGCACAAACATTTGAAGAATTGGAGTAAAAACCATATCGCTTGGTCTGGATTTGAATTTGTGATTAGAGTAAATAATGGAGTATATTTTTTATTATGATCATACCTAATGAATATTGGTTAATTAGTTTAAATCATAATCTTATAAATATTTTCTTCTTAAGACATGACTCGGTGGTTTGGACAAAGCCTTTAATAACATGTGAAATTTTTGAAAAAAAAAAAATTAATAATAATTAATTGCATTAATTAATAAAATAAATTAATTAATAATTAATTGCATTAATTACAAAGTCCATTCGTAGACATTGTCCAAAGTAAACAATAAAATAAATAAATACTTAGTTTATATGGCTATATAAATACCTGGTGTCCCAACTTAACAGTATGTCATTTTTATTATTCAAAAATATACTATTATAGTAAAATAATTTATATATAAATATCAAATTCTTTATAATTTTTACAAAATATTTATATATATATTTCATTTCCGATGGAAGAAGTATATTATTATATTTTAAAATTATTCCAATTATCATTCTATTAAAAAATTTAAAGTAAGGTCATAATAATAATAAAATAAAAAAATTAAATGAGATTCTCAAAAAAATAAAAATAAGAAACAAATCCGGAGCACCATATTGGTGGGCCCACACCAAAAACTAGATACGAAATAGACGGGCCTCACTATAGACGAGAAATAGCCCAACCCCTTGCATGGGTTAAAAGGGTTCTATAGTAAACGGTTTTAGCAAGGACCCATGTGTACGGCAGATATGTGTGCCTGCTGCATTGCATTTTTCGGCGAACTAGTCATCTCATGAGAAATAATAATAATAATAATAATAATAAATAATAATAATAATAATAATGATGATGATAATAATAATAATAATAAATAATAATAATAATAATAATAATAATAATGATGATAATAATAATAATAATAATAAAAGGGATTTTCGATGAACTAACTCATTCTACGAACATGCAATGCAGTTCAACAATTATAGGAGTTAGAAAATACGAATATAATACCTATTATTGATCGGGAACGAACTGAAGAAGCTTTCAAATGTGGCAATGCATGGAATTAGGGCTTCTCGTGGACAATCTCTTTACATGTCACGCCAATCCCATCCATTATTCTGGGCAATATACTCTCTCACCTGTATTCCCGGGAATACACACACACACAATCTATACATATATATATATATATATAAATGTTACACTATACACCTGCAGTAAAACACAGACACAGAGATGGGCAGTAGAGTGATGAAGTTATCACAGAAGCTACCATTCTTAGCAACATTCTTGTGCATATGCCTCAATACAGCCACTATCACTATTGCTTCTAGTGCCAATGAAAGACAGGTACGTTTTTCATCCTACAGTACATATTATCATATCTCTGTTTATTTACAGTTTGATTTTCAATCATTTATGCAATATGGTAAATTCATGTGGATACACATTTGACAAATAATATATGTATGTGACAGGTATACATTGTGTACATGGGAGAAGTGCAAGAGGAGAGAACAATATTGATGGATGCACACCACAGCCTTCTTACTGAAACTATTGGAGAGTAAATAAATCACACCTCTACTATACTATTATGCACAGCATTACTGCAATACCAATACCGAGCATACGAATATCAAAATAACTGAAATTAAATCAGCTACCATTATATATCACTTCTTATAACGTAAGTGTTCTAACAAAACATCCTCCTACCAATTTTAGTGAAAAGATAGCTAGGGACAGTAAGATACATAGCTACGGAAGAAGCTTCAATGGGTTCGCAGCCCGACTGCTGCCTCACGAAGCAGAGTTACTGTCCAGTACGTTGATATACAGTTACTCTTGTCGCATTTTATTGCAAATATTTCTACCACAACTAAAATACCAAAATGTGTACTTGTGTTTTCCAGAAAAAGAAGGCGTTATCTCAGTATTTCCTAATAGAGTGCAGCATCTCCTCACGACGAGGTCGTGGGATTTCATTGGGGTGCGTAAAGAACTGAAGAGAAATTATCTCATCGAGAGCAATATAATAGTTGGTCTACTTGACACAGGTATTCACTAACAACTGCAAATAAATCATTCTTGAAATAAAGTTCAACTAGTTCCTAATTATACACCGAGAGCCATTTTGATATCATTAAGTCTCAAAGTTTAATCGATTACCAAGAAATGATAGAGTCCTACTACTTGGGCTCTTCTTCTTCCTACAGTCACATGAACATTATTTTCGACGTGGCTTTTCTTGCTACCCGAATTTGATTATCATCTAATTTACTCCTACATTTGTCTTATGGAAGGTGTGTGGATTGAATCCAAAAGTTTCAACGATAAAGGGTTAGGACCTCCTCCAAGGAAATGGAAGGGCACTTGTGTAAAAGGTGTAAACTTCACAGGTTGCAACAAGTACGTTCCATTCCTATCTAAAACTCTTAAGAGAAGAATCAGATTCACGACTAATAAATCTCTAAAACCTTTCACAGAAAGGTGATCGGGGCACAATACTTTGATATTAACCAGCGTATTACACCGGAAGAGGCTACCCCAGTGGACACTGAAGGGCACGGCACCCACACAGCATCCACCGCAGCTGGCATAGCTGTGGAGGGTGCAAGCCTATACGGCATTGGAGAAGGCACTGCACGTGGTGGAGTGCCATCTGCTCGTATAGCAAGTTACAAAGTGTGTTGGGGAATCGGGTGCGAGGATGTAAACATCCTAGCAGGATTCGATGCAGCCATCGATGATGGAGTGGATATTATATCAGCATCTATAGGAGGGATGGCGAGAAGTCTAACTCAAGATCCTATAGCTATTGGATCATTCCATGCAGCTAAGAAAGGAATACTTACAGTGTGCGCGGGAGGGAATGAAGGGCCCGATATGGAAACAATCCAGAATGTTGCGCCATGGATCCTAACAGTGGCAGCTAGCACCACCGACAGGAGGCTCGAGGCCATCGTCAAGTTGGGGAATGGAGACACCATTTCTGTATGTTTCTCTTCACCTCTTGAACTGCATACGATTCATTTACTGATTATGCTGATTTTATAAACTCTGGCAGGGGATGGCAATTAACACGTATGAGCCTCAGAAGGAATTCTACCCTTTGACAAGCGGCGCTCATGCAGGAAATGTCAGTGGAGATATTTTGGGAAATGTCAGGTACGTACTGGAACAGATCACTCAGTTGGAGAATGGATGCCAACTTCTCCTTCAATTAGACTGATTTAGTCGTGTGCCATTGCAGTGCCTGTGACATTGGGACACTGAGCGCAGACAAAGTGAAAGGGAAGATTGTGTTTTGCCAGGGAGCAGGTTCCGAAACTATCATCCAAGATCTGGGAGGCATCGGCACCATCATGACCTACAATGACAACCCCGACTTTGCAGCCGCTCCAGCTACCATGGGAAGCTATGTCAGTTTTGGAGGTGGTCAAAGAATTGAAAAGTACATCAACTCCACAAGGTGAGTTGCAATCCACAACAAAAAACGTTCGAATATGAGAAGGAGATGAAATCTAATCTAACAAAAGTTACCTCTTACAGTTCAGCACAAGCTGTCATATACAAAACAAGGGCTGTCAATGCAGTGGGGCCGGCCATAGCTTCCTTTTCATCTAGAGGACCTCAAGCATTATGCCCTGCCATACTCAAGGTAATTAGCCATGTCTCCAACTAAAAAGACTATAGCCTGTTTTCCCTTTTTCATCGCTCTTTGGAAATGCACACAGCCCGATCTCGCTGCACCTGGAGTCAACATATTGGCGGCCTACTCAGGACTCACGACACTTACTGGACAAGAAGATGATCAAAGAGTGGTAGATTATAACATAGCTTCCGGGACATCAATGGCTTGCCCACATGTCTCCGGCGCTGCTGCCTTTGTCAAATCCTTCCATCCAAACTGGTCACCTGCTGCTATCAAATCAGCTCTGATGACCACAAGTACTTATGCTTCTTCCCCTCCTTCCTTGATTGTATCTCACCCGAGCGACCACTTTTCCGAGCAATCTCTTCTATCTTCCTAATAGTTGAGAAACTAACTTTGAAATACACTTGTTGCAGCCAAAAGAATGAAGATAAAGCCAGTGGGGGCTGAATTAGCATCAGGATCTGGACTAATCCGTCCAATGGCAGCATTGCATCCCGGCCTGGTTTATGATGTTGACACAACCTCCTATCTAAGTTATCTCTGCAAACAAGGCTACAAAGACAGTGACATTGCTCTGCTAATGGGAAGCAAAAGTTTTAACTGCTCAAATATTCCACAAGCGAAAGGAGCAGATGGCCTCAACTATCCTTCAATGCACGTCCAAGTCAACAGTACCGAATCCACCATCTCGGCCACATTTTACCGTGAGGTGACTAATGTTGGATTTCCCATATCGGTATACAAAGCTACAGTTAAGCCTCCAAAGGGTCTTTCCATCTCAGTGACACCAGACATTTTGATATTTAATCACCTTTACCAGAAGTTGTGCTTCAAAGTGACAGTGACCGGCGGGTTCAGCCTCAGAAAGTCATGGTATCTCTCCGGGTCATTAACCTGGACTGACTTCAGGCACCGTGTAAGAAGCCCTATATTTGTTTCCCCCTATACAACTTTGTATAGTTAATCCATTGTTGATGTCCTTTCTGTGGAAATTCAACCTGCTATTCAACCATCAGTATGAAACTGGTGTGTCCACATGAATGAGATGTGTCCACTTCTTTTTTTCCCCGCAAAAACCAAACCCGCAGCTATGAGTACAATCTAGAACAAAATTTTCATCCCAGAGCATGAAAAAAACAAGGAGCTTATCAAGAGAAGAGACATAATGGATTAAGTATACTTTAAAATAATATACAAAATAAGTTTAAAAGGCTCGAAAAGGATAAAAAGATAATAAATAGAAAGGAGGTTAGAAGCATACTTTATTCTTTGTCCAAAGCTCTCCACAATTCCATTGTAAATGTGATACAATTTAAGATACTTTGGCACTTGCTGCTTGCAGAGGCAATCAGCTCTCCATACAAATATGGACCTGACCTGCAATTTCAAAAGTGCAGCTCTCCAGCTTCTGTAGAGTTCCAACTTTCGAGTGCTGGTTTTCCATCATCAAAGACAAAAAGATAAACAAACATTTATTTATACGCACAAACATTATGTAAAAGATACTCTAGGTGTACTTCTAATATATATAAAGATTTACACTCTGGTTGAACGTCTTAAGATATATACAAAACCTCTACCTTCTAACCAAGTTATCTAGATTAACTTAAACAGAAATACAGGAAACCTTGGCTTAGCTCTTTAAGAACTCAACTGCCCGTGCTGTGCATGCGAAAATGACGGCAATTGATGTTGTTCTTCATTTGCATCAGTTCCTTTCTCCTCTTCCTGGCATTGATGGCTGCATAAATATTTTCCGACTTCTTTTGCTTGAAGCTTAGAAACTCTTGATTCTTCTTCAGTAAACTATGTGGTGTCTTGGAGACAGAAATGTTTCTGAGATCATTAACGTCATCTGCCCGGGGGCGTCTAATGGACCTGGGACACTCCACAGGTCTGACACAGCCCAACGGCTCTGTCACAAGAACGTTGCCTTTAAGATGACACCCCCTGTCTTCTGGAAATGTCCATTCAGCACCATGAGGACAAACCACCGGCATAATTCTTGAGGATATGGAAGCTTCTGTACTCATTCTTGGTTTTGATAAGGATTGATGGGCATTGTCAGCATGTAGCACATTCAAGGGGGAAGACAAACTGCATTGGTGAGACGATAAAGTCTCCTTCGAAGCTCCGCTAGCATCAGCATGCAACTTAGGTGCATTGCTGTGGTTAAGGACAGGAAGTAACCAAGGCACTGGTATAACAAACAAGGCATTTCCCGGTTTCGTATTCCCCATGGTAATTTCTCTGCCATGATGCGAAGAGGGTGACTCTTTACGTTGTCGCATAGGAAGTTGAGACGAACAGGTTCCATCGGGAAAGGAAACACATGGCAGCGGGAAAACATTAAGATGTGGAACAACAGATGGCCAGAAGAAAGGAACTGAAGAGTGCTGGTTATATAAACAAGTTGGAGTTTGCGTGGTAGAACTTGCAAGCTCCATCCCAGATGACTTCAGTTCTTTTTGAGCCCCTCTTGGTTCCGCTCTATTTTTCATCTGGAGAGGCACGGGTATGAGCATGCAGTTCCTCAATAATGAAACAGCTGTCAAAGGTTCATCTTACCTGCAGTTTGAGAAACTCATTTCTACCTTTCAGAGAACAATAATTCTTCACAGCCAGCTCCTTTTCCTACAGGATTGGTGTTACATTCAAAACAATCATTTCAGGAAACAATCTATAGTTAGGACTAGAAAAATGAAAAGAATATCATGAACAATTTCAATCAATTACTAATTAGTCCAAACAGAAGTAGAAAGAAAGTGCTGCCTACCTTCTTTAGGTTCTTGTTCTCGTCGGACAAAAAAGCCACCTTCCTGGTCAAATCCAGGTGCATTGCCTGATAGTAGAACAAAATGGTAGATGAAGATAATAGTAGGATATAGCAAAATTCATTTGGTTGTGTTGAGTAGGTTGTACACAAAGCTTAATTGACTAGAGCATAAGTCTCCTGTGCACATGTTGCCGATATGTTACCAATATTATATTTCATTCTGTTACTTTTAGTTCTTTAATTTCAGCCATGCATTCATGATTCATAGACATTACCATAGAGTTTTCTGAAGCAGTTAACGAAGTCGCCGACAACCAAGTCAACAACAGAATGATTATCCAGACCCGAGCAAGCAACATAAAATATGACATCATGGAGGAAAAGTAAATGGGTTGCCAAGGGAAAACCAGAATATGAAATTACCCGCCTACGACGAATTGTCTTCCTAGCAGATTCTCGATTAGCCAAGACACGTCGAACCCTCCATGCTTCCTTCTCAGCCTGAGTGGTAGAGCTCTAAAACAAGAGAATAATCTGGAACTTTCAAGAAGATAAAAATTTTCATGTACCTCCGACAAATGTTGCCTCACTCTGCCGGTAGTTTTAGCTCTTCCACGCAAGCGACTGGGTGCAACCCTGTTTGCTTCCTCGGTCACTAATGCATGTGCAGATGTGCTCCCGCAACACTGTTGGGTAGCCACTGCTTGATTCTGATGTAAAGACTACAATTTTTCAGTCAAACTATGAAAATGCTGGGGACCTTAACCGAAAACCGCAGAGTTCCTGAATGAGGAACTCTATAGTTCAGCATATGTATATGTGAGATCTTTATGCAAGAAACAAAATGACAGAACTTTCAACAAGTCCCGTCTCATTTTCCCAGTGCTCATTCAAAAAGTTAGAACTTACAATTCATGTCAGCTTACGGAATTATCCGAATCCAAACATATGGACATATTCCATCTTAGCAAGTGTTTGATTTATTTTGGGATGGTGCAATTTGACTAAATCATAATATGGTACTGCAGAGTGAATATGTTCAAATAGCCTTGGGGGTAAATTAGTTAGGCGGTTAGGGAAAGCAAATAATTTCCTCTATTTATAAATAGAAACGAAGAGCTCTGAATAACAAATACCTTTATTGCTTTCTTCTCTATTCAGCATTCAAAATCTCCAATTTTCAGTCTGTTCCTTGATTTCTTTGGTTTTGATTATTCTGTTTTATCACCTGATGGATGCTAAGGTAGAGAAGCAATTAACGAGAGAAGCTTGAGAACCAGGATGATACTGGTTCAGGTTACTTTATTCCCCAAGTTAAGATAACTATGGACTATTATCATTCCCCTTTAATTGTCATCGTTAATATGCTCCCACGCCCACCCCTATTAATAGTATCTATAGTAAAACGGTTGACAAACTGTCCTATTTGACACACAGCATCATTAAATCGGCTGATGGTTGACTTTGCATTTCGTATTATTTTTGACAAAATCGTGTATTCTTCCTACACTTGCTGAAAACTACTGATTTCATCTTCCAAGTTTTCCTATATTTCTTTCCTTTAAAAAATGAAAAAGGAAAGACTACTATCAACATTTATACAATCAAATATATTGACAGTTTGAAGGAAATTTATTTCATCTCAAAAGAGAATCGACATTTCATTTAGGCATCCATTTGATTTTGTGTTCAATGACGACATGAATGTTGAACGTCATCTTCACTTCAACAAAGTAGATATCGGCTCTCTTTAGGCCGTTAATCATTATATACGTAACTAAAACCAAGTAGAAATTCTTCATCAAGTTCTTCACACTACAACATTATCACAAGTTGAGACAGATCATGATGACAACACTGCATAAAATAAATCACTGCATTTGAATTCAACAGCACCTACCGTAGAACGCTAGGTTTTACAGCCCTAAAATGCTATTAACAACTACTGAAATCAACACAATCGTACAATAAAAACTTCAACAATTTCCTCCCTCTCACCAACGGATCATCAACATAAACATCAGATCTCGCACCAGAAACGTAAAATCAGGCAAATCACAGCATGAAGATGCAAATAAAAAATAATAATAATGTTAAATAAACCTGAGAGAAGCAATCCCGGGTAGCGGAAATACAGCAGCCGCCGCGGGCGGCGGCGCCTCGAGCAAGTCCGGTCAGAGCTTCGGCCGCCTCGATCTCGCATGACGCCAGCCGATCACACTCCCACACTCCACTGGCTTCCATTTGGTAACCGCTCGTGCTCTCTGCAAAAAACAATAAATAAAAAATAAAAAACCCCAAACTTAACTGATGCGGGGCGAGTGGGCGCACGCGCCACAGGCGACGCCGCGCCGGAGAGCAACACGTGTCTTGCCAATTCAAGGCGAGGCACCACCTGGTCAGCACTAGTCCACGTGTTTTAACCGGCCACGCCACACCATCCGCAAACATCTATACTATACCACTTTTTAACCTCGTCACTCTCTCTCTCTATATTAATGGTAGTTCTTTCTTTTATTTTAACTGAAGTAATCATTCAAATTTTTTAATTAATTTTAATTTTAATTTTTATATTTTTATATTTTGTGATTCATTATTTTTAATATAATTTTATGTTATTTTTATTATGTTTAAATTTATAATATATTTTTATTCAATAAATTGAATTATTTTTTAATATTAATCTGAATAATAAAATTAAATAATATATTTATATTATATATTTTAAAATTTTAAATAAATATTAATATCATAAGGTAAAATATAAAATATAATTAATATAAAAATATTATAAAATTAAAATAAAATCTCTTTTTTAAGAAAAAAAAAAGGAAAATCTGATGTGGCACATGTTCGAAGTATGCTGGGAGGTCACGTGCGTATAGGCTATCGTGGTAGCATTCTTCGAGCGACACGTGGACGGTGACGGTGTGTCGACAGACTGAAAGAGGATTTGTCTTCTTTTGCTGGTCTCGTAAGATTTTTGGCTAATAAGATTGTGCTTTGGACTTGTCGTGTCAGTTTTGGTAAGTATGACGACTAAATTTTATATGTACAGATTAAGCAAAAAGTCTTTGCAGTATAGTTATGACTTAAATAATCTTTAGAAGTATTATAAAATATTAGATTAAATTGTGAATAATAAATACTTAGATTAAAAAATAATAATAATAATAATCTATTGTGAATAATAAATACTTAGATAAAAAACAATCATTTCATATGATAAAATTGAATATAGTTTCTTAAATAAAAAATAATATTTCAAATTTAGAAATAAATAAAAAATTTAACATCTATAATTAAAGAAACTATTTTACAGACAGTGCCAACAAATAAAAAGGTCTCATAAAAAATGATCTGTCTAAATTTATTCTTATTTTTTTTAAAAAAAAAACATATATTTATTTTATTTATTGTCTTTACCATAAGAGAAAGTTATGTATGAATTTATTCATTTTTAATTTTCATACAGAATATAAAAATTATATTCAAATAAAAACAATATTACTTTCTTAAAATTTTGTTCACATTCTCTTTGTATTTTACAAACGAACCAGAATATAGGTAATATTTTATATTTGAATTTTTTATTTTTTTTTACGGAATATTTGAATTGTTGATTTTAAATAATATTCACAATGAATTGTCAAATACTAAATGAACATCAATTATTATCCATTTACAAGCAAGAAATATGGTCATAATTGGTTAAATTGCTCAAAAATCCACTTGTGTCTTTATGAAATTACGTCAAAACCTCTATACTTCTAAAATTACGTCAAACTCCCTCATGATTTTATAAACTTTGCATCTAGCTCCCTCATGATTTCATAAACTTTGCGTCTAGCTCCCTCGAATGTCCTTATTTAACGGTATTTAACATAAAAATTGCTAATAAATTTTAAAATCTTAATTTCTAAACTCCTAAAATTACAAATATATTCATTTTTCTTATATTTAGCCTAAAAAATAGTAAATATACTTAAAAAAAACTTATTTTTTTTCTAGATTTCAAGAATTTATGTTTACTTTAGACGAAAAATAAATATATTTTTAATTTTAAGGGTTTAAAAATTAAGATTTTAAAAATTATTCACACTTTGAGCTCATTTAGGTCAAATACCTTTCAATAAAAACCGCCGAGGACGGCCGAAGAGTTAGACACAGAATTTATGAAACCACGAAGGAGTTTGATATAATTTTATAAGTACGGGATTTAGCTCAATTTTGTAAAATTACATGTGATTTGATGCAATTTAACCAACATCATATTTAAAAAAGGGGAAGTAAAATTTATTGAACATAGGTAGAGAATTGTGCTTACCACCAATTCAATCTCGAGAATCCATAACATATCATATTCATCCAACGGTTGACATGAATTTCAGCAGCCAGTTTTCGGCACGGTATACTTACGCAGATACATATACACAACAATGGTAGACTAAGTTTAAACCGGTAACAAAGCACACCTGTAAACACCAGCAAAATGTAAGAAACACTGTCCATAATTTTCAATAAGAAATAAAAATAAAAATTTAAATTTACCGGCAGACTCAACGGTCAAGTTCTCAACTGGCCGTTGCCGGCGGCGTCGCCGGAGATCGTAAGCCAGCAGGCGGCACAATAGCAGAAATCCTAGTCGGAGTCGATACCGGAAACTGCGGGAAAGACCGGGGAGAGAGGTTAGTGAGTTCCAATGCCTGTAACCTCAGCTCGACCGGGTAGTCGGCAACGCAGCCAATTCTGGGGCCGGCACCGGTGGACCATTTGGCGGAGAGTTGATGGCCCAACTGGTACGATTTCACGGCTTTCTTTGAACTGATCCTCTGTAGTATTGCAGTCTTCGGCACGTCTGCTTTGGGGCTCTGAAGCCCGCCGGAGAGAGATCGGTTGTACTCCGAAACAGTTTCGGGTTGCGGAAGTTTGTATTCCTCGGTTGACAAGTGTTCGTCTTTGTTGTTAAGATCGTGCGATGGTAAGGATTGTTCGTCTTTGGATCCTTCTTCGGTGAATTTTCCGTTGTCGAGGTAGTCGTAGTCTTCGTTCGCTTTACGTACCTGAAAAAAAAAAAAAGGAAAAAAAAAAAAGTGGTCGCAACAAACACTGTAAATTATTACATAAAACACTAGAACTTGGGCGACTTGCTTGATTTGCCCCAATCGTAAAAATAGAGATGTAAAACAAACAGTTCGTGAAGTTAGTTCGATTTGGCTTGTTTAAACTCGTTAAGAACCCGTTTGTTAAGCTAAACGAGTCGAACACAAACATAAATTGTAGCTCGTTATATTCACGAACGTGCTCAAGTTTGCTCGAACATTCGACAATAATTATAAATTTAAATGAGTAATTTTATATTTAATAAGTAAAAAAATAAAATAAAAAATTCTCTTAACGAGCCGAGTCGAATACAAAAAAAAAAATAAAATTCAGCTCGTATTTCTTAACGAACGAACACAAGTCGAGCTCAAATCCTTAACGAGCCGAACTCAAACATAGCAAGCTCGACTCGGTTCGGCTTGTTTACGGCTCTACGTAAAAATAAGCAAACAACATATTTATTGTAATGAAAACAATAATATAAATCGGGTGTTGTCTATTGTTTTATCATGAATTGTCCGTCATTATTTGCGATACTATTAGCACTATATTTAATTATAAAATTCAACCGCAGCCCCGAGAAACATGTTTCGATATTTAACAAAGCAACAATACACACCTCGACGTCGTCTAGGTCGACTCCATTTTCCCTGAGAAATGACAAAAATCCATCAAGACTATTGTCGCTCGGCTTATAGTGTCCACTGTAAGCCGAGATACTCTGAAAGGCATACAAAAATCTTATGTTACACCACAGTAGGTTTTTGCAATATCTATGGAATCCTTGTTTCTTTACAATATGGCAAAGTGAACCTTAAGTACTCCATTTTCAGCCTCGAGCCTACCAGCTGCTACCGTAGCACCTCCAGCTAGAAAGCTGGAATGGTGAAATAAACCTTTCTTTTTCTGGAATTAATCGGGAATAGATTGATCCAATTAGGTAAAATGCGACGAGTGAAATGATAAAAGTAAACATCTACTTAACGCCTACCTCTCCGGCATAAAGTCTCTTAGAGGTGCTCATTACAAAGATCCATTTAGAACCTTTAATGGTATCAAGAGGCTTCCCCGTTTGTTTGTTCAATATTTTCCCGTCAACAATGGCGTACTCGTAATGTTCTCTCTCTTGCTAGCCAGAGACAAAATTGAAATATCGTTAGACAGATCTGATAGAAAGGCTCGAGACAAGATTCAAACAAGAGTAATATCAAGAGCTCAGAGGATCATTCATATAAATAACATAAGGAATATGAATATGATTAAGAAGAAAATTTGCCAACACAACCATAACTTGAATATCATACCGGCCCCAGATATTTGATGCATTGTCGCTGAAGTTTTAACCTTGGGCATATTCTAAGATCAACCTCTTTGCCCTCGCCGAGATCCAACCTGTCCGGGAACAATTCAAAGGTTGCAACAAACATTTTTACTTTACATTACAGTAAATGGATAAACGATCCTTTATATAGTTGTGCATATGTTCATCAGTCCAAACTACATTCTAAAAAGACTTATCCCAATTCCCATCCACCATGGATATAATAGAACGAAAATGAAATAAAAGGGCACGTCCCATTAGTTAATTATTCATGATATGATCATAATATAGTTGAAATCATTCGTAGCATTCATTTTACAGTAAAATCAATATTTGTTGTAAAGGGCATCACAATTACTTTGTATTTCAAAATTAATTTTTATTCTAACATTTTACTAGTATAGAGGCATTCATGGCAGCAATACACAACAAAACAAACACGCTGTTACCTTTGAATAGAATATCACAAATTTTCTGAACACTATGGCCTTTTCCCTTTGATTTCTGTTTCTTACTATTTAGTTCTTACATTCTCCAATAAGAATACATTTTATTCTCACTCAAAACATTACGGTCAAACAATTATTTAAATCAAACCTCAAACCAAATGAACAAATTATAGACAGGGCTTTAGACAAAAATTGTATATCATTATAAACCCCTCAAGCAGCCATCATGTTTGACTACATAAGACAGCCCACAGAAACAAGTAAAATAATAATAATAGTAATAATCTAAATTTGCAAGCATCTAAAGTAGTTCAACTAATCATAAATGCTCACCAGTAGAAGAAGGGCTGACCAGAATCAGTTTTACGCCATTCATCATAATAGATATGCAAATTATGCCCATAACGGTGTCTTGGATCAATCTAACACGGATGCACATCAAAGTAAACAAATTATTTCACAAAAAAGATAACTCAAGAAAATTAATCTTACAGAAGTTGTCGAAAGAACAAAGATCTTAAAGCACAACTAACAGCTTCAATCCAGTGCTGAAAAGCTAGCTTCTGTGCCTTGGCATCTTTAGACAAGCCTTTTCCAACCTATTCACATAATTCACCAAAATTTAATCACAACAACACAACTAAAGCTAATAAGGAACGTTTTGAGCTAATTTATGCATTGTTTTTGCAAGTTTTAGGTTTGGGTTTTTTATAGTAACAATTATCTTAAACATGTCTTAAAGCTTCACCTTGGCAGCATTCAAACCGACACGATTCCACCGCGACGCAGCCGTTTCTGGCTTCAAAAAGTCGAAAAACGAAATTGTATTGTGATTTAATCGAGCGAAATCGAGCGCTTGCCACCTTCAATGTTTTATCACAAAATCTGAATTAGAATTAGAGAGCAGCAATATATCCTCAGTAAAAATGAATAAATAATTATGCGCTAAATCAACCGTAAAGCAACAAACAAATTTCACGCTGTTCTCCGAAATGATTCGCATATTCACGTAAAACGCAAAATTGAAATTACCAGAGCTCTTCAGCAACCACAGCCGAGTCCGCCAACATGCGCCGGGTTCGATAGCTCCTGTAAACCTTCTGAACATCCTTCGCCGCGCTGGAAGGACATGGTGACCTAGAAGAATCACTAGGACTGACCTGAGCTTCAATGTTCTCCAATTCCAACCCACTCTTCGCCATTTGCACAGCGAGTTCCCGCGACTCTGAAGTTTCCGGCTCGAAGGACTCAGGCTTACCAGAGACTCCATAATCGCCACAGTTTATACGAGAGAAAGCGCTATTGCTGGTAGCTTCGACCTCCATCGCAGACCCTGAAGATTGACTCAGTAGTGAACCCCTAATCAATTCAGTCGTTCAGAGAGAGAGACGCACAGAGAAGATGGACAGGGAGACGATGGTCGAGATACCTACTCCGAGTGGAGTGGACCACTGCATTTAATATATATATATATTAATAAATACTTATATTCTTATTGACTCGGTTGTTTAAGCAGCACATACGAAACATGGAATTAATAAAAGTTTTTCTTTCATCTCCTAAATTAAATTTTTTGATATATTATATATTATTATATTAAAATTTATTTTTTTATTTAAGATACTTATGTATACCATATCAAAATTTTGTTTCAGCTTAAATTATTATCATTCAGTTAATTTTAGACGACGACGAAACAGACTCTACAAACAATACTCTCTGTTGATTGTTTCATTTATATAATAGCTGGCTGTATTATAATAAAGACGCTGACTAATCAAAGAACATTTATTAATGTTGTATTTTATAGGCCCTCAATCTAATCTTTTTTTTTTTTTTTTTTTTTCTTTTGTTATTTTTTTATAACCTAAAATATTGTTTTATACTAATTTTTTTTATTTTTCGATTTTCTTATAGGTACAATTTATAAAATCGCAACATGCAACAAGAAAGGACAAGATAATTAAAAAAAACTAATCAAAATTATACTTCTTTGTACATAATTCACTTATACACTTTATTTACTCATAATTTTATTAATTATATTTTAATAAATAATCAATTTGTCATTTTTTTTTCTACTCATTTTACTATTTTTTTAATATTTTTTCATAATACTCTTACTTTATATTTTACATATCTCTTTTATATTAAAATATTACTTCTTTCGTCCCATGAGAAGAATATCATTTTTTATTTTTATTCGTCCCAAACAAAAATATCATTTCTTATTTAGTACTTGTACTACCTACCTAATATAATTAATACTCTTACAACTTCTAATATATTATACAAATGTAGTATTATTTTTTTTTTTTTACTATAAATCAATATAATAATGTTTTTTTTTTTTTTTTTACTGTTCTTCCAGAACTAAGGAAGTATTATTTCTTAGTTTTTGTACCCAACCAACCAAACATAATATTGTGGATGGAAAAATTATGTTCATTTGAATTAGACACATATTTTTACTGAATATAATATATATTGATTGACTCTAATATAAAATAATATTTCTATCCTCCCATTAAAAAAAAAAAATTCATTTTTTTTATTTGTTTTCGTTTAAAACAAAAATATTATTTTTTAATTTACTAATTGTATTGTATAATTAATATTATAAATATTTTTACAATTTACAATAAATTATACAAATGTTAATGTTTTTATATTATACAATATTACTCCCTCGGTCCGCTTACAATATTGACGTTTACTTTTGGCGCGGTGTTTAAAAAATAATACTATTTTAATTATAGTGAGTAATTAAAAGTAGTGTAATGATATTTTTGCTGATGATGTGATGTAAAAATAAGGATATTTGTGGAAAAAAAATAGAGTATTTAATGAAATGTTAACTTTGTAATTGAACGTCCCAAAATAAAAATATGTAAATATTGTAAGTGGACGGAGGGAGTATTACTTTGGGGGTTTGGTTTTTGAGTTGAAATTTGAATAATAAAAATTTTGAATTTGAATAGTTGTATGAAGTGATGTTTTAAATGTAAAATTGATTTTTAATATAATACAGAAAAATAAAAAATATGAATTTAACTTGATATTTTTGGAAAAATAAAATAAAATAAATAGTAAATTTAAATTAGTATTTTAGGAAATATATGAATAAATTAATAAAATAAGAAAACACCCCATAAATTAACTGTGCAAGTAAAAGTGATATATTTGTAAATAAATTGGAGTATAATGTTAAGTGTATACATTAAGAAATATATATAAATTATTTACTATAAAAAAAATATATATTTCCTCCGTCTCAAAATTATAGTTCGGGTTGTATTTGACTTATTAACAATGGGTAAAATATACGGATAAAAGACTTTTTTACCCCTGTGAGTGTATTAGTGTAAAAAATAGTGACAATTGTGTAATAATAATAAAAAAAGTAATGATAGTGTTATAGTGATATGATTATTTATGAAAATGAGACTATTGTTTTAAAACGAACAAAAATAGTAAACATGACTATAATTTTAGGACGGAGGAAGTATATTTTTTGGACAAACAAAAAAGTAAAAACATATAAAAAATTGGTGGACATGTAACCATATTATTACAAAATTTTGGTTCTATTAGCAATACATATTATTGAAACTTTTTAAACTACGTATATTCACTTAATAAAATTATATTTATTTAATATTAAAAATATTATTATATTTATATAATAAAAAATTGTATATTTCTTCTCTATTATATTTATATTTTGATATAATAATTTATATTAAAAATCAAATACGAAAAAATTAATTGTAAATTTACAAAATGGACAAATAGTATTATTTTATAAAATTTATCAGACCAAGTAATTTCTTATAAAACATTAAATAAAATATTCAGTATTTTCCTAATTAGCCTTGATCTTTGGCCCAACTAATCAAAGCCATATAAGGCCCATTATTACAATCCAAAATTTAATGGGAATTTATATCATTTACCATTAAACATATTTACAAGTATATTATAGCCATTTATATACTCCGTTTATCTTTTAAAAAGTAAAAATCTCGCCTATTAATTATTTGTATACTTCCCAAAGTATTTTTATTTTACATTAAAATAAACTAATATAATCATATCAAACTTAAGCGGACATAGGATGGGTACGGTTCGGATATTTGCAAATATGCAGGTATTTGATATTCGAATCGAATCGAATAAATACCCGAAATCATGAACCGTATTCGAACCGAAAATATTTGCAAATAATTCGAACCGAACTGAAATTAAAAAATAATTAAATTTCTAATTAAATCAAAATATTTGCAAATATTTCAAATATTCGAACTGAAATCGAACCGAAACTGAATCGAATATAATTATTAATATAAATTTTAAAATATAATAACATAAATATATAAAAATATAAAAAATCGAAAAAATATGAAAAACCAAAACCGAATCGAACCGAACAAATATCAAATATGCAGTATTTGTATTCGAACCGAATTTGCTCGGTTAACCAAAAATTTAGTTCAATTCAGTTCGGTTCAACAATTCTGTTCGATTTTTTTGTCAACCCCTAAGCGGACATATAATTTATAAACAAGGAATGTAATCTTATTTTACTATTTTAATTTAAATAATAATTTAATATGATATTTTATAAATATATAAATAAAAAAAAACATATTTATAGAAAGAAAAGCGAAAACCGATTGATAAAATATTAAAATAAAATCTCGAATAAACAAATATATTTCTTGTTTTTTCAACTAAGTACAATGTTTTAATTTGTATATATATATTTTTAAATATTATTTTATTTTATAAAATTAAAATTAAAATTAAAATTAAAGAGACAAATTCAATCCAAAACAAAAAAGCAACAATTCATTGTCCAAAGAAGGCTTCACTTGCCGACAGTCTATTTCCCGTCATAAAATAAACCTTATATAATATTAATTAATTAATAATAGCTGGAAGGATTGTCCTTATCACATTTTTAAAACATATTTCTGCAATAATTTTTAGTTCTATTGTATATATAACTCACATGAAATTAAATTACTTTGGCTGTGTTCGTTTGGGATTTGGTTTTTGAATTGAAATAATAATTTTTTTAAATATAAAATTAATTTTTAGTATAATATAAAAATAAAAATTAATTATTTAATTATTTATTTTTTATGATTTTTTTTTTTTTTTTTTTTTTTTTTTTTTATGAATAATTGAATTTGGTTGAAATTCTTGAAAAGAAGACACCCTAAATTTTAAGTTCAATCTATACATATATGATACTCCCTCTGTCCCGGAAGTAAGTATCCATTTGTTTTTTTCACGTAATGTTAGAGATATTAGTATTATATTGGGATATAGTAAAAATAAAGTAGAAATAACTAAAATAATCTTATTAGTATGAGTGATATAAAGGTAATGGCATTTGTGTAATATATTGTAAGTTGTAAGGGTATTTGTAATGTTAGGTAGATAGTACAGTTACTAAAAAAAATTAAAATTGATACTTTGTTATGGGACGGACTAAAATAAAAAAATAAAATTGATACTTTGTTATGGGACAGACTAAAATAAAAAAATTGATATTTTGTTATAGGACGGAAGGAGTATATATATAATACTTGAATTTTTTAAAGCATTTTAGCTTTTTTTTATTATTATTATTTTAACACTTGATATTTTATAAAGTGTTTTTTTTCTTAAAATAATAATATGCTTTTATAAAAAAAAAAAAATTAAATATTACATAGAAAAACTTGAAACCTAATAAAGAACACAATGGAGCCATTATTTTCGTTGCCCTATATGCTAGCTAGCAATAATGGCTGATTATTGTCCCATAAAGGATAACCTGATGTTGCAATGGTTGGATTTGTAATCATAAGGTTATGGATTCAAATTCCTAATGTCCCAGGTCACCTGCCATACATTCTTCGCCTAGAGTGACTTTCCCGTCAAACTTGATTTACAAAGTATTAGATTCGACTGCGATTTTCACATCATCAAGAAAAATTAATAAATAATGGCTGACTATTTGTTATTTTACCCTTGTTTTTACCCTGTTGATTTTCTTAATTAAAAATATTATACTAATATTTATATTGTATTTATGATATTATATTTAACTTTAATATCATTATTATTTGAAAGTCTTTTTATTACTAAAATCAGTTGATGCAAGTAGTGATTCTTAGCAATAATTTAATGACAACAATAGGAAACATGTCATTTGATTGCGTGGTTTGAACTAATCATGAAGGTTTAGATTTTGGTGGGGAAAAGTTAAAACGCTGTCATTATTTTGATGTAATATAATACATAATATATTTTTTTTTATTAGAAACGGTGTAAAATGAATTGTAATATTAATCTTAATATAAAAATATTAAAATAACAAACTTTTCCTTAGCATCCAACTACAATGGAAAATTAATTTGGTAGGGTTAATTAGATCCACTATTATGAGTGATTTGATGTCCTAATGGTTCAAATTTTGACTGATTTGAAACCCTAACAGAAAAAGGCACATTTATATATCTATATTTTTTGCTTTTTTGAAAATTTACAAGTTTTAGATGTCTTTTTTCTTTTTAATAAATAACATATATATATATATATATTTTTACTAATTTATTAAATCTTTTAGGCGAACTCTCGTGTGTAGGAAAAATAAAAATAAAAATGACATATTGTGTGAAATAAATTGGAAGGTGAAAAGAGCTGAATCAAGTAATTAAAACCCCCACCCACATTAATCGAAATTAACAGCACCTAATTAAATAACCTTAATTGCCATCTCTCTCTAATAAATGTTATAACACTAACTACGTTTGTGCGTCTAATTTCACTTTGAGTAATTAGAGCATGCATGTGTTATATATTTCTTCCCTTGGAAATAGGCTAAAAAATAATTGTACTCCTATTATAATATTAAAGTAGAGTAAATAAAATATAGAGTGAAAATATTATAAAAAATTTATTAAGGGGTTAAATAAAAAAAGTAGTAGTATATTATTTGTCAAAATAAAAATAAAACTACGAGTAAATAAAATAGTTTAATAGGCATAACTTTACTATATTTATATTAGATTACAATCAATTTTGTGCTTTTAATATATAGTAACCGACGTTCTAAATTCAGTTAAAGAATTAACTCTACTACTTTAATCCAAATCTCAGATTTTATAGTAATTCTAGATCTTAATATTTTACTCACTTACCATATCCATTAAGGCATTGAATGTCTTCTGGATATAAAAAATAAAAAATCAAATATTACCACATACACACGAATACAGAAGTTAATTTAATTTTTATATTTATTATATTAGTATATATAGCAGATCTCTTTCAGTCTAAAGAAAATAATGAAAAATAAATAAATAATTATATTCCCGTCTTACACTTCAAATCCTCATTTGCCTCGTAATTGTTTCATATGCTTACTTAATATAAATATTTATAAATTTATTATTCAATGAATACAATTTTTATAAAAATACATTATTTTCATCTAATAATCTTCATATTCAATTTATAATTTAAAAAAATAAAAAACATTAAATTCAATCAAATTTAAAACCTCAAAAAAAACTTAGAACACTATTAAAATAATAATAAAAAATCTCCAACTCGGAAAATTTCATTAAAGAGGTAACAACCGAAGCTATTTTGATTGATTTCCTTATAATAAAATTATATATAAAAAAATTAATTAAAATTATTTATAATAAAATTAAAATTATTAAATTTTTATTAAATTTTTTATATTAAAATTAAAAGTGATAAATTTTAATTATATTAGAACTATTTGTTTTTTACCTAAAATTATTTTCCACCCTATATCAAAACTAATTAAATCGATATATAATGAGACAAAACTATTATTATTATTATTATTTATTATTATTTGATGTAATCCGACACACACAAATCCTAATTCATAGTGGATTCTATAGTCAATAAAGGAGAGAGAGTAAGAACATTGACAGTAGAGATAGAGTGAGAGAGACAGTAGATACAGTTCAGTTCCCCTATCTCTCTCATCCCATCCCCCTCTCTCTCTTCTCTCTGTCATCCCATTTCTTCACCATAGCTGAGATTCAGACCAAAGCTCACTAGGGTTTTCATTTTTATCAAATCAGATAACCTCTAATTCAAAACAAATCTCAGATCTTTTCTTTTATTTTCTCTCTCTAGAAATTATGTTACTTTTCTTCTTCCTAGTTCTAGATTCCCACAATTTTCATACTCTACTGTAAATTTCTTCAACAAAATCCAATGGAGAAGAGCTTGACAGAGAGAGAAGCTGACCTGTCTGATCTGTAAGTATCTGTATCTATCTCCATCTCCAGCAATGGCTTCTCCATGTACCAACTGCGAGATAATTGAAGCAAACGGCGACACCAAAGCATCGCCGCCATTAGAAGACGACATCAACAAGCTTTTCCAATCAATATCCCTAAGAACAGCATCTAGAAGCCTCGATTTTTCAGAAACCCCCAAAAATCCATCCAAAAAGCCAATTAGGGTTTCGAATTCACCAGCAATTCGATTCTCTTCCGACCACGTTTCCCTCAAGCAGGCTCTGAGAGGATTGTGCATTTCTCAGGCGGCGGAAATGGCCGCCGTCAAGCGCCTCTCCATGCCGGCGTCGCCGCGGCCGTCGGAAACCGCCATTTTCGCCAAACCTCCAATTCCCCCTCCACTACGTGTAACAGCAACAACAACAACCAAAGCCATTACAGAATCATCCAATTTTGATCAAACTCCTGAATCAATTGATCCAACTAAGGATCCTGCCAATGCTGCCATTGCCACATCCTTAAATTCCAAGCTAAGAAAGAAATCAAGGCTACAAACCATGTCTCCGGCGATGTCTCGAGCTGGCAAATCTCTCCGAAGCAAGCATCGAATCGTAAAGAAATCGAGGAAGATCGCAGCAGCCAATGGAAGCTCTGAAAATATCGTCGAAACAGGGGAAGTGTTCTGCCATAGATGCCGGCATTCTTCGGCGAACAATTCAATCCACAATTCCATCGAAAAGCCTATCGATGGCGAAGATCACTGCAATCAAATTAAACCCGATCATACTCCAACTGTTCAATCGAATCAAACTTCACAGACCAGCATTTGTGATCTTAGCAGCAGCATGACTACGCTCAGCGATGATGGGAGCAATTCACGTCGCTCGGGTTGTCGAAATAGGCCACACATGTCGAAAGACGCCCGGTGGGAGGCGATAAATCGAATGAAAAAGCAGTATGGTTGTCTAGAGCTAAGCCATTTCAGTTTGTTAAAAAAGCTTGGATCCGGCGACATTGGGACGGTTTACTTGGCCGAATTGATCGGAACGAATTGCCCGTTCGCAATAAAGGTTACAGACAACGAGTTCTTGGCGAGAAGGAAGAAGATGGCTAGAGCTCATACCGAGAGCGAAATCCTCAAGATTTTGGACCATCCGTTCCTCCCGACGCTTTACGCGCAGTTTACGTCAGATAATCTTTCGTGCTTGGTTATGGAGTTTTGCCCAGGCGGCGATCTTCATGTCCTCCGGCAGAAGCAGCCCGGGCGATGTTTTCCCGAACATGCTGCAAGGTATACAAGAAGACATGGTTATAACTTATATATTCGCCGAATATGAGTAAAATTTCGATCATTTTCTATAAGGAGCATGATCATAACCTTCTTTTTTAATTTCATCGCTTCGATCTTCTTGTCGCAGATTCTACGTTGCTGAGGTTCTTCTTGCGCTCGAATATCTACACATGCTCGGAATTGTGTACCGCGACCTCAAACCGGAGAACATCCTTGTTCGCGAAGACGGTCATATAATGCTGACAGATTTCGATCTGTCGCTTCGATGTTCCGTCTGCCCGACTCTTGTGCAATCGTCGTTAGGATTCGAGCCTCCGAGAGTCTCCGGGCCGTGCGCCGGCTCTAACTGCATTGATCCGTTTTGCGCTGGGCCTTCGTGTAAGATGTCGTGCTTCAGCCCGCGAATCCTGCCGACCACGGCAAGAGCGAGGAAGGTGAACGGCGGCGGCGGGACTCTGTTGCCGCAGCTTGTGGCAGAGCCGACGGAGGCGCGGTCGAACTCATTCGTCGGAACGCACGAATACTTAGCTCCGGAGATTGTCAAAGGAGAAGGCCATGGTAGCGCGGTCGACTGGTGGACGCTCGGGATCTTCCTTTACGAGCTGCTTTACGGGAAGTCGCCGTTTAGGGGCGCCGGTAACGAGGAGACGCTTGCAAATGTTTTAACGAAAAATTTGAAGTTCCCGGATGCGCCGATGATCGGTTTCCAGGCGAGGAATCTGATCAGAAGCCTGTTAGTGAAGGAACCCGAGCATCGGCTGGGCACGGAAACGGGCGCTGCCGAGATCAAACGGCATCCTTTCTTCAATGGCCTGAATTGGGCGCTGATACGTTGCGCTGTACCTCCAAAAATTCCGGAGTTTTGTTACGCCGGAGATTTGCAGATTTCCGGTCGAGATCTCGGAAAAAAGGTCAGGGATCATTCCGGAGAGGGTTTATTTCAGCTGTTCTGAAAAAGATCGGAAAAACTCTTGTTTATAGATAAATAAATAATGCATACTAGTAATAGTTTAAGCTTAAAAGTTTGTTATATTGAAAAACCAACGATACATATACCGTTTGTTTAGCCATTTTGTATAAGAGGTTTCAATCCATATTTATTTACTTAAAATGATAATCACCATTCGTATCAGAGTTTCAATCAATATTTATTTATTTACTTAAAATGATAATCAGCATTCGGCAGCATGTAAATACCTCTACCAATATCTGTGAAGAAAATTCGTCAATGAGTTGTATATTAGACTGTACATTTCTGACTTAAGAATAAAAGAATAGAATACATCCATGACTCTGATTTAGGGATAGATACCCATATAAAAAGTAGTAATCAAATTAGGGTGTGTTCGTCTGAACAATTCTTCCAGATTTCTACTATTAATTAAATTTCTAATAAATAAGATTTATTACAAAATACTCATTTCATTCCACATATAATATAATGTCACGTCTTTTTATTTTGACCCGTCTCACATCTTTAGATCACTTTTCTACTCATTTTTTTTAATTTCAAATTGGTAATTAAGCGAATAAACTCCATTTATTCTCTATATAATTCATTATATATATTCAGTTCACAAAATTCAATTCCAAAACAATCAAAATTACTAAAAACATCTGAGAAACACGTAAAAAGTATTAGCATTAGCACGAGTTCCAGCTGGAACAGAGCACTAGAGAGCTTCTTCATCGATTTCTCATCCCTAAAACTCCAGAAAACTTTCAACCATCTTCACCAATCTCAACTTGACTAGTTTCTTCCTTATTAATGATTCGGATGCATTTTCTAGTAGGATTTATGGCAGATTAAAAGCACAAGAGCACATAGAACTAAAGAAACTTGACATTATATAATTCCTCGTTTAAAGCAATTTACTGTGAAAAAAACTTTAAAGAAATTCGTTGTTTACTGTTTAGAATTCAAATTTAATGAACTTGACAAGCTGTCCAATGGCAAGTGGAAACGCTGCAGCGAAAAAGCTTCTTTCAGTAGCAGCAGAAGATTAATGAATAGTGACCATTATTGAAAGCCAACAAGAAACCTACCTTTTCATTCCGACTCCATTATACCGATCTACCTATGCCGGCGATAAATCAATCAAAATCGGCGGCGCAATCTATCGTCGTCACCTACACTGTTCACGCGCCAACAACTACCTTCTCTACATAATGCTCCTACTACTACTCCTACGTAATTTTTTTTACCTCTTCTGTTTCGGAAATACCGATTTCGAACCGATTGATTTGATCCTCTATAAATAGCTAGCGGTTGGATCTCGATTTTGTTTCTGAGAATTTCTAATTTCTCGGAAAATGAATTCGCAGGAATCGGAGAGGAATTTATTTGCGAAGGAAGTAATGGCGACTTACCTAGAGTGTCGGAAAAACCACGCCGCGAGCATCGGCAAGTACGCGGTGGACGGTTGCTGCGAATTTATGCCGGCTGGGGAAGAAGGAAGCAGCGCTGCAATGAGGTGCGCGGCGTGCAGCTGCCATAGGAATTTCCACAAAAAGGTCGTGCGCCATACCCAAACCGAATCTTTGTGTAACTGCTTTCCTTTCAACCCCTCCACTCCCAAATGAATTTTGTTAAGTACTACTATCATTTTATACAATATTTATAGAGGTGTGATTTTGTGGGTTCTATTTTTTTTATTTTTTTTTTTTATTTTGAAATGCCTTAAATATTTTTTTAAAGACATTTTATTGTAGAAAAAAAAAAGGACACATTAAGCATTCGTTATTATTATTATTACTATTCATTTATTATAGTTTATTTTTTTAATCTAAAAAAATCGTACCATACATTTTTTGTATCTAATATATTACAATAAACTATTTTCATTGAAAATATTATATTAAATAGTCATTTTAAGTTAGACAAACTCATATTCATTTCGAACATTGAGGGTTTGTTTGTTTTCGATTTAAGTTTAGGTTAGTGATTTTAGTTTTTTAGTTAGCATTTTTTAAATCGAAAAATTAATTCAATTGAAAATATGACCGTTTGAATAATAATGACTTGAAATTTGAATCTCAAATCAAATACAATAGGGTACGTTTCTTTTGATGCAGTTTTAAATTTTTTTTAAATGGTTATCGATTATGATATTTTGTAAAAAAAATAAATTTTGTTTATATATATATATATATAAGAAATAGAGCAAAAAATATAGAAAAGGAAATATCAAGGAGAACAAAGCTTTATTAAAATACAAAAATAATAAACACAACATAACAAAGAACGAAACGTGTACATTAAAATAATATTATTTTCTTTATCTTCAAATTTATTTTTATTTTTCTTTTTAAATTTATCACATTACTAATTTTGACAAAATTAACAAATCAAAGTTTAATTATTACCCTTCATTTAACATTTATTTACAATAAATATCACTGACTTTATTACATTCTCTTTATTTGCTTTCATTTCTAACTAAATTTTCAAATTATCTATCACCTTTTTAATAAAATATTCATTTTTCTTAAACTCAATATCGGACCCAAATAAACTCGGTATGGAGTACTACATAAGATTGGTAAATACCATTGCTTACAGCTAATTTATCAAAAAATTTCTTACTTTGTAAACTCACTTACATATTTATCAAAATATTTTTATTTTATATCACAATATATCAATATAATATTATATTCATTAAAATTGATACGTAACTCAAATCAAGCGTTACAACACTTTTCAAACCCAAGGAAAGAACAAAGTCAAAACCATAACACTGCATTAACAAAAAAATAAGAACAAAAAAACAAAACACATCATAGTATATATATATATATAAAAAATATTACATCAAATACTGATCATCAAGAGCTGCCATAGCTGACTTCCGAGGGCAGCTGCCCGCCCCGCCGCCCGGGACGCAGCACGCTGGTCGGGGACGACCCAGAAGTGGTCGACGACCGCAGCACCTCTGCCAAAGGGCCGCCCATTGACGGCAGCGGCCCCAAATTAGTCTCCCAGCCCAATCCCCACCCGACCGGACCCTTATCCCTCCCGGAACCACCCTCGTCGCCGTTGCTATAACCAAGTTTTAAAGAAAAGTCAGAAGACACATTTCCGGGCGTCGAAATCGACAAGCTTGTCTCCATCTCGTCGTCGACGACCGACTTGGGCCAATCGTCGAAAAAATGCCGAAACATTCCGTTATTGGGTTGGGCCTCCTTCTGGGCCTCAAATGGGCCTTCACTGGAAATTCAACCAAGGCCCAATTAGTAGTGAACGTGGGGTGGGGTGGGGTGGGGGTGGGTAAGGGTGCAATAAAACAAGTGGCTGGGGAAGAATCTGAGCAAAATAATGAAAACCCACTTGCAAGAAAATATCATAAAAAGAGGGTACAATAGAAAGAAGACAATGGTGGGTCTCCCCCCAGCTTCGTTCTGACAGTGATAACAAAAACATCAATTATGAGGACCCCTTTTCTTACATCAAGAATGGAAAAGTTTGTTGGAGAATATCACTACAATCAATGGCTTGGATCTCTGTGTTACGGGTTTTTAGTGGCTTCACCCTTTTGGGGAACATCATATATTACTAATAAGTCCATGTATATATTTATTTTTAAAAAAATATCTTATTAATTATATATTTTATCATATCAAATATTAATTTTAAAATTTCTAAGATTGATTCTTATAGAAGTGTTGAAATTTTTAAAAATAATAAATATTGAACGTGGTAATTTGATTTTTTTTTTTTAAAAAAAATTAATATTAATTGTAGCGGCACAATTCTAAAGTACCTACAAATAAAACTTAAGGTGTAATTGTTTTGTAAGATAACATGAAAAATGAAAAATAAAGGAATATAAAAATAATAAATATGTGATAATTTTCAATGCTTTAAGGGTATGTTTTTTTAGTATAATTTTTTCAAATTTTACTATTTGGATTATGCATTTTTAAAAAAAATATATATTTTTTTACTCACAAGCTATCCCATCAAACATTATTTTCATATCAAACTTAAACTAATTTTTTTTTTTTAAACTCATCAAAAGAACCACACCGAAGTTTCAAAATAGTTTTACTATTTTGAGTTATTTTTCATTAAATATAAATCTTCAACATCCAAATCTGAAAAACCACACTAATTTTGCCATTCAATCGATCTCCAAAAAAATCAAGAAAAATTGCCCCACACCCCATAACACATATATATTGCAATAACTGAAGATTAGAAATTCAAAAATAAAAACAAAAACAATTCAGACTACATTTTAATAAAAAAGTCTAAATACGGCCAAGAAATTAATTTAACTACTACTAATATTTAAGTTAATTTTCAATACCTTGGGTTGTTGAAGCTGAGGAAATCGCCGGAGGCGGTGGATGGCCTAGTGACGGAGGAGGAGTTGGCGGCGGATTTGGAGTCGCCGCCGTATGTGGAAGCGGTGGATGCGTGGGGTTCCACAGGCTTTCTTGAACGGTTCCTGCCGCGGTGCATATGGCGCTCACAGTACTTCTGCCCGACGACGACGTCTCTCGAGCACCGCCACTTTTTTCCGTCGGTTCTCCGGCAGCGTCCCGGCTCGGGATCCATGGCTGCCCTCCCCCAGTAACCAGACTGCACCACTTTCAGATCCCAAACAACCACACAATCAACTGAAACCGAAATCGTTTAACCTAATCTACAAATTGATTCCCCAAAATTTTCAAAAACAAAATTGACAGACGAACTTACGAGGCGAGTGGTAGTGATGAGGATAACACTGATGAGGAAAATAGTGCGACGAGTTCTGCGAATCCACGAGGCTTTTCTTCACGAGATGAAGGAGTTCGGGAGGGACGGGACCTCCGGCGGTCATGTGCCTGAAAATCAACGCCTGGAGTTCGAGCTCCTGCCACTGCGACAAGCTGAAATAGCTCATCCCCATCCCCGAAACTGCGCACATATATATACGAGAGTAAGTAAGGAAGCCATGGTAGAGAAACTTGGAAGCTAAAAAACGCAGAGAAGCTTGTTCTAATAGCAATCTCTGAAATAAACTGAACGTACTGGAGAATTTGGTGGCGGCAGGTGCGGAGGATTCAGGAACAAACAAGGAGAGTGCAGAGGAAGCTGCCGGCGGTTGCTGGTTGAGGAGATCGAGCCCTGAGAGCTTGGTGGCGTCGTCTGCGTCAGAATCTTGTCGCCATTGCTTCAGATTGAAGTCCATGGATGGCAATTTAAGGCTGGAGTTTCAATTTGGGGAATTAGGGTTTTGAGTGCGGTGGTGCGTGGGCATGTTCAGAGTTGATAGAAAAAAGTGAAGGAAATAAGCTTTTGCAGGGAGGACTTCAGCTCCATAACCACTCATACACGTTTTTATTTTTATTTTTCATTTTTGTAAATCTAAAATTATTTTGCACATGACTAGACATGTCCGACCGGTTTCGAAGCCCAAACCGCCACCAAACTGAAATAAAACCGGAACCGGTTTTTCACATGGAGGCATTGAGTAAAAGATTGTAAAAATAATTAAATAATAGTATTATTTATAATTAAAATTATTATTATTATTATTATTGGTGTGTTTTATTTATGGCTGTTGTTAAGATATCATTCTAACATTTTACTAACAACATATTATTGTATATGTATGAACGATATATTGCAAATATATAAACAATATGTAGTTTATCATTATATAAATTGAGTTTGTTCATTTTGTGTTTCAAATAATGTGTTTTTTTATATTAGGTACGAAAAATGTATTGTTAATACAAAAAATAATAATTTATATTAATTTTTAATTTTTTTGAGTGAATATATATTATATTATGTTAATTAAATTTTATAATATTTATATGAAATTGTGTCATCTAAAAATATATTTGGCGAACAAACTCAATATAAATACAATAAATAAACCATTAAGATATGTTAATTTTTCACACCGCACGTGTCCCAATTAATCTCAACACGTGTAACATTCCAGCCCGCAAGTCGAACGTATTGGAAACATAGTCGCTACTTAGTTTTAAAATTTATTCAAGTAGTCCTTCGAAAATAAATACTATACATTGTTGGTATACAGAGTATAATTAGGGTGTGTTCGTTTGTAGGATTTTGTCAAAATTCTACTATTTATCCAAAATTTTCCCCCCAAAAATATCAAATCAAACACCTATTTTTCATTTTTTATATTATACTAAAAATCAATTTTACATTCAATATCACATCAAACACCTATTTATATCACATCATACAAATATTCAAATTCAAAATTTTTACTATTCAAATCCCAATCCAAAATCCAAATCCCCAAACAAACACACCCTTAATTCATTTAACTCTAATGAACTACCATGTATCACAACACATACTACGTACTAAAACAAGACACTATATAATATACTTCCTTCATCCCAAAAGTATAGTTTTATTGTATTAGACACAAAATTTAAGGAATATTAATATTATATTGATGGTGGGTAAAAAATATAGATAAATGACTTTTTTGTCCTTGTGAGTATATTAGTGTAAAAAGTAGTGACAATTGTGTAATAATTATGAAAAAATATGAATAAATTTATAGTAGTGTAGTTATTTATGGAAACAAGACTATTGCTTTGAAACAGACAAAAATGATAAATAAGACTATTGTATTGAAATAAAGGAGTATATAATTGACAATATATGCTAATAATACACACAATAAGTCATTTTATATTAACCATGTGTTGTGTATAATATTTTACACTTCCAATACATGCTAATAATACACACCCTTCTTCTTCTTCTTTTATTTATTTATTTATTTATTTTTAAATGAAACTAATACTACATCCGTTCAATTTCTATTGTCCTAAAGTATATTTGCACGGTTTTTTAGATGATTGTCTTTTTGTTATGAATTGACAAATTTGCCCTTAATTGTATGGTAGAGATGAAAAGTAATAAATGAATAAATCGTAAAAATGTAAAATTTGTGTTTAAATCGTAAAAATGTAAAATTTGTGTTTAAAAAAAGAAATAGGATAATAGTTATTGGACATCCCAAATAGAAAAATATGACATTAATTTGTGGACGGATGGAGTAAAATACTTTTTTCGTCCTCCAAAATTAGTTATGCTTCATTTTTAAATTACTAAAAATATTTTATGGTATTTAATTATATCTAAATATAAATAGATTTTGCTGCATACAATTTAATGAATTGGTGCGAAGAGTGCTGTGTGGGGTTAAAGAAAATGAACACACACACACATTTATCTTACTTTTTTTAAGTTACTAATATCATTTTTTATTTACTTACATCCTATTTTTTTACTGTAAATTTAAATTATTCAATTTATTTACACAAAAAAAAAAAAAAAAACACTTTACTGATAAACGTGTTTTGTCGATGGATTAAGTTAGTGTGTCAGTAATTGTCGTTTGGAATTAATTAATTAATGTGTTAAAAGAGAAAATTGGGTGAGTCAGTGATGTGTCTGTCTCTAGGTGTTATGCTCAGTGATTTTGAAAGACAAAAAAACAATAAGATAATCTGCATTGTTTTCTAGGATTAGTTTATTTCTTTTCCTAATATTTTATTTAATATTAAAAAAATATTATCAGTTATTTATTTTATTATATTAATAATTATTTTAATTCATTGTCTTAACTATTTCAAAACAATTTAAATATAATTGGTGTGTTTTTTTATTAAATTTCTATTATTATTATTTTTTTTCCAAAGAACATCACTTCAATAATTTTTTTAATATTATATTAAAATTAATTGTATATTTAAAATATCAAATCAAATTATTTATACTTAAATTGTATAATTCATTCAAATTCAATATTTTTACTATTTAAATTCCATATATAAAATGCAAATCCCCCAAAAAAATACATTCATCAAATATATCAAAAGTAATACTTTAAATGTTTCAATTGAAAATATTATTTTTTTCCTGTTAAAAAATATTCATTTTCTATTAATATTTTACATAAAGCATAAAGGATAAAATATTAAAATAGTTTTACATAATTTCATTAACTAATAAAATATTATTCATTCGTGGTACTAAAAAATAGCTATATTTTTTAATTTAATAAAACTAATCATATACTAATACAAAGAATACATTTAATTTTTATTTATATTACAAATATACTATTATTCATACACTAATTTATAAATAAAATAAAAAAAATTCTTACACGTTTATATTAATTAATAAAATGTTACTCTTTCCGTCCCAAAATTATAGTATGAGTTGTGTTTGACACAAAATTTAAGGAATATTGACATTATATTGGTAATTGGTAAAAAATACTAATAAAAAACATTTTTGCCCTTGTGAGTGTATTAGTGTAAAAAGTAGTGACAATTATGTAATAATAATAAAAAAAAATAAATGTAGTTTTCTAGTGATATGATTATTTATAGAAATGAAACTATTGTTTTAAGACGAACGAAAATGATAAAATAACTATTGTATTAGAACGGAGTGAGTATTACTTATTATTAATCTTCTACAAAAATTTAAAACACAGCCATTAGTTTTAAACACGTAAAAATTTTAAGACATTACACGAATGAAAATTTGTAAATATAGGGATAGTAAAGTAATTTCACATATAAGGGTGTGGTGAACGAGGAAAAAACAAAGCCGCGAAAGATCCAAACATGATCTGAGTGCGTGTCAGAAAAATATATATATACATTTTGAAGCGGGCCCCACACTCTATCCCACTATTTCATCCGTCCCACATAATTTGTCTCTATTTTATATTTTCGTCCGTCCCACGTAACTTGTCATTTCTATTTTTAAAAATATAATTATGTATTTTAATCGCATTTTAAATTTTAAATTTTTTTAATTTTAATTAAACTATTTACTTATTTTAATTTTAATCTATAATTATTTTTATTAATACACTTCTTAATTATTTACTAATTATATTTTACCTAAATTCTCGTGTCTACGATAAATATGAGACAGAGGGAGTATTAAATTACTGTACTGACTCCTAACCCGTGGGACCTCTTTTATTTCTATACGAGCCTCGTATCAATTTTAATAAATATAATAGTATATCAATTAATTATCGAATAAAATAAATGTATTTTGAAAAATACTTGAGTGATTTAATGATTGATTTTTATTTTTTATTTTGCATATATTGAGTATATAGATATTGGTGATATATATAAATAAATTAAATATTAAGAAATATAAATTTTAAATATATAAAATTTATTAATATAAATAAAAAATACAGTATATATTTAAAAAATGATTATCGCAATTATTATTATTTAGAAAATTTTGTAAATGTGTCAATTATTTCAATAGATATTTTATTCGTTCGCAGAAAACATCTAAAATAATTGTTGTGTATAACAGGTGGCAACTTATATTTAATTCAAATTATATTTATTTTTGTATCAAATGCTCCTATTTCCTGATTTCCATTATGTTTGTTTCACCACGAAGACTAATGAAATGAAAATAATAATAATAATAATAATAATAATAAATGATATTTTAATATAAAAATATTTAATAAGAATCCGTTGAGAAATTTATTAAGAAATATGTTTAACTCATAGTGCACTACTTATGTAATAAGAATAAGTTGAGAAATTAAAGTCCCGTAAAGGACAGACTGGCGGTGTAGAGATTGAATGTGTAACACATGGTTCCTTAGTAAACAAAATTTTAGAATATTACTACAAAATCGTTCGAAAAATAACTATTACAAATTACTATGTTATAAAAGAAAATCAGTGAATGTATTTAAATAAAATTAAAAAAAGCACAAAGTTCACGTCCCTAAATTTATTAAATTGCTCAACAGTACCTCCTCGAAGAAATAAGTCACGTGGAGGAGGCACGTGACGAAAAATACTGTAGAGTCGTGTGTTCTGCTCATCTTTTCATCTACCACGTTAAACTCCATTTGATACATTTTACTCCACCCGTAATATATATATTTTTTAATTTTATAGTAAATTAAGAAATATAATATTTTTTTAGTGTGACAAATAAAAATAGTAATAATTTGTTTTGAATTAAGACGAATAAAATATTATTTTTCTATATTTAAATAAATAATATTTATTTATTTTTAATAAGGATGAATCATGTTACATAAGTATTACAAATACACTAATATTTATACCTATTTATAAAAATTTTACAGAGTAAAATATATGAACCCATTTTTGTTTAAAAAAAAACTTGCACTATTAAACTAAACAAATTAACCGATAATGAGATATTATTATATACTCCTACTTATCAACTACACATAAAAAAAATAATACTCCTATTATTTATTTAATTTTTGTGTTTATTTTTGTAAGTTGAAACAACTCAACTTCTCTTTTTGCAAATTTTGTGTGCATTTTTTTAATATATAATTTATCTAACTATAAAAGAAAAAATCTATCAAAAGTAAGGAATCCACCGGCTCCTCGTGGGAACCCGTAGTCGAAACTAATATCTTGTAAGCCAGATCCGACGGAAAAGTCATGCTAGGTGAACCATACGTGGCAGGTCGAGGATTTGAACCCATGACCTCATGGTCTCAAATCCAACATCTACACCTGACTATTTTTCTTTATTTCTTTTTACTTAGAATTGTTCTTCGGAAAAAAAAGTTATCATAAATCATTTAAATTAAATATTAAAAACAAGCACACATTCATAGGCTGAATGCAGAATATATTTTTTGAAGTGGAATTTTCGTAGGAAATTATTTCTAATGATTTTATTTAATTATTCATTTTATCACTATAATTGAGCAGTCAAATATATATGCAAATTACAAACTAATACTCCTAGAGGGGGGAGGGGGAGACACGAAGAGGAGAACGTGAGGAGTAAAAACAAAAGATCACGAGTCACTCACGTGGTCTTCTGTCAATGCGTTCAATCAGAGACTGACAGTATCTCCGGAAAAATCCCCCGACACCCTCTCCGCTAGTTTTTTCTATCCACGTTCACTTTCTCTTTGCCACGTCAGCGGAGATATTCTTTTCTATTTTATATTCACAACAAAGATATTCATCCTAATTTTTTAATAAATTTTTATTTTTATATTATATATATTATTTTTTAATTATAGTTTTAATTTGTAGTATTAATTATTTATTTAATTATCATACTATATTATATTATATTATTATTTGTCAATATTTTGATTTATTTTTTTGTGTAGTGTAGAGTTTTTACTAACATATGGTATTTATAATTTACATTATATGAAATAAATAATACTAATCATAATAATGGTGATGTGATATTACAATACTAGTAGTACAAATAATTATGTAAAATGATAATAATAATAATAATAATAATAATAATAATATATTTGAAAATATGTAAATAAATAGTACAATAATAAAATAATTGAAAATAAATTTGATGACACATAATAATAATAATAATAATAATAATAATAATAATAATAGTGATGTGATATAACAATGCAAACATGTTTAAATCTACATAGTACAATAATAACTATGATGTAATCTAATAATTCATGTGCGTTCAAACCTATCTAGTGCAATAATTGAATAATTGAAAATAAATTTGATGACACGTAATACTAGTGATGTGATCTAACAATGCAATTGTGTTTAAATCTACACAGTACAATAATAACTATTATATGATTTAACAATGTATGTGTGTTCAAACCTGTCTAGTACAATAATAAATTATGATGTGATCTAACAATACAATTAATAAATAAAACTTAACAAGACAAAACTTGAAATGATTGATCACTGCTACAATAATAAAAATAAATATTGTGATGTGATGTAACAATGAATTTTAAAAAATTATACAAGCCAAAAATAAATTGATTTGATTTAACAAGACATGATATATATAAATAATATATAAGTTATAGTGTCTAACTTTTATATAAATATGCTTGCATTTTACAAAATAAAACACACAAACTTTCATCAAAGATCTTTATATTTTCTCCCACTACTCTACATTCAAGTTTTAACAATTGAGCAAAACTCTTAAAAATCTTCTAATTCTCAAGAGCATTTTTCATTTCAAAGTTTTACGAACATGCTTGAAAATGAAGATTGTTTGCAAAACTCTTTCAATCCTAATGTTACTCAAAATTTTCAAACATTTGTCTCAAATTTTTACGCTTCATCGTATTCTTCTATTCCTCCACACTATTATTATCCTCAAAATTTTCAACATTTCGTAGGTTCATCACATCCTCAAAATTTTCAATCATCTGGAGGTTTTTTTAATCCTCAAAATTTCCAATCATTTCAAAATCAATTTCATCCCTCATCGATGAGTTTTACGCAAAATATATAAATAGAAAGTATTCCTGAATTTTGCACACAAGCCAATCAACAAGATGAAGATGACGTACAAATCATTGCTCCAACGGCAGAGACCAAAAGAAAGTAGACTCGTAAAGAAGATTTGCTTCTTACTAGTGGATGGCTTAACACAAGCAAAGATGCACTAATAGACACTCATAAAAAATGTACTACTTTTTGGAAAAAAAATTCTCAATATTTTAATGATAACAAATCTGAAGTAGGGGTGTCAAGAAGTGTAAACCAATGCAATAATCGTTGTCAAAAAATAAATAAAATCGTCTCAAAATTTGTTGGATGCTTTCAACAAGCTAACCAACAAAATAATTTTATATTATTTAATTGCTTTAAAATTTATAATTATATTTTATTTAATAAATTAAATTAAATTTACTAATATTGATTTGTTCAATAGAATTATATAATATTTGTATTTATATATTTTAAATTTCAAATTGATAAAATATATTCAATATTGATATCATTTTGTAGAATATAAAATATTATGAATGATAAAAATACTACAAAATTTAAATATAACAATAAATTCAATATAAATTACAAAAATAAAACATATATAATATATATACATTCCTAAGTGTGATGTGTCCCAACGCTGGGAAGCACAGTGCTTCTAATTTTTTTTTAAAAAAAAATGATGATGTGGCGCACGTTGTGGATGCTTTGACGAAAAATAAGAGAAAATTAAAATTGTTAAATAAGTTCATTGGATATATAATACACCTTCAGTCTCAGCTAAATTGTCATATTTAATGTAGACACATAATTTTATGTATTAATTAAGAAGTGTATATGTGAAAATAATTTTAATTTAATAAATAATTATATATTAAGATTAAAATGACTAAATAGTTTAATTAAAATAAAAAAATTATAAATTAAAAATTTTAAAATATGATTAAAGTGTATAATTATATTTCAAAAAATAATAAAATAAATTACATAGGATAGACGAAAATGAGACAAATTAAGTAGAATGGAAGAAATAAAATTTTATACAGCACAAATATATAATATATATATATATCTATATATAATTAAAAATAAATTAATTTTATAAAAAAATAAATATCGGTAAAAATAATTGTCTGTTGAGAAGAAATAAAAATAAATATATTTTGAACGAACATGAGGTATCAATTTTAATTTAAAATAGTAAACAAACACCAACGTTTGCCTCATATTTACAACGCCAACCATTATTAACAAAATGAGGCAAGAACAGGAATCATCGAACTCCGGCTCTATTTTACGGCCTTCTGGGAACACCTATCTCTTACCCAAATATTTGAATCCTAATCTCTCAAAGTGAAATAATTTAAAATAGAAAAAAATTGTTTGTAGAAAATTTACTGAAATGTATGATGTGATATAAATAGGTATTGATGTGATATTTTGAGTGTAAAATTGATATAAATAGGTAGTGATGTGATATAAATTTAATTTGATATATTTGAAAGAAAAAAATTGAATGAATAATATATTTGAGAAAAAAATTGGCCGAACAAACACACCCTTCTTTGATTTGTCTCATTTTATTTGATGTGTTTCTATACTCATTGCGTCATTAAGCTGAATTGTGGTAAAAAGATATTTTTATTTTATTGTCTACTAAAAAGGTACTTATATCACATTTGGAATATTTTTACTAGAGAAAATAAATATTAATAATTATTAGTTATTTTTATTAAAATTTATATTTAAATATTCAAGCACATCGTGTATACACGTATGACTATTGAAAATTAATGCTCCCTCCCTCCTTTCCATATAGCGCGGTACATTATTTTAGAAGCGGTGTAATTAGTAGATAATTAAGTATTATTAAAAAAATAATTAAAATAACTAATTAGTTTAATTAAAATTAAAAAAAATAAATTAAAAAGTTTAAAAATAAAACAGTGTGTAATTATTTAAAAAAAAAAATTACGTGAAATATAAGACGTGGGACGGACAGAAACATCCAACGTTGACATATGTTACGTGAGACGGAGGAAATACTATAAATTAAATAATTAAATAATAATAATATCATATACAGTTCCTTCTTCCCTGTCACTCAACCTCCCCTGTCAATCACTCACACTTCCGGCTTCCATCTCCGATGACCAATCGGACCACCTGATTTCCGCAGTTCCTCCTTCCAGATCCTTCCTCCAACCGCCATGGCCGACGCTTCCAACGCCGGAAACGATCACAAACTCCAGATCTGGCAAGTCAACAAGGACCGACTCACCTGGATGCACCAGAAAATCGCCGACACGCCGCGAATCTTAAACCAAACCGCCGGAAAATCCTCCTGCTCCATCTTCAAAGTTCCCCAATCCTTCATCGACGTCAACGGCCGGTGCTACCAGCCGCACATCGTCTCCGTCGGCCCCTTCCACCGCGGCGACCCTCGCCTGAAAATGATCGAAGAGCACAAATGGCGGTTCCTCGGCGGTTTGCTCAAACGAACGGCGGCGAAAGGCTTGAACCTCGAAAACTACCTCGAAGCCGTACAACCGCTCGAGTCTCAGGCCAGAGACTGCTACTCGACGGCGATCGATCTCTCCGCCGACGAGTTCGTCGAGCTCCTCGTCCTCGACGGCTGCTTCGTCATCGAACTTTTCCGGAAGTTCGCCGGCGTCGTCGCCTTCGACGCCGACGATCCATTGCTATCCTTATCGTGGATTTACTCCTTCTTCCTCAGAGATTTAATTCGATTGGAAAATCAAATCCCCCTTTTCATCCTCCAGCGGTTATTTGACCTAACCCTAATTTCCGAATCTTCCCCAAATTTGGTTAACCTAATTCTCAAATTCTTCAACAATGCTCTCCAGAGATCCGACGAGTTCGTCAACAGCCGCCGGAATGTCACCGGAAAACACCTCCTCGACCTCCTCCGGTCGACGTTCATCCCCACCGGCTACGACGAGGGGAACGAGACGAACCGATCGAACACCAACGTGATCCAATGCATATCGAAGCTCCGCCGCGCCGGAATCCGGCTCGAAACGAGCGAAAACGATTCCTTCCTCGCCGTTGAATTCAATCGCGGAACGATCCGAATGCCGACGATCACGATCGATGATTTCATGAGCTCGTTCTTGCTCAATTGCGTCGCCTACGAGCAATGCCACCGGTGGTGCTCGAAGCACGTGACGACGTACGCGACGCTCCTCGACTGTTTGATCAACACGGCGAAGGACGTCGAGTACTTGTGCGATCGGAACATCGTCGAGAATTATTTCGGGACCGACGCCGAGGTCGCAAAGTTTATAAACAACCTCGGGAAGGACGTGTCGTTCGACATTGATATGTGCTATTTGTCGGGTCTCTTCGACGAAGTTAACGACTATTATAGGAATCATTGGCACGTGCATTGGGCGAGCTTCAAGTATACGTATTTTAACACGCCATGGTCCTTCATCTCGGCGCTCGCAGCCTTCATTTTGCTCGTTCTTACCGTCGCGCAAACGTTTTATACGGTTTTGGGTTATGTCCGGCCGCCGGCTTAGCCTTATTACAACCGTTTGGCTCGCTGCTCCCCGAAACAAAACAAAATGTTTGTACTTATATAGAATGTTTGTATATTGAATGATTGTTTGTATCTTAAGTTATATACACGTTATTGTATTGAATGATAAAATTCACTATAGGTGTGGTAATACATAATAATCCCTCCATCATTTAATTATTTTATTTTATTATTATTTTATCATTAAATAATATTTTCGTTTGTAAAAAATTATTATATTTTTGTATTTTCTTTTTTACTATAAAAAAATAATAGACGGGAGAAGTATAAAACAAGCAATAAAAAATAATACTCCCTCCGTCCCGTTGGAAGGGTGGCGTTTGTTTTTGCACGTAAATTTTTGAATATTAGTATTATATTGGATTGTAGTAAAAAAAAGACAAATATCCTTACTAGTATAGTGTAATATAAAATTAATGGTATTTGTGTAATATTTTATAAGTTGAAAGGGTATTTATTATGTTAAATTGGGACGAATGAAAATGAAAAATGGTAACCTTTCAATGGGAATGGGACGGAGGGAATACTTCATTTATACCTGCTAAATGTATATATTTATTATATATACAGAATTTTAAAAATAAAAATATTTAATTGTAATAGATAGTTTAAACTAATGCAAAAAAAATTGTTTTTCCTTTTCTCTATATTAAAAATAATGGTATAATGATATATAAGTAAGAAAATAAGAAATATTTTTATTATTTATTTTAAAATCAAACAATAATTCAATATAGTATTTTAAATAGAAAATAGTTACAATATATTCTATTTTCTAAGATAAACTAAAAGATTGGATTATAAATAATAAAATAAACCAAAATCTAAATTTAAATTTTATTTTCAACTTATTATTATTTTCTTTCAAAAACCTCGAAATAAATACACACTTAATTGTGGGTCTTATAATCGAAAATAAATAATTACTTAATTAACGGAGCAATAATAGCTGTATAGCCCACTTTCAGACGGTCCAACAAGACATCATATTAGGCCTTTTCAATACTTCCACTTTCCCCTACGTCTTCCAATTTTAAATAAAAATATTATTCGCAGGCCTTTGGGCCTAAAACTGGGCCTTGACTGTACCATTGGGCTTTGACTTTTGACCAAATACAGTTCAAAATACGGCCCGGCCCGACACGTATAGGCCTTTCTTAATTGGCAAGGTTAGGCTCGGCCGCACGCGGAGAGGCGGACCCCCAGCGCCGCCCGCGAATTGAAGTGAGAAAACTCTTTCCGACAAGAAAGGTGACAGCTGGGCCACACGTGTACGCGAATTCGCCATAAATATCTCGTCGGCACTCTCACCACCAGCAACAGAGAAAAAAAAAAAAAAAAACTTTAGCCATTAGGTTGTTTGATTAGCTTCTCGTTCAATGATTCGAACAATATTATTTATTTTATTTTTTAAAAGCGAAATTAATTTATAGTACTTTTCTGAAAATATCTAATAAATAAATTGATATTTGAAAGAACAAAATATATTTACGAATGTTATAGATTGCCTATTTGTACTTATATTAAACTATGACACTGCTTGTTTAGAACTCTCGTTCCAAAACAGCTATTTTTTATTTTGTAAATAAATTACAAAATAATAATATTTTATTAGTTAATAAAAATGTGTAATAAATTTTGATATTGTTGTCTTTTGACTTTATATATACGTATAAAGTAATTGTATAGATTGACTGTTGATATAATAATTAATATTTAAAAATTAACATGCAAAAAGTAAATGGATAGATTGACTGTTGATGAAGATAGTATTTGAGTTGAAAAGAAAAGAATATTTATGTTTGATTTTATATATATATATATTTATAAAATATAAAAAAATTGTATTTATTTTTTGTTTCAATGGTAGATTATTATAAAAAAGTAATTTTTTTTCCTCATAAATTATTAATATTAAGGGTATGTTTTTTTGCGTTTCTTGGAAAAAATATATTTTTTTTTTACAAAATATTTAATTATATATTATTTTAATATCAAACTAAAATCAATTTTTTTTCAAACTCTAAAAAACATACCCTAAATAACAATTTTTTTACTATTTTCATAATTTCAAAACTTAAAAAATATACTTAGGTACTTGCATATTACAAATATCCTCAGATTACTTGTCGTGTGCAGATAGAAAATTGTACGAAATATTGAATATTTTGAATAAAATGTACGACCAGAGCAGTCCATTCCATGCTCCCGACCATGGAAGCTTCCTGGCTCCACCCTTTTAAATTTTAACTAACTAACTAACTACCCCACTCTATCTAATATCTATATATCTCTACTCATCATCATTTTCTCTGTTATCTCTGCCTCAGCCTCTCCCTCTCCACCGCCTTACGCTGATTTTTTTATTTTTATATTTAAAAAATAATAATTAATGGATCGCCAATACTCGTATATATATTGCAGCGCCGGAGCCATTTTCTACTTCGCAACAAAAAACACAAAACCTAAATCCCCAATTTGATTTTGCCTCTGAAACCCTAATTGAAAGAGGAATTGTGAATGGACCGCGATGACGATCCATACACATTTCCTCCGCCGCCGCCGTTTACTTCCGGCGGTGACTCCGAATCGAGTCCTAGCAATCCATCGCCGTATTTTGCTTTACCTCTGTCAATGGCGTCGCCATTCTCTGATCCTTCGCCGCCGCCGCCGGTGGTTTCCCCTTTCATGAGCTTCGATGCTTTCGAGTCTGAATTCGAAGCCAAACCGGACGTCGGATTCCGAAGCTCCGGCGATAATCAGTTGGTTGCTCCGCAGCCGTTGGAATCGCTGTTCGAGAATCCAATTCCGCCATTCCTGTCGAAAACATACGATCTGGTGAACGATCCTTCGTTGGACGCCATAATCTCTTGGGGAGAAACCGGAACCAGCTTCGTGGTGTGGGATCCGATGGAGTTCTCGAGGATTGTACTGCCGAGGAGTTTCAAGCACAACAATTTCTCCAGCTTCATTCGCCAGCTCAATACATATGTGCGTATTTATATCAATTTAAACTAATATTTTAAAGATAAGAAACTTTAATTGTATACATTTATATGTTTTAAAATTTTCTAGGGACTAAATTAAAATTTTATTTCAAAAGCATATTACCAACTTTTACGACCAAGCCTATACCCATATTTATTTATCTGATTTTTAAAACATATATATATATATTTAATAATTTAATATTATTTAAAAAATATTGTGTTTATTATAGTATTAATTTTTAAATTATAATTTAAGTAATATTTTATATATAAAATAAAATATTTCTATTAAATTTTATTATTGATACTCTGCCGCAATTAAAATGAAACTAAAACGGAAAGAGGGCTACCAATACTCATGGTTGAAATTACAAAGAAATTGTAAATATACAATAAAAATAATAAATTTTATATATTTTATTATTTTAGTCAGGGTGTATTCTTTTGTAAAATAAATAATTTTTTTAAAAAAAATAATTAATATATTATACATATTTATTATTTTTATATTATTTACTTTTTTTTATCCATTCTGACCTCATATTCTTTCCATCTTTTCCGACAGGGATTTCACAAAACCGACCCCGACAAATGGGAGTTTACAAACGCCGGGTTTATAAGAGGGCAAAGGCACCTACTGAAGACTATCCAACGGCGGAAACCACTGCCTTCATCGTCTCCGGTCGCCGGAATCAGCTCATCCGGGCCGGTTTCCGCCGCAGACAGTGAGATCAAGATCGAGCGTCTGAAGAAAGAGCGAGCCTCGATGATGCACGAACTCATCGAGCTGCAGCACCAGCACCGCGCCATGATCGAGCACGTGCAAGCCATTAATCAAAAGCTCGAAACAGCCGAGAATCGGCAGAAGCAGATGGTTTCATTCTTAGGGAAGATCGTTCAAAACCCGGCTTCCTTAGCTCGTCTCCAAAAACCAAAGGACCGACCGGGCGAACTTCCCGGCAGAACATTCCGGAAGTTCGTGACGCATCACGAAGCTTCGCCCGACGCTTCCCCTAAAGGGGAGATTGTCGAGTACCGACATAATCTAGGCAGTTCGAGTTCATCGATCCCAGTTTCGGTTACGGAGGATGAAACCGCCGTCGAGGAATTCGTAGCTGAAGCGGGTCCCACTTTGACGCCCGAGTATATTATCTCGGAGATTTGGGGGGACTTCAGCCAATATAGCATGTCTGATTTAGACAGCATTTCGGATGTTTGGGACATTGGCTCGCTACAGAGCGATGTCCGGGAAGAACCACACGAGCCTAGAGATGGTTCGGATTAAAACGAATCCATAGGGCTAGCATTTATTTCCCCAGGATTCCTTATCATTGGATTGATTAATTATCGAACCACAAACGAACAAACTACATTGTTCGTCATCACGGTTTTTGTCTCGACTATTAGTACATTAGCCAGAAAGCGGGTAAAACCTAGGATTTGGACAGGGCATTGGCGACTACTTAACAAGCATATAGATACACTTCCTGTACATAACATTTAACCGAAACGACTTCAAGAACGCACCTTTCGTTATAATCACGCTCGACTCTTTTATGTACACCTTCCACCTGCAAAATACAACAGTTTTTCAAATTACGGCTAGAAATGCAGCTCAACAATGCTCCATAGGAAATATTACACAAACCTACTCGTCATTACAACCTCCTCGGCGAAAATTTGTTGTATACATACAGTTATAGATTTCGTAACTAAATTCCCGAATGGTCACGTGAGCGAGTGCGGTGCAGCATGACCCAATTGAACGGTCGGGTTGGGTGATTTGATCAATTGCCTGAGGGAGTCCATGATGCTCGAAAACGAGGGCCTCTTCCACGGCTCACTACAATTATAGAAACAAAAACCAATTAAATTTAAATTGGTTTGGCTAAGGAAATACCAAACATTAAAGAACTGTAGTTCAATACAGAAATTTCAGTGACCTCGCCCAGCAGGCCTCGATTATAGCCGCAACTTTTCGATTCACATTCGGAGGAATTTCGAGCCGTCTACCTTTGAACCCAACTGCAGCTACAACCTAGAAGTTCGAATGCGGCATAAATTAAAATATCGTGATTCGACAGATATATTGAAACCAGTTTGCCTACCTGGGCGGGATTCAGGCTGCCCCAGGGCGGCTGCAA